CATTACACGACCTGGGCATCGAAACATTAAGACTCGAAGGACTGATATATAGGCATATGACGGTGCCGCACACTTACTTTCGTATGATAGTATCACTTGTCTGCAAGGGACGAATTATTGGGGCTTCGATATCCAGTGCGGATTGCTCGAAAAAGCTGATAATGAAATTATCTATGGAAATAAAAATTGAGACGCGTTCGCAGGCAACAGCAAGGCTTCTGCACAACCATGGCAACTGCCAATTGGGTCATGTCTAGGATCGCGCAGGAGCCGCCGAAAAAGTTGTTGCCATCTCCTGTTGCTCTGCCAACGTGGGATAATTCGAGTGTTCTCTCCATCATCGGTCAATTCCGACTCTGCTTCATCAGAGTCATATATATGAACCAACTTCTTAAGGGTCATCACAATGAATGCGTGAGTGGGGGACCTGAAACATATAGGTCAGCAGAAAGCTTGTTTGATATCTCACATGGTGAGCACGGATTAAATGGATGCGCCATTCTGCCTTCGTCCTGTTCCTGGTGTCCGTAATGTCTTCAGTTGTAAGTTTGTGTAAGCTCTTGTACTGACCTAGGGCCTGGATACTATCCCAGTTGAGTCCATCGATGTTGATTCAGCGGCATTTTGCCCAGTCTGCCTGTGCGTGGTCTAGAAACTCTGGAAGTGTTTCATTGTTCAGCCTCTGGATGGAAAGGCTATCCCGAGAAAAGTCGACCACGGTGGTTTCGCAGCAAGTGTTCAGAGCAAGCTTAGAGATATGGCCGCCGTCTGGCTTGTTTGGATCCACGTTGGGTTCTAACGAAGAGCGCATAGGTCGGTTGATTCAAATACCTCGGCTGTTCATTTAAGGGGGCAGAGCAAAAAAGGGAGATAGGAAGATAGGAAACGAAGAGGGGAGACAAACGATACCAACAAGTGTCGGACAGTAAAATCGTCAAACCATTAACAGTTAGAAGTGTACCCACGCGACTTATACGACTGCGAACGCTGGTGATTGATAAGGACTAGGAGGTCGTTCTGGCAAATGCGGGTTTTACTACATCGAAGCTGTGGGTTTACCGGCCCGAGCACCCCGGTTTCACGGAGTCGGCACAGTGATTTCTGGGTTCCTCGCTGCTGGAATTGTAGTGAACATGGGAATCTGCACGGCTGCGAACCTGGCCCGCATGTTGAACTAGGGGTGTTGGAATCCAGAGGTGCTTGGGAGATCGGAGGTTGAAGATGAAGAGTGGTGGTCCGACATTTGGGCTTCGCTACTTTGAGTTGGGGTATCATATGAGACAGAGTTCGCCTTTCAATACTGCTGTGATGATGGTCTTCCACTGGCAAATATATAGGACTGTCCTTGGCCTTTGTGATAGAATGCAGATGGGTTTGTTCATTTCCCCTTATGTTAGGTCCGTGGCGCCGGTCGGCTGTTGACAACCAGATGGGCATAGGAGAACTTGCGAGGGTTGATGACCATGAGTTTGGTCGGTAAAGTGACCAATGTTGTATCCGCATGTTGTACAACGTACCCGCTGGCGGCTGAGGCCCTAACCTGCGGCACAGTTACTAAGTGCCGCAGCGTGGCTCTTACCAAAACAACATAATCCGATTTAGGTCAAATGCATGAACTCTGGCAATATTATGACACAGAGACATATCGTGTTCTTCGCTTGAGTTCAAGGCAAGCTTCCTGGAGAACATGGATAGAGTTCCAAGGCATCATATGAATCCAGGGTAGGATCCTAACAGCTCCGGGCTTTGTGCTTCAATGCCGAATGCAAAGATCTCCTTTTGCAAATATGTCGGTTATCGCTTGTTTTGCGACTCCTAACGTTATCTGCATTGCAACCGCGTATGTGTTTCACTGTAACATGTATCACATGTCTACTTCGGAAGGATATACCAGACTTATTGAGCTAGAATGCCTTCCTCGACCTGGATTTCTAACCCCTTTTCTTCTGAATGTATGTAGGATTCATTGACGTGGCCAGGACTACTTCACATGCAAAGGAAAGTAGCAAAGTGCCTACTTGATTTGTGACCACAAAGTGTGGGCTGATAATTTACTTCTGCGCCACGAGACGGATGACATAAAACGGTGCATAGACACAAACTTTCAACACATTACTCGCCACACAATACATTGATTTAAATTCAATACTCTCTTCCTCTTTCTTTCCAGCTCTCAAGTTATTGGATTTTGGACATGCTTGGTGCATGGCATTTGAATAGGAGCTTTCATGCGGGAGACTCGAGGTAGTTTCGAGTCTTACGGGCAGTCTTTCCAAATGATATTGCTTAGTATAGCTAAGACCAGTCCACTAGTATATCAGCCTGCTTTCTCGGGCGACTTAAAAAGGTATGTTGGCAATTGCTCTTGAGGTTGTAATGATCTGCTATCTTTAAAAACCTTGGGAGGACAATAGCATGGACCGCACTGATTGCTAATTGCCTATGTTTACATGGGTTACTGCTTGACTAATGGATAAAGGACGGTCGTTGGACAAGTATGTCAAGCTGTAGATAGATGTTATAATCTCCGTTTCATCAGCCTTGTTTTTCTTTTCGTTCCTCTTCCTCCGGGGTTCTTATGGGTAGCAGCCAGCGATCAAACAGAACAATAAACTCCCTAACTCGAACTCCTTCTTTATGGCTCCTGGATTTGTAGCCTCCATTGGCACCAACTTTTCTAGGGCTATTGGATCTGACAAGCTAATATCCTTCCATAGAGTTTTCAACTCGAAGTTGACCCAGGTTTAGCCCTGAACTTATTATGCATTGATTTGCCCTTACCCACCTAGCACCATGTTGAAATGGTTGGTGAGCTTAAGTTCAGCAGAAAAGGTATGCCATAAATCTAAAAACGGTGACCACACACTAACGACACCCTGTCTTCTCCCAGTGTAACTTCCTCAACACCGCCACTGGATCATTACCCTCTTTTTCGATTGGAAACCCTACCTTCAACTGATATCTGAACTACAGCAACCCCTTAGTCTGCGTAACCAATTGGCATGTAAATGACCAGGTATGCGATCGAGAGACCAAGAGATATACTAGGTTGGAGATACTCATTTTATGGGCATTTCAAGACGGTCGGATTCTAATTTCGCGGTGTGTTTAGTTCGAACATCCACATCTGGTAATGTTCTTGGGTAGATACCCGCTTATGGAACCTATTTGTTGTTCAAGCCTTTTCACACCCCCTCCAACTATATCCTGTTTAACGCTGTGTCATGATGGACTTCACGGCAGATACCTCTACTTACCATGTCAATAGAGAGACCAACACGGGCCCAAAGCCTGTACGGTATTATCAAGTCCCACTCTAAGCAACCCACGACAAAGCTATTATTATAAAGGTTCTCAGTACCGTGATTTCATCGCCAGCTTACCGGGTGATTCAAACTTGATGAATGCTCGATCGGGGACATCACATTGGTCGAAAATGAGGCATTTGGACGACATATGGCCTGGGGAAGAACATATAGCTTCCACGTCTTACGCAATTCCTCAGGTGCAGTGATGTCATCGTTGTGGATGAGTATCTCAGAGTCCCAGCTTAGGTCAGCGAAGGTGGGTACCTGGGTACCTTAACAGTGAATTCTGCACAGTTGAATCCAGAAGCATGTGGAGTTTTTGAGCATTTGTTTCGAAATGACCATAGTCACAACATGTAGACAAGTAGGCATACATAATCGGGATCGGAGAGAGTTACCCCAGGACATAAGGGCTTGATGTTGCAATGACACGGCTGCCGCCAAGGAAGCCTTTTCGTGCAGACTACATCATCCGGGAGCGTTTTGGTGCTTGTATGACGCGTAAAGTGTTGGTAAGAAACAGGACCGTGACTGCCCGGCCCAGGGTGTGTGGTGCCATAATGGTTAACATCAATACTCAACGATTCTAAATCAACGGGGATTCTCACCTGGTATCCTGACACCAGAAAATTTCATGACGCGACTACGATGGTCAGCTAGCTAAGCAGCTTCCGTTTTGTCTGGACAGCACCGGCTTGGAACAATGGGGCATCCCTTTTGTGAAAATGTGATATTTCCTGGCATACTCTGTTGTACCCAATCTGCCACTCTTAAAGCATGGGTTAAAAAGTACCACTTTGTCACTTTGGATCTTAGATCATCCTCCCATTGGTCAAAAATTGTGAAATACCGTGAAATATCCCGTTTTCACAGCCAAAGGGATTTCGACCTGTTTTTGTACACCTACACGCACTACCCATCTACCTGAGGTACCTTACCCACAAAGGTAAGGTACTTACATTCTCATGCTTTGTGTCTCCAAGGTTATCTAGTTGAATTTGTATATTCAAGTGCTACCTAGGCGATGGGTAGGTAATCTGAACCATGACTAGGCAGATTCAAGTTCATAAAGTACCTGCTCATGCCTTCAAGTGCAATGGTTCTGGCTTGATGTTAGGTATCTCGTAAACAGGTCGGGCGCATCTGAAGATACATGATTTTACACTACCTACGGATTACATTTTCCCAGGTCATTTATTGAAGGGAAGGCTGAAACTCACCTCAGGCCCTGGGGCTTGCGAGTGACGACGCTGAATTACAACTTTGGATATTCGGTGGTGTACCTACCTACTTAAGTGCACACGACTCTTCAGGTTTTGGGCATCCTCATTCTGATAACTTTAGTTCTGGTTCCCAGTCATCAGCGTGATCTCCACAGCAGCCTCCGTTTTACAGCGGACCAACGCCAAGCAGGGTGCCTGCGAAGTCCTGCGAAGTGGGTCTCCTCCGCATCACAGCCCAAGCGCTCTCTGCCCACAGGCCGCAGCCCGCCCACTCATTGCCAGCTGCCCGCCGCCCGCGCATCCATTTCCGGGCAGTAACCTACTAACTACCTCAGCAAGTTCCTCTGCCACTTGCATGCGACAGCCTCGATCTCGACTGCATCTATCATCAGCACCACCATCGCTCCCACAGCTCCGCATCGCCTCCCGCCGCATCCGCGCGAGGTGTTGTCTGCCCGAGTGAGCAGCCATGGAGCAATGGCAGACGTACGGCGACGCTGCCAACACCGCCGGCACGCGACGGTACAACCCCGTCAACGTCAACCACGTTAGCCACCACAACGGAGGTCCTGCCGGCTCGACTGTCGCTCCGATGACCAGCCATCCGATGCATATGTCTCCTCGCGACTACGCCGTGCCCAGCAACGGCCCATCAGCCATGTCCATGCCGCCGCAGCAGCCACCGCCGCCCTACAAGTACGACCAGTATCAGCCGGCGCTGGCTTCCTCTCACCAGGCCTCGCCGGCGACATCGTCCATGGGAAGCAGTCCGCACGTGCGCGACGGCAGCGGCGACGTGCCTATGCAGGATGCCCAGGAGTCTTACACCACGAGCAGCAGCAGCACCGCTGCCACGTCCGCCGGCGTCAAGAACACCGTCCACGGCCAGTATCCGCTGAGACCACATCACCAGCACCATCTCTCGTCGGGCAACCGCGCTGCTGCCCTCCAGCAGGAGCCGTCGTCGGCAGCCCAGCGCTACTCACCCATGGAGGCCCTGTCTCCAGCATCTCCATACGCCATCAAGTCGGCCACCGGCCCGTCCCATTACTCTCAGCACCAGCAACAGCAGTCGGCGCTGCCGCGCCAGTCGCCGACCACTCGCTCGTCCGACTATGCACATACCCCGCAGCAACCACCATCACAACAACAACAACAACAGCAACAGCAACAACAACAACAACAACTACAACAACAACAACAACAACAACAACAACAGCAGCAGCAGCAGCAGCAGCATCAGCAAACACAGCATCCACAGCAGTCGTCCTACTATAGCACGCGCCAGCAGCCCCAGCAATTACCTCCCATCAACCCATATGCCCCCGCCGCTGACCCGTACTCTACGTCAGTCATAGCGCCGCTCGATGGCTCCTATGCCGACCCCAAGTCTCCAAAGTATGGCCCCCCTCCACAGTCGAAGCCTCCGGCGAACGATAAGGGCCCCGTGCCCGAGTTCAGGAGGGTCAGAGGCCCCCAAGACCTCAATCCCCGCGTTAAGGACGAGCCGCCGTTCCGGCGGGCAAATCCGGAAGGCGGTTTTATTAGTGTGAGTAGTTTTTTCCCCCGTGTGTATGCTACCACAGCTAGTTAACCCAGAAACAGCCCCTTCAAGCACTTACACTTCATTTACCGGCCACGTACCGCATCTGCAATCCATCCTTCAAGTACGAGTCGTCGCGGAATCCGCGCCGCGTGTTGACCAAACCAAGCAAGGGCGTAAAGAACGATGGTTATGACAACGAAGAGAGCGACTACATTCTCTATGTCAACGATATTCTGGGCTCTGAGGAGGCCGGCCATAAGTATGTGATTATCATTTAACTACGGTAGTTGATTTGCCTTCAGGCAATATGCTGACACCTGCAGGAACCGGTACCTGATTCTTGACGTCCTCGGCCAAGGTACATTTGGCCAGGTAGTCAAGTGCCAGAATCTCAAGACGCAAGAGATTGTGGCCGTGAAGGTCATCAAAAACCGCACTGCCTATTTCAACCAGAGCATGATGGAGGTCTCCGTTCTGGATCTGGTGCGCTCTTCTCCCTAATGTCCATGATGTATCTATCAATGGCGGCCGAAAGCTAACCATGTCGTAGCTCAACTCGAAGCTAGATAAGAATGATGACCATCACCTCCTGCGGCTCAAGGACACATTTATTCACCGCCAGCATTTGTGCTTAGTATTTGAGTTGTTGAGTGTGAACTTGTACGAGCTGATCAAGCAAAATCAGTTTCGCGGTCTTAGTACTACCCTCGTCCGAGTGTTTGCTCAGCAGTTGCTCAACGGGCTGGCCTTGTTGAATAAGGCGCGGTTAATCCATTGCGATCTGAAGCCTGAGAACATACTGCTCAAGAATCTCGAGAGCCCTATCATCAAAATCATTGACTTTGGCTCAGCATGCGACGAACGCCAAACAGTCTACACGTACATTCAATCTCGCTTCTACCGATCACCGGAGGTCCTTCTCGGCCTTCCGTATAGCTCGGCGATTGATATGTGGTCGCTTGGTTGCATCGTCGTTGAGCTGTTCCTAGGCTTGCCTCTGTTCCCGGGTTCGTCCGAGTACAATCAAATCTCGCGTATCGTTGAAATGCTAGGCAACCCGCCGAACTGGATGATCGAGATGGGCAAACAAGGTAGTCACTTTTTCGAAAAGCGACAGGACGAGTTTGGCCGCCGTACGTATGTTCTCAAGAGTATCGAGCAGTACTCGCGCGAGAACGGAGTGAAAGAGCAGCCAAGCAAGAAGTACTTCCAGCAAAACACCCTTCCGGAGATCATCAAAGCCTACCCAATGCCGCGAAAAAACATGAAACCACATGAAATTGAAAGAGGTAGGTTATTCGTACATCCGACATCCTCTTGTACACGTTCGCTGGACTTTACGCAGGCTGACACTGGTCGCAGAAATGAACAACCGCATTGCTTTCATCGACTTCGTCCGGGGCCTGCTGCAAATCAATCCTCTTGAGCGATGGTCACCGCAGCAGGCTAAGCTACATCCTTTCATCACGCAGCAGAAGTTCACCGGCCAGTTTGTCCCGCCCATGAATCTCAAGTCCAGCGCCCTTAACCGGTCACCCGCTCCTGGAACGCAGCAACAGATGCAGGCCGAGGCCCTCTGCAGGCAGAGAGCTCAAGCTGCTCAGGCTGCTGCTGAAGCCGCTGCCGCTGCACAAGCCGCTACCGCCGCCGCAGCAGCAAATAATGGCCAGCCGCCCGTTTACGGTCCCCCGATTCCTTCTCAGTTTCCGGCTCATTTGATTCCCGGCTCCTACCAGCAGCAGCAGCCGAACACCCAGCCACCACCTCCTTATACCAGTGGTGTTAGCAGTAGTGTCCAACAGCAGCCGTCGGGAAATTCCTACGTTCCTCCTGCGCAGATGCCGCCCGCAAACTACGCACAATCTTCGGCGGTAAATGCCAGCCTGTACCCCCCTGCGTCGGCCAACCGTGGCACTCGTCCCCGCGCATCCACTATGGAACAACAGCAAAGCGGTATCCCTCCGGCCATCCAGAGGGTTGCAAGCCAGCTGGATCCGAACCATCCCATCCGGTTGCAGCCGAGTCCAGCGTACTATCCGCCTCCGCCAGAGAGTTTTGCCGCGGGAGGTAGCGGCGTTGTGGGAGTGGATAGTGGGCGGCAAATTCCTGGGCGAAGAGGTTCTCGAACTCAGGCGAACGCGCTAAGAGGAAGAGATTTCATCAGGACGCTGGAGGAACGGACACTAGAAGAGGGGTGGGGGAATCCGAGCGGTGGTGGAGGGTCGTATTATTGAGATTGGAAAGGCGATTGAATAGGACTTTGGGTTCGTGATTGCGATAGTCATGTGAATGAAATCGTAATCGCGAAGAACTTATTTGGTCCTGATCAGAGAGAAGCAACGAAGTGATGATAACGATGTTTGGAGGGAGGGAGGGCGGATGGGTGGATGAATGGCATGAGTCGACCTGGTTGCTCTTTTTTGACCGGCAATTGAGAAACTAGCTAAACTGGATTAACTGCAGCTTTTTTTTCACTCGTCGTTCGGTTTGGAAGTGGGTGTGGTTGGTTGGTCGGTCGGATCGCAATGCAATGGGTGGGGTGACGGATGGTGCTTGGAGGGCGTTTTTTTTGTCGTTGTTGTTGTTGGGGAGTTGGATCCAATTCCATGCTTTCATATCTCGATATCGGTTTGTTTGATCGACGACGAGGTTGGGACTAGGCCGGCAGCCAGAAGAAGCGTTTACTCCCTGCCTATCCGTACCTCCTTCTAGCTTACCTTTCGTATCTGTCGTCATCAGGTTCATCATCAAGGCCATTCATTGTTCCGCCGTGGTTCGCTCGATCCTCGTTCACAGCATCCCCTGTTATCCATCGATCGTCGTCACTCGCCCATCGATGACGCAGTCCTCTTGCCTGTTTTCGAGATTATGTACCTCCAGCTCGCTACACCACCATCCCGATCAAGACGGCTTTCGAGTTTGACATCTAGATTGTTAGCTTGGAAAGGAAGTCGTCATGGAGATCATGATCCGAGTCCACAGACAAGCTTGCATGTCTAAATGCGAATGACACAAAGTGGTCCGGACACCTGATCGAATGACCAAAGGGCCGAGCCAGTGCTGCCCATTCTCCCCTTATATCCTACACAGTGGTGACCATCGTATATCGTCTGCAACTGCACACGGTAAGAACCTACTCAGCTAGCCCAACGAAAAAAAAAAAAAGGCGCGCTCAAAGATGACGCTGAACTTTGACAGACCGGTACAACCGTAGTCGAGGTGTTGTATGTGAGCAATAGACGACGAACCAAAGGTGTGTTTGGCGGAGGAAGCTGAAGATGAGGGAGTGTTAGGGGAGCTTATGGCATGAGGGACGTAGTTCTGCTGTTTGAATTGAGCAAATTATATGCCTCTTCAATCAGGGCATGGCTTAGCTGAGGATACATGGCTCTTAAGAGATACGATATTTATTGGCAAAAATCAATGGAACAGGTGGCACAAACAAAGCTGGTATTCTTTCTTTCTATTCATACTACCTGTGCCTTAGCTGCCCGGTAACCCTGCCTGACATGGAAAAAGAACCCCCAGCCAAAAACGCCCAAGTACGCCTTGCTGGAAAATGTTTCGCTGACGTCCTTCTGGACGGCATTCATTATCTGCCCGATGATACGTGCCCGATCAATCATGAATCCGCAAGCAGCAAAGAGAAGTTATACTGACAAGTCAAAGTGCAAGTTGGCAGTTTATGCGAATAGAGCTTCCCGAGACCGCGAAAGTCAATGATCATCCAGAGAAGCGCCCCGCCTTGTTGAAGCCGCGACCCCAGCGGTTGGTCTTGACCATCTCGTCACTATACAGACCACCGCTAGTGGTGGTGTCTGACTCGGGGAACCCGTAAGAGCCGTCGATGACCATGGCATCACGATCGGATGACGGGCGCGAAGGAGGATATGTCGAAGGGGTGTTGCCTGGCTTGAAGTAGACGGACAGCACTCGGCCATCAGCCTGTATAGAAGACGGTCAGCTACAGAACAGCAACTGGACTAAAACATTACTGGAGAGGAACGCACAGTTTGGTTGTTGAAAGTGTCAATCACCTTCTGGGCACCCTCCTTGCTCTCAAACACAATCTCGGCAATCACAATCGGGCGCTGCTTGATGATGCGGCAGCTCTCGATGATGCCGCCCACCGGAGTCATGGCACTCTCGATGTCGGCTGCCGTCGTGCCGGGCGCAAAGTTCTGGGCCATCACCACGTATGGCCCGGCCAGTCCTCGGATTTGGAAACCCTGGTTCTTGCTGAAACTTGTCGCCGCGGGCCCTGTCGGCGCAGTAGGGGGCGCCCCGTTGGGTGAGGGGGTTGAATCATTCTTTTGTTGGGTGCTATTGTTGGGCGGCTGCTGTAGTTCTGAGCGGATCAGAGCTTGGGCAAGCTTTGCGGCATGCCGCTTTTGCCGGTTGCGGTTAGCAGCTGGCGGGATGAAGGCGTTGGGGTCGGTGATGCGTGAGGCAAGGGGGCCGAGAGCGGGTGTGCTCGTGCTGACATCGACATTGCCAGTACTGTGGCGCAGGCGCTTCTTGTCCTTGTTCTGTGCCGAACTCTTAGGTCAGTGGATGGCAGCGAACGAGACAGGTAGGCATCTGACTACGGTTTGCGGACCAACCTTCTTCACGCCGGCGCGGCTAGAAAGAGGACCGGGTCCAGCACTCTGTCGACGGTCTTTCCCGAAAATTTTGGCAGCAAGCTCTTCGGCCTTTTTGCGCTCGCGGGCTATAGCAAGGAGAAGAGTGCAGTGGTCAGTGTTTGTGGTCCCTTGGAGAGATGGTATGCAGCAGGGCCGGGGGGTTGCTTCCAAGCGTACCTGCGTGGATGATCTTCTCGAACTCAGTCGCGACTTTGGCAGCGCCCCCGTTGTTTGCTGTCGCTGCCGCCATCGTGCAAATAGTCGATCTAGCTAGATGTATTAGGGTGTCGACGTCGCGGGCAAACGGGCAATTGTGGTTTTTGGCTGAATGCGGAACGAATGGTGTAGTCGCGGGACGATGGACGGCTTGCTGAGATGAACGGCGGCAGAGGCCTCGAGCAGCGCAGTTCCCAAAATCCAATACCCAGATCCAATGGCGCCAAGTCCCCAGTCGCAGCGCGTCACCTTGGCTTTTGTGCAGGGGAGTCTGCTGGCGCTGCGCCAAGGCTACCTACAGACCCAGCAGCCGAGCGGTCGCTGGTGGGTCCCGTTGCTTGTAGCCTGTACAGTGGGGCCTTGGTATATTCTGTTAGCTCCTTGGCAATGCTTTTTGACGATCTTGGTCACTCTTGAACTTTTTAGCCAAGTGGCTAACAAATCTAACCCCGACACATCTTGTGGTACAGAGCTGTTCTCCCACAGATAGCGGCACTTTGTGGGCTGCGATTACTGATACAGAGTACGTTACCACAGTATTCGCTCCGAATAACCTCAGCCTTTGTTTCGAAGTGGGGCCGATGCCTTATCCTGCTTGATTTCAAGGGCAGTAACGGTCGCCCTCCACATGCTTCAGGCCAACCTCTTAGAGATTGGAGCTTGAGACTTGTTCCAGTTATGAAGTGTCCTCCTCATTCACCCTTTAATTGCAAAGCTTGTGCAACAGGTATGTTAGTATAAACTGGCAACACCTCCGGCCTGCATAACGACCTCGGTTATGTCGGCCCTACAACAAGCTACCTACCACTTCTACCTACCTGAAGTAAATCTACACTGAGCTTTCCTTGAGGGAAGGAAATCAGTCACCAGTCTGCCACTGCCAGCTTCTCCGATACTCCTTTGCGATTTGCTCGGCTATACAGCAGTAAGCACCTAGCAAGTAAGACTCGACTTCCATGGGGATGCCGACTTGGCTTTATGGCATGTATGGTCAATAGGCACCTACCTACGTACCTAGGTAGTTGATATAGGATCATCAAATGGAAAGAGAACAAGAAGAATATGATAGGCATGCTGGTAGCCACCGTCACTCCTTTCGCCTGCAAACTCCCACGGATGACGTGATTTTCAATCTGGTTGACTTGCCTCTACCTGGCCATCACTATCACTCGCTTAGGCTCGAAATGCACAGATGCATACTTGTCCAGATACCTAAGATAGTTCTCGTTGTTCTCGTTGCAGCATCGATCCGTCCTACCAGGTGGCTTCGATGCTTCCGGCCGGCGACCGGCTGGCAGCAAAACCGGGACCTGAGATCTCTCATCTGGGTCTTTCCCAGAGTGCCATTCACATGCAGGAGATGCTTGAACTTTCCCTGGTGAAGAGACACAACTTCCTTTCGGACCACTTTGGCGCCAATTGCAATTGGGAAGCCTACTGTCCTATTATGGATGCTTCTTTCTGCGTGAATTCCATCTAAAGTTCTGAACCACCAAGACGACCTCCTGTCCCTTCTCCAACTCAGTCCCTCCCGTTATAACTGCTTCCTTTCATCTGAGCATCCACATAACCGTTCCCAAGTTGGCCCATCTTGGTTGGTTAAGGATCAGCTAGGCCAGGTTAACTGTCTTCATTGATCCCAACAAGCATCATTCATCCATCCTCTTATTACCATTCAGCCAGTTTCTTCGAGCAAGAAAACAATGTCAAGTCCAATAACATCACCGCCGCAGCCGCCTTCAGAGGAGCACAGCTCCAAGTCACCGGGACGCCGCCGCTCTCTTGTGGCCAGCATTCGCCGAAGGACTTCCCGCCTATTCCGCCATCTGAGTAGCCCTGAAGCTGGCACTGATAATACTCCCGACTTCTCGCCCAAGCCCAAGCGCAGTTCGGTGGGAGGAACCGGCTGGCTCCGTTCCCATAGCCGCAACCGTGACAACAAAGATGAGACATGCCCTGGTTCTGGCAAAATTGATGAAAAACGTAGGCTCAAGCTCGGCAGCAGCAGCCACGCCGAGGCAGTGGAGGCGCTTGTGGAGGTTGTCACCAAGGATGGCGTACCTTATCCGGAGCCGTGCCCTCTTGAACTGGCGTACCCACTCCCGTCGCCGGCGAAGAGCCTCACGGGACGGTTTTCAGTGTCTTCTCGCGCAAGGGCTTTCGTCCACTCTCTGTCGGGGAGCTTGCGGAAAGGCCGGGAAGGTCGCATTGGCGACGAGGCCGAGTATGAGAGGGCTGAAAGCTTGGGTGGGTCAAGTTTCTATGGGGATGAGGAGCAAGATGTGGGCGAGGGTGTGGTAGAGGGAGAAAAAAATGAACTTGGGCCACTGAGGAAGCTGTCGGACAACATTTCACGGTCCAGCTCGTTTCGGATAGGACTTCAGAAGGCTGTACAGGGTGAGTGCTGGAATGGAGGATTTCAGTTGCTGTTTATAGCTGACATGATGGCAGACATTCTCGAGAATAACTTCCGATTCGAGGATAAACAAAAGCCCGGTAAGTAGCCTTGATCCCATTACTGCCCCTAAAACCAAGACACTAACAAATTAACAGACCGCGGAAATCTTCGCTCCCTTTGGACGATCCAGTCGGCTGACTCGACTCCTGAGTGCGCTCTTACCTCCCCCTCCCCCCCGGCGCTGCCGCCCAATTTTCCATGACTAGGTCACTAAGATCTCCCAGGGAGCAAAACTCGCTTGTCCGAGAGCACCAATCACCCACAGCCCAGCAGGAACCTCTGATCGAATCTTCGCTGTCCTCGGTTCCTCCTACGGCACTCAAAGTTTCCCGTTTACAATCGCACGCTTCCCCAACTCCGGCAACCGATACACCAGCAAGTATCTTGTCTTCGTCACCATCTACCCCACCACGTCCACGCAATCGTCTGCCAGCGGGTATTACTGCCAAAGCAATCATTGCCCTGGAGGAAGAACTAGTCCGGGATCCGTCATCGGCCTTGGAGGACCCGTTTATTCAAGGGGAGGGTGAAGGACTAGACGATCAAATGTCACGTTGTATGCAAGGTGAAGAGGCGAGTATACTGCGACGGCGGTCATCATCACGTCATCAGCGACGGGAAAAGCCAACGGCATCTGTGGTTGACTCCAATATTGACACAGAGATTGGTTCTGTGGACGTCCCAGAGGTTTTTGGCGGCGTTGATGCCCCCCCTGCTACCATTCCTGCTGATCACCAAGGGGTTGTTGTTGTGGTTGGTTCCATGGGAGTCCAACCAGCAAAAATGTCTACTTCTGTGGAGGTGCTAGACACTGCGCCCAAGGCTGCTGCTGGTGTGATGTCAAGGGAACGGGTTGAAGGAGAAGGGAAGGGTGAGAAAGCGCACCTTTAATTGCTTGCTAATGTTCGTGGGGATAGTCGGGTGGGCTGTTGAAAGAAATAGAAGACTTAGGGGGGTATATTAAGGGTGTGTCGAGTCCAGGGTGGTAAAAAAAACTGTTGAGTTCTTGCTTCTTTGGCGACGGTTGTATTGTTAAGCAGCATTCGTATGCTAGCCCCAAGGGGGCATAAGTCTTGGTTTATGGCTTCCTAGTGTGCTGCTGTTGTCTTGTTGTCGTATGAATTCGTGATAGGTTGAGGGACCAGAGTTATGGAAAACGAGAGAGGAGTCTAGACAAAAGAAAATACACTTGATTAGAGAAGGCCATGTCCCGATCGCTTGTACAGGAGCTTGCATGTGCGTCAACTAACTGTTCATTGGATAGCGGGCTGGTTGTCAGTTTGAAGAGCTGCAGGATCGGCATTTAGATGCCGTGAGCCTCGGGGTTGCTTGGAGCATATTGTTCACTTGAGAACTATGCTGTCGGAACAAAAGCGAGTGTACCAAGAAGGCTCCACTCTGACCACTTGAGAACTCTCATGCCATCAGCAACTGTCTCTGTGTGCGAAACTTGTGATGAAAAAAGTACCTACTCGTATCATGAGCCCCTGTCTTGTTAAACTCCCCGGATATGGTACATGTCGTATATACACTATTGATACAATGCCCTCATCCCTTCTATTGCATGTGGTCTATCCAAGCCCAGTTTCTTCCATTACAGCCTTCATTACCCTGCTAGCACATCGCAAACAATGAGCTATTTCTCACCTGCCATTCTCCCTTGTGCCAACCGTGCCTCCTCAGTAAATGCATCAAAGATGCCTCGAGGTAATCTCGTAGGCTCTTCGTCATCATCAAACTCTTTCTTCTTCTTTTCTGGCGGAGGTCCTTGTGGGTACAATTTCAGGATATACCGTTCCACCAGCCGCTGTAGGACCACGCGCCGCGGCTTCAAAATGCTCTGGATCAGCTGTTCTTTTGACTCAGAGGGGAACATCTCCTGGTTGGTGACAATATCAATAGCGCTGATCATGCGGCGGGCAGTCGCCATTGCTTCCTGCATGTCGTTGCGCTTCAAGTCGACTTCTTGCTCTGGAGAGCCGGTGGCGGGTTCGGAAGCAGCAGGATAGCTGAAGGAGGAGACGAGGATGCGGAACGGCTCCCAGAGGACGTCGACTGCCCTGATGAGCTGCTTGCCATAGGCGACGTCTGCGGCTTTCCTGGTCTGCCTCTCCTTGGTCAGGCGTTCGATCGTGGAAAGCGAGGGGTCGGCCTTGATCTTTTCAATCGCCCTGATGGCTTTGTCATAGATGTGCCGCTTGTTGAGGCGTGCCACGTGCAGGAACAGGCGCATCGATAGGGGGTCGGGATAGCGCATCTTGGCCATCATGGCCTCGAAGATCCGGCATGCATTGCTGAAGGCGTCGGGATTGAGGTTGTCATGCACGCACGCGCCGAAGGCAATGCGGAAAGTAATGGGGCTCACAATGTCAGCCGGCATTGCATGCACCACGTCGGCCACTGCTGCGCTAGCGTGTCCAACGGCGAGAGCACGCAGGTAACAGTACCAATTATCGGCATCTGGGGTGACATTGAGGGATTTGGTGAAGTATTCCCAATACTTGTGGGCGTGGGATGTTTTCCGTGTGCGGGCGAGCGAAGTGAGCGCCAGGGAGAGCGCTTTGTTTCCGGGCTTTGCGTATAGAGGCGCCCCCTTCGGGCGAGATGCAGCCAGCTCGCGGCGCTTCTTGGGTGAGAGGTCGGACACGTCCACTTGTGGAATATCATCGTTGTGCTCTCTGTTCTCCTCCTTCCCTTTAACATCATCCGTTTCCATGCCCTCTGGCTTCCCCTGGCTTTCTTCCTCTGTCATACGCTTTGCATCCTCTGATGCCTTCGTTACTTGTAATTTTGCCTGCTCGGCCTGCCTCTTCAACTCCTTCTCTAGGATGGGAGCAGACGGCATCTCGTCCACCGCAGACACATCAGGCGGCGGGTTTGGAAGCTTAGCGCCAACCCTATCGAGTCGAGGAACTTTCATAGTTTCCTCCATAAGGTCCAAGATGCTGTCGCAGTCCTTGTAATCGCCTGTGGCAAGAATGCGACCCATGGCGACCACGAGGGGCTCGTCGAGTAGCAGGCGGCCACTGCGCCAGCGGGCCAACACATCGGCCCAAAGGGCGCGGGCCTTGCCAACATTCCGCTGAATTTCCTCCTGCACCTCCTGGTCGACCAAGCCGAGCCGACCGTTCTCCAGCTTTTTAACATCGTAGCGGAGGGCATTCAGGACAATGGTGAAAGTGTGGGCATCAGGAGCGCGCACGGTCTCGTTGGCGCTCTTGAGCACGGTCAAGAGGCTGTCGATGTCACCGGCGCGGGCGCAGACCTCGAGGACGGCGTTCATGTGGATGGTGTTGGGCTTCAGGGAGCCCAGATTCAACATGAAGTTGTAGATACGGGTCGCTTCTGACACGGCTAGCTTGGGATGCAGCGACTGGGCGCAACCACGGAAGATGATAGTGTAGGTTTTCGCATTCGGGATCTGGGCGCGCTTCTTCATTTCGTTGTACAGCTTTACGGCGGCATGCAGACGGCCCTTCTTCATGTGGTAGTCGATCAGATGGTTCCAGGCGACCTCGACCTTCATCTTGCGGCTGGCCATGCGCGTCAGGAGGAGAGCCTCCTCAAAACTACCCTTCGAGAGAGCCTTGTGGACATGCTGGGCAACCAGATATTCGTTGCCCAGCCACTGGAGGTGCTTCTTGACCACCCATTCGAGCTTCTTTTCATACCTCTTTTTGCCCTCGGCCTTGTCCTCCTCAGCCGCATTGGCCTTGGTCTTCGCATCGCCGTCCTCGCTCTCCTTCCTTTTTTCATTCTCATTCTCCCTATCCTCGACGGCACTCGTGCTGGAAGGGGCATTTGCGCCTGCGCCTACTCTATACCACCGCCGATATGGCCCTAAACCCACCGGAGGCCTGCACAATGGCTGTACCAGCCGGGACTGGACAGGTGTGATGCTCGCCCCAGAGAGGGATCGCAGACAGGCCCTACAGACGTACATGGCGGTATGGGGCTCTGATCAAGGGAGGGGCGAGGGGTAGGGGCCTGGGGAGTGCGCGCGCTGGGAAGCGCTGCCACAGTGAGTGTGTGCGTGTGCCTGTGTCCTGTATTCAGGTTCTAGCTCAATGGAGCTCCAGGCTGGCTGTCGTGCGATAGTTTTGCCGTGGCTTCTCAGCTGCCCTTTCTTGGTCAAAATTGTGAGCACGACAGAACAACCCGGTGCGGTGTTAGGCCGTGGGTGGTTGAGACGTTGAATGGCGATGCTTGGCATGGAGTTCATGGAATTCTTTTTTTTGCGGTCGCACTCTTGGATGATTGGCTTGCCTGCCGCGACAGAGCCAGATTGTGGTGGGGTTGTGAGCGATACCCAAGCCAAAGCGCCAAGCAGTCCCACCTCGAGAACTGGACCTGCCTGGCAGTCGCGTTACTGGCTGACAGGGGCTAAGGGCCTGCGGGGTGGCTTAGCTGCCCGGACCGGGGATCAAATGGATTATGGACTGACAAGGGTCAGCGGTGCAAGGGTCGCGTGTTGCACGACGCGATCGAGACGCGAAAAGCGTGTCAGCCCTTGTTGTTGGCGAGCGTACGGTAATCAAGTAACAAATGAAAACCGCCCACGTCCAGTCCAAGGCCATCCATCACGTCAGTCCCACCAGCACCAGACTGCCTTGACTGCCTCGACCGCTCCTTCTGCGCAATTGAGAGCAGACGACGGTCAAAACAGACGTGATCGAAGCTACGGATACAGAATACGGATTTAGGTCAGTACTGGGTTGGCATGGTAGTTGGCGCATGAGAACGAGAATGCCTCTTCTGCCCCTCTGAAGTCTCACATTCTCAATCTGAAGTCTGAAGTCCAGCATCCAGCATCCAGCATCCAGCATCACACGACCAATCATGTCCAACGCCAACAAGCGCAACAAGTTCGCCGAGCTGCGGGCTCTGCGCCAGGCCGGCAAAAAGGTCTTCGACACGTACCAGGTGGCCGAGGTTGAGGATCTGTACGAGGAGGTCGACGAGAACCAGTACAAGAAGATTGTCCGCGCCCGTCTCAACCAAGATGACTTTGTCGTTGACGACAATGGCGAAGGTTATGTCGACGACGGCCGCGAGGAATGGGACCACGAAGAGTACTATTCGGACGAAGATGACGAGGTCTCCGTACGCGGCAAAGACCGAAAGAGTAGGCCCTCCCTGCTCTCTGCCACTCTCCCATTGAAAATCGAACAGAATGCTGACTAGTACCCTTCCAGACAAGAAACAGCGTGAGCAGGAGCAGGCAAAGCGGGATGCCTCCGACCGCGACATCACCGAATACTTTACCAGGGGCGCTGCAAAGCCCCAGAAAAAGCCGAAGGTGAGCACTCTCACTGCATTCCTTACAATTGGTTCCACGTTGACCTTCCGTAGCCCGTGAAAACGGAAGAGGACGAGAAGTTCTTGGCCGACCTTCTGGGCGAGGTTGACGCCAATGTCCCGGCTCCGCTGCCGAGGATACCAAAGAAGAGAGACCGCTCTGCCGAAAGGAGAAAGGTCCGAGCTCTTTCCCCCTTGCCGGAAGCACGGCCACCAGTGGCCAAAAGAACGAAAATGCTGGACGGCAGTGCCTCATCGCCGCCTGCCATCCATGACGCTGCCATGATTGAGGACGACGGGTTCATCCCGTCCGTTGAGTCCGAGCCGGCTGCGGCCCCCATGAGCGACATCGTCATGGAGGAGCCGGAGCTTGAGCCACTGCCCTCGTCGCCGGTCTCTAAGGTTGTCCAACGCAGGACCCAGGTCAAGATCGAGCCCGACGACGACGTGGATGACCTGATGGAGGTCGCCCATGCCGGTGCTGTCACCACGACTAGTGTCAATTTATCCGGCTCTCGGCAGGCAAGGAAAATCCCAAAGCCTGAGCCACACTCGGTCCCTGCTAGCTCCTCACCAGTTAGGCCTTCCGAGCCCGAAGTCGACGCATCTGCGTGGAATAGCATCAACCAAAAGCTTAACGTTGTCAGCAGCTCCCCGACCGAGGCTAAGACGTTTGGGAAGATCCACTACACGGATGCTATCGAGGAGGATGGTAGCCTGCACTTCTACTGGACCGACTACACGGAACTCAACGGCAGTCTGTGTCTGTTTGGCAAGGTACTCAACAAGAAGAAGAACCACTACGTGAGCTGCTTTGTCAAGGTCGACAACATCTTGCGCAAGCTTTACTTCCTTCCTCGCAAATATCGTATGCGCAACGGCGTCGAGACGGATGAGCCCGTCGAGATGATGGACGTCTACAACGAAGTCGACGCCCTCATGACCAAGCTGGGCGTCGATATGCACAAGATCAAGCCCCGGAAAAAAAAGTATGCCTTCGAACTGCCGGGAATACCCTCGGAAGCCGAGTATCTCAAGCTCATGTATCCGTACACGAAGCCGCAGATCGAGCTCGGAAAGACTGGCGAGACCTTTTCGCACGTCTTTGGCACCAACACAGCTCTTTTTGAGCAATTCGTGCTTTGGAGGAACATCATGGGGCCCTGTTGGTTGAAGATCGAGGATGCCGACTTCGGCGCCCTCAAGAACGCTTCGCACTGCCGCTTGGAAGTTCTGGTCTCGCGTCCCGATTCGATCTCCCCTATCGGCGATAGCGAGTCCACCGATGCGCCCCCCTTAACCCTCATGAGTGTCGCCATACGCACCATCTTCAACGCCAGAGACAATAAGCAAGAGATCTTGGCCATCAGCGCCCGCATCTACGAGGATGTGTTGCTCAACGACACCACACCTGCCGACAAGCTCCCCTGTCGTACCTTCACCGTCATCCGTCCGCAGGGTGCCACATTCCCTATCGGTTTTGAGAAGTTAGCCAAGGAGCGGAAGAAGGGCCTCATCAAGCTCATGCGTCAGGAGTCCGATATGCTGTCCTTCTTCCTGGCACAGCTCGACATGGTCGACCCCGACGTCATTATCGGCCACCAGTTGGAGGGTGTCGATTACAGCATTCTTCTGAACCGTCTGTACGAGAGGAAGACACACCAATGGTCACGTCTCGGCCGGCTGCGGCGATCTGCTTGGCCTGCGTCCATCGGCAAGGTTGGCGGCAATCTTTTTGCTGAACGCCAGATCATGGCTGGCCGTCTGCTGTGCGACTTGGCCAACGACGCCGGCAAGTCTGTCATGTACAAGTGCCAGTCGTGGAGCTTGACCGAGATGTGCAGTATGTACCTTTCGGGTGACGATAATCGTCGCCGGGACATCGACAACGATGCCGCTCTCAAGACGTGGGCCACGAGCAAGGAGGGCCTGATGGACTACATCTCTCATGCCGAGACGGACACCTACTTCATCGCAGCTTTGGCCCTGCGCACGCAGATTCTACCGCTGACCAAGATCCTGACCAATCTGGCCGGCAATTCATGGGCTAGGACGCTGACGGGTACGCGTGCTGAGCGCAACGAGTTTATCTTGCTGCACGAGTTCAAAAAGGCCGGTTACATCTTGCCAGACAAGATACCCGCAAAGGGCCGCGCGCGTGTTGACGAGGAGAACCAGGACGATGACGGCGGCGAGGGCGGCAAGAAGAAGGATAAATATAAGGGCGGCCTTGTCTTCGAACCCGAAAAGGGCCTCTACGACAAGTACGTACTTGTCATGGACTTTAACTCCCTGTATCCATCCATCATCCAGGAGTACAACATTTGCTTCACTACTGTCGACCGATCGAATCTTGTTAGTCTTCTCCCCCCTCTTTTTTTTCCCACACCCGGCCTGTTACTGGATGCTAACACTCAGATTCTTTAGTCTGACGACGAAGATGCTGTTCCTGCCGTTCCGGGCAAGGACCGAGATCAGGGCATCCTCCCACGGCTACTTGGAAAGCTGGTCGATCGCCGGAGAGAGGTCAAGAAGCTGATGAAGACCCCGAGGGCTACGCCAGAGCAGCTGGCTACCTGGGATATCAGACAGCTTGCGCTCAAGCTGACGGCCAACTCTATGTACGGCTGCCTGGGCTACACCAAGTCTCGGTTCTACGCCAGACCTCTTGCTGTGCTCATTACATACAAAGGCCGTGAGATTCTTCGCAGCACTAAAGCCCTGGCCGAGAGCATGTCCTTGCAGGTCATCTACGGCGACACTGACTCCGTCATGATCAATGCCAACGTCGACAACGTCTTGGCCGCAATAGAGGTCGGCAATAAGCTCAAGCAGGAAGTCAATAAGCTATACAAGCGACTTGAAATCGACATCGATAACGTCTTTCGGCGCATCCTGTTGCAGGCCAAGAAGAAGTACGCGGCTATCAACATGGTCGAAGAGAACGGCCGGTGGGTAGAAAAGATGGAGGTTAAAGGTCTGGACATGCGGCGCCGTGAGTACTGCCCGCTCTCGCGCGAGGTTTCCAAGCGCATCCTTGACGAGATCCTGTCGGGAGACGACACCGAGGTGTCCGTACAGCGCGTGCACAAATATTTGCGCGAAATCTCGGCCAAGATGCGCGAGGGTGCTATCCCTCTGAATAAGTATATCATCTTGACCCAGCTCGGCAAGGCCCCAAAGGAGTACCCCAACGCCGACAGCATGCCGCAAGTACAGGTTGCTCTGCGCGAGATGGCCCGTGGCAAAGTCATGCGCCGCGGCGACGTCGTCTCATACATCATCACCACTAACAAGAATAACACGTCCGGTAGCGATAGTCTACCTCCCGCTAAGCGTGCTTACACTCCGCAGGACGTGATGAAGGCCGACTCGGGTCTTGTCCCAGACGTTGAGTGGTATATCGGCAAGCAGATAATGCCGCCAGTGGAGCGGTTGTGTGCCAACATTGTCGGCACTTCTGCCACGCAACTGGCAGAAAATCTCGGTCTCGATCCCAGACACTACGCCAACAACAGGTCTGCAGCCTACAATACCGCCGACGCTGCTCGGGATCTTGAAATCCATCCTCTTGAGTCTCAGATCCCGGATCATATCCGCTTCTCTAACTGCGCACGTCTGACGCTGCGCTGCCGCGCCTGCAAACACCTCTTCCCGTTTGAAGGGCTCCTCCCCCTGCCCGCCTCGGATGCCCAGCAACAGAAGGAAGCAGCAGAGGAGCAAAACAAGATCATTACTCCTTCAGGCATCCACTGCCCGTCTTGCTCGGCCCTCCTCCCCACGCTCACGCTCGTGGCGCAGGTCGAGACGGCCGTCCGCGCCCAGACAGCGCGCTACTACGAGACCTGGCTCACGTGCGACGACGCCTCGTGCGGCAACCGCACGCGTCAGATGTCCGTCTACGGCACGCGGTGTCTCGGACCGCGCGGCCTGGCGCGTGACTGCCTTGGTCGCATGCGCTTCGAGATGGGCGAGCGCGAGATGTACAACCAGCTGGTGTACTTCGCGGGGCTGTGGGATGTCGACAAGGCAAGGAAGAAGGTGACGGAGGAGAAGAGTGTGAGCGAGGAGGAGAAGGAACGAGTCCTGGCTCTTGCTGAGCACAACCGCGAGCGGTTTGGGACGGTGAAGGGGGTGGTGGATAAGTATCTGGAGAAATGTGGCCGACAGTGGGTTGCGATGGATACTCTCTTTGCCAAATTGGGGTTTATGCCAACAGTATGACATAGTGTGTGGAACGGGAAAGAGGGAGATGAGTTATGGATAGAAAATGGTAAATAGAAATGGGGAGGCTTGCGTGATTCTAATTCACTGTACTTCAGGATGTTCTGTTTTTCCTTTACATCTCTTAGCAATTACGGTATAGGTATGTATGTCGCTGGGAATGGGTTTGAAGGGGCTAGAATGGTTGGGTATGTGGTGGATGGCTAAGAGGAGGAAACGATGGGAGATTTGATTGTGTTATACATTGTTGCCGGGTCATTAGGACCATCATAGACACTAAAGTGACAATGCACACTTTCCAAAGCTTTTATGGTGCCATTTGATGGACGTCAAACTTGATCCAGAAAAGTGAGTCCATTGTCATCATCAGTCTTTAATGCCCTTGTTTGTCCCTGATATCGATTCAGCTCAGTTGACCATGAGAATTACTCATATCTTATCCGGTAAATAGGGTAGTCTATAATGGTCTACCTTCCTAACTTAACACCACACCCCCAAGCATTTCCCCAACACAACTTGGGCTGGCATAGTTCACAGAAACACAAAACAAGTTCAAGCAGGGAACATAATAATAAAGCAGTCCATATATTGATTGGTTGCCTGTTGCATACTGCATGAATTATGGTAAATCACTATCGACCTGAGCAGCAGAAGGACCAGACTTTTGGTGAAGCTCCAAAGCAAGCCAAGCCGTGATTACCCTGGGTAACCACAGCAATCCAAGTAGAAGCTGACTGATAATCGAATTACTGCACCTGTAGCCCATCATCCCAAAACTCCATAAACGACGAAAAAGTGGTAGTAGCAATCACCCATCTCATGTCCGCTGGGCATTGTCTTTTGTGTGGTAGGGGAGTAAAAAAATGTCTATCATGACTGAAACGATAAAAGCGAGGTATCATGAGTACGAAGGCCCAACTTTTTCTCGAATACCTGACCACCTAGACGGGGGAACTGAGAAAAGAAAACACAACAACCGTAGTGAGAAGCCCCATCCGTCGTGGAAACGCAATTTTGACGAGGAATTACCCACGCCCCAAATGCAAATGAAAAGCCCGCCCAGTCTATGCATGAGGATGAGGTTCATGAATGCGAGACGACTCCACATTGTGCCAGAATGGAAACCTCCTCTTGCTCTCTCCTTACTCTTTTTTGACATCACCGGCGGCAACGGTGTCGAGAGTTGCCTTAGACAGAGCCGGTGACGCATGGGTCGACGGAGGAGAAGCCGGGTGGTCTCCTGTATCAGCAAGAAGCCTGTATAAAACGGTGGGTTAGCTCTCATTCACGCACACTCTGAGCTGCCACATTCCCTCGCTTTAACTAGGACTATGAAAACGGCAACATGGCACATACCCGAATGCATTGGCATGAGCAACAGACTCGCGGTTCGACACAGGTGGTGTGCCGGTGCGTGAGGAAGTGCCAGAATCCTCTCCAGCACGGCCAAAAGCACCACCGGGACCGCCCATTCGTCGACCACTGTTGCTGCGAGAGTTGAACATAGAAGTCGGCCCGAAAGAAGGGTTGTTGCTGCCGGTACGGCTCGACGAACCCTTGAGACGACGGAGATCGTCCATGCCAACGTTGGTGGCCGTGTTGCTGTACGAGGTATTCCTCGAATCGCTGCGCCCACCAGCGGGGCGGCCACCGGGACCACTACGGGAAGCATTGCGTGCGGTTTCGGCTGCCTTCTGCGCAGCCTGGGCCTCAGCCTGCATGTGCTACCGGATTAGCAAGAAAACCAGAATCGTGATTGGAAGGGGGGGGGGCCACAAAAACAAGACTGTAAATGGCGATCGTACCTCAGCGCGAACTTCCTCAAGAGTCTTGGGGCCCTTGTTGGCATCCTTGGAGACCCAGTTGGCCTTCCGGAGATCCACAATGTCCATAAGCATAAACTTCAGACGGCTGGGCAGACCTGGGAGCTCGATGATGGCGTTGATGCGGGTGAAGTAGGCGTCCATAAGCTGCTTTCCGCGCTCATGAGCGTCGAGATTGCCGCCGATGGTGCGCAGGAGCTTGCACAGCGACTCAATCTCGGCCTCGTCAGGCATATCCTGGAACTCCAGCAGCTTGCGCACACATTCGTGCATGATGCGCTCGGTGAGCATGGTAAGCTTGTAAAGCTCGCCGATGAACTGAACGAGACCGAGACCCTTCCGCTTGGCAGCGGCGGCAGCATAGTACTCGTCGGACATGAGGTCAACCTCGCCCTTGCCGTTCTTGGGCAGGTCGACCTTCCAGCCACGCTCAAATTCCTCTTGGCAGCGGTTGAGTAGATACTTGCGGAACAGGGCGCCACCGCAAACAACGTTGCCGTTCTTGTCGAGAAGGTTCTCGTCGCGGATTTCAGGGCTCATGCTATCAAGCATACGCTTGCAGAACTTGGCATACATGGAAGCCCAGTGGGCCTCGTCGCAGGCCTTCTCGAAGGTGAGCTGGATGACCTGGCGCAGGGTGCGGCCGTCCGACTCGTCCTTGGATTGGCTGGCAATGGTCAAGATCTGCTCCGAGATACGGTCGAAATTCTCGGGTGTCATCTTGTTTAGGGCAGCCTTCACCTTGCGCTGCACCATCTCCGGATCCAGATGGCCGCCAGCGTTAATAACAGCGGTCGGGTTCTGCACAGTCTTGTTGCCAATGCTCATCGGCTTCCAGCCTGTGGCTGAGATGGTGATGGGTTTGATCTCCTGGCCCTGGGTGAGAGGCATGGTCTTCGCAGCCTGTGCCTCGCTGACCTTGGCACGGCTCCCACCACGCCTGCTGCCCGTGCGTGGCGAGGGAAGGCCGCCAGGGCCCGAGGAAGGAGTACGGCTCAGGTTGCCAGGGAAGGCACTGGGGCGGTTGAAGGCACCACCCATCGTGCCCATGCCCGGTCTGGGAAGGCTACCCTGGGACATGGCAAAGCGCTGCTCCGATGTCGTGCCGGGAGGGAGCGTCTTGGCCCCAAACTGGCCCATGGCACCTCCGGGAGGGAAGGCAGAGGACGGGCCCCGCGAGCCTTGGCGACCGGCACCGCCAGGAGTGCGCGCCGAACCGGAGCGAGAACTGTCCGAGTCGCCGATGAGCGCCTTGACCTGCTGATCGAAATCTGGAGACGGCTTCTCCGTGAAGACGTTCTGGAATTGCAAGAGGAACTGAACGTCGTACTTGAAGATGCGGCCCTTCTTCTGCACGGCTTCGTTGAGCGCAGGGTTCGGCGATTTGATGCCCGGGGGATAGATGTCCTGGACAATGCCTGGTAAGAAGCGCGCTGACCGCAGAGACTGAAGCGCAGCACTCGGCTGGGGTGCCTCAACACTCGCAGTTTTGAGAGGCGCGAGATTGAGAGCGGCCGGCTTTCTGGCCCCGGGCTTGGACGTACTCGCCTTCTCCGGCTCATCAGGAATGCTGCTGCTGGCCTTCTCAGCCGCCCCCTTGTCCTTTTCGCTAGAAACCTTTGACTCTTCGGCATTCTTGGTCTTGCCAAGAAGCTCACGGACGGAGACGACCTCGCCCTTTGCCTCAGCCTCCTTGCGCCGACGCTCCTTCTCCTCTTCTAGCCGCTCCATCTCACGTTCCATCTCACGGAGCTTGCGATCCATCTCGGCCGCTTTCTTAGCTTTCTCCTCCTCCTCACGACGCTTGGCCTCTTCGGCCTCCTTCTTCTTCCTCGCCGAAATTTCCTCCTGCTCACGCTCACGGCGCGCATCCTCTTCTTCCATCTCACGAATCATGCGCTCGAGCTCCTCCTCAGTCATCTCGTTGGGGTCCTTGAGCGCACCTGCAGGTTTACGAGCTTCGGTCTTCTCGTCGTCCTCTGCCTTGGCCTTTACCTCGGCCTCGGCCTTGGCTTTGCTTTCTGCCTCTTCACGCGCTTTAGCTTCTGCCTCTTCTTTGGCGCGAGCCTCAGCCTCAGCCTCGGCCTTAGCTCGAGCCTCAGCCTCAGCCTGAGCCTTTGCTTCAGCCTCAGCCTGAGCCTTTGCTTCAGCCTCAGCCTTAGCCTTAGCTTCCGCCTCCTCCCGGGCTCTGGCTTCGGCTTCCGCCTTGGCCTTCGCTTCCGCTTCGGCCTTGGCCTTGGCCTCTGCCTCTTCCTGAGCCTTGGCCTCGGCTTGTGCCTTAGCCTGCTCCTCCGCAGCCTTCTTAGCAGCTTCCTCAGCAGCGGCCTCTTCAGCAGCGGCCTTCTCAGCGGCAGCTTTCTCAGCAGCGGCCTTGGCTGCTTCCTCCTCCTTAGCCTTCGCCTCAGAGCTTTCCACCTTGGTCTGAACGGCGTTTTTGAACTCGTTCCGCACCTGTTCGGCAGTCTTGCCACTGGTCGTAACGCTTTCAGTTCGAGCATGTGAGGGTGTCGAGGCCTTGGGGGGAGGGGTTGGCGTCGAAGAGACAACCGGCGGAGTTTTGGCCTGAGTTTGGCCCTTTACCTGCGAGAAGTCAAGGACTGAACCATCTGGGTTCTTGATGACAACGGCTGCGCTCTTTTTTGGGGGGCGGGAGAAATTCGAGGTTGACGACACAATCGCGGGCTGAGCGGGTTGTGTGGACCGTTGGAGCGGTGTACTTGACGCGATGACCGGAGGCTGGGCCTGTGGCGTGGTGGCAGGCTGCCCGGAAACCTGTGATGCGTTACGCGACATAGGCGGTGCGGCCGGTTGGGCTGACGCATAGGGAGCGACAAAAGGCTGAGGGCCCGCAGGCGGGAACTGGGGGGGCTGACCCAAGTAGGGGTTCATGGGCTGCGGAGGCCCATAAGCGGGATAATTCATCCTGTAGCCATCCATGGGGCCTATGGCATAAGGGTTGGGCACCTGCATCTTGTTGGAGGTTAGCAGCTTTTCAAATGTGCCGCTCTCTGGAGACAGGTCGATAGTGGTCCCCATCATGTGAGGAGCGAGTACAGGAACCGGACGGCCGGCCTTGAAGCCGTAAGTGGGAATGGGACCATCCGAGTATTCCGGCATCTGCATGCCACTGTGGAAGTCGCGATGGTTCTCGCCCGCTGGATCCCAACGCTTACTCGAGCGCCGCGACCTCGGGGCGAGGGGCTGATCCATTCCTGTGTGCTTCGGCAAAGGCGCGGTTGGAACCCGAAGACGATGGGCAACTTTCTCCGAGTCCCGTCGTCCGGGCTTGCTCTTGGTAAACTGCTGAAGGGTTGACTGATTGTTGAAATGGAAGGGTGACTTTACTTGAGAGTACAAGGGCGGGTAAAACGGCTGGGCATGGGGCGTAGGGATCGTGGCCGGAGGGATTACGGGCGTGCCGTGAGCCATTGTCGGCGTGCCGGCAGGGCTAGCCCGAGGAGGCTGCGGAGAGCTGGGGTATTGCTGCATGCCACCACGACCCTGGGGGTGGTACATGCCGCCACGACCGGCGTTGGCGCCGGAGAAGTTTCGAGATTGCGCATAGCCACCCATGGGCGGGGCGTTGAACTGGGAGGTGTTGAAGCCTCCACGACCGCGGCCTTGGCCTTGGTAGCCGCCACGACCATGACCGCCGTGACTTACACCATCGCCGTGGCCAGAGGCCGGGGAATCGTGGCGGAGATGCGGAGCCTGATTGGCGCCCGGGTGCTGGCGCAAGTGTCTCTGGACAGAACGGTTAGTATTCTTCTTATTGCAGCGCTCTATGCCATCAAGTGTTGCAAGCCACATCTCGCGGAGACGGGGCGAGTAGTAGAACGCAGAAATTGAGCAAGTATCCATAGCAACAGTAATAGAACAAGAACCAGCGTTCGTGAACGTGTAGAAAACCACAAGTATGGTAAATAAAAAAGTTGACAGAGAAAATGGGTAAAAGCGAAAGGCAGGAAAGTGAAAAGGGAAATATATAGTGACTGGAGTGTGAACGCATGTGAAGGTGACGTCTGAAATCCTGAATTCGCGGAGGCCCAGGTGTTGTTGCTAGACTTACATCGTTATCTCCAGGAAAACTGCCAAAGGTCGGAGGTGGCACTTGTGACATGTTCGGGGCCCGCTGGCCACCGCTCTGCTGAGGAACCTGAGGAATGGGGGAGGGAGAGTGTGCAGGAGATGGGATTCTATGGTTGCCGCTGCCGGTGATCGGGATGGGAACAGCACCAGCCATATGGGGAGTGCCTTGAGGCGACGGAAAACCGAACTGGATGTTCTTGTGGTTGCCGACCGGACCACCGTTTGCGATGTGACTGGCGGGCGCGCTGATGGTCACGGAGCTAGTGTGGCCATGGTTAGAACCGCCGTTGACGATGGAGCTGCCGCGGGCAACAGGCGGGGCGGCTGAGGGGACAGCCGGAGTGACGGTGACGGTGGTGGTGCCGCCACCGTTCAGCGGTTGCTGCTGAGAGGCATTTTGGGAGGTGCTGGTAGATCCAACGACCACGGGCGTTTGGGAACCCGTCGCAATCAGCGGCGATGTCGGCTTCGTGTTTGCACCGGCGGCAGAAGCATACGACGCAGCTGGAGCGTTGGTTGTGGTCGCCGGATTTTGGTTGGTTGTGCTCGCAGTGGAAGTCATAAGGGAATTTTCTGACTCGAAGGCCGATGTCTATTTTTTCGTGGGGCTGATAGATGTGGTGATGGTGGGGTGGTGTGTCGACCGGCGGCTGCTCTTATGAGGGGCGGGAGGGCTAGGGTCACACGCAGCGGCGAATCTCAGATCCGACGTGCGCGCGCAGCGGCAGACTACCTAACCTAGCAGGTATCGGTATCTCTGTGGATGGGATGATGGTGCGTCTGTCGCAGAGGCGATGCTCGTGTCAAGCACCTGATTGGGAGACTAGAAAAAGCCGTGGCGGTCGCGAAAAGTCGCAGAATCGAGAAACGCCGGGGTCGGACGATGCTGGCCAAAGCAAAACCGCTATGGTGAGTGAAAGAGTGTGGAAATCGAAGTGCAAGAGCAAGTGTGAGAGAGAACTGGCGTCTGTCTTAGGCCTAGCAAACCGGGATGCGGGCTGGCAGATCCTGGAGGCGACCAGAGCCAGAGCAGAGTGCAGACACAAGACTCTCAGAAAAAAATGTCGAAACTGGGTGCGGCCCAACGTCCTCGTCGAGATCACAAGAATCTCAAGCTGGATGAGGGGGGCCTGACGGAGTGGAGATGGAGATGAATGTATCTCTGCTCCCTGGATCGAGTCCGACGAGAGGAAATACAAGGGAAAATTATGTGTGAAAAACAAGGGAATCCGTCGATGGGAGAGGATTCCTCCTTTGGGAGTTTTCACAGGTTGTGGAATGATGGTGGAAAAGTGTGAGGAAGAGAGCCAGAAAAATTTTGGGTTTTGGGCGAGCTTGATCGCAGAAGGCGAGGGATGCGGGACCTGCGAGGGGGGGCAGCCTGGGCGCTGCGGTGGGAGGGGCCAGGGGGGTGTGCGCAAGGCGAAAGACTGTGGACGGCGGGCGGCGCTGCTGCTGCGGGCCTCTGCTGCTTTGGATTTTGGATGGAAATTTTCCAGGTTCAGGTTGGTGACACGCCGCTGCTCAGTGCCAGTGGCACCTGGGCACCTGGCAGTGGGCACCAGAGACAGTGACAGTTACTGGAACCCACACCTGCACCGATTTGAGACTCGAGTCACTGCCTCTCTTCCAGTCTCCAGGGCTGCCAACGGATGCCAGGTGCCAGGACATCCTCGGGGCAGCTGTTAGGTCCAACATCGCCGGCGTCACGTCGTAAGTTCCGTTCAATGGGTGGAAGCAGCCACGGCACTCGCATCCACATCTGGCCTAAACCGGCAGACAATCTAGAGTCCACCAACCATTTGCATTCTCGGTTCAGCATTGCGTCAGGGCATCAGAACTGCCAGCTTGGCTCTTGGGCCAAGCAGCTTCATTCCATCTACGGTATGATGGGGCTGCAACATAACATAGGCAGTGTAGCCATTGCTGTTCTTGCTTCAGCGGTGAGTGAAGTGTCATTGTTTTGTGCGTTTGCTAAGGATGCCGTTCTGGATGCTTTCGATGGGCTTGCTGCTTTCACATGCTGGAGTCTACCTAGATACGTACCAGCACCCACAAGTACAGCCCTGCTCTGTGGTTGCAGTCCCACAGACAACTAGCTTTCCATACAGCTTGGCGGATTGGGTGCTTCACGGAAGTCTGCGAGGGTGTTCTAGGATCCCGTATCCCACAACCCACCCACGTCTTTGAGCTGACGATGTGGACTGATTCCAGGGCGGAGTCAACCAACTGCATCCCAAAAGTACCTATTGATAGAGCCTCAACCAGGACTTGCGTTTCCATTCGTGCTTTCGGCGCCACCGTTTCGGGGCAATGTGTAACCTGGCTTTGGCCTTCTTCAGCCTTTCATCGAAAGTTTGTAATATAGAGATATGGTTACCAACTGCCCGATCAAGTGCAACATGGCCATGAGTTTTAACGTCTCCAGAACTGCCCGAGGCATGCTCAGAGTGGAGCCCCCGCTATGAAAATTCTTCGCGCCCTTATTGGCGGCTGTCCGCCTGATGGAAGCATCTAGGTTTTGTCCAGCACCGCCTCGGGTCGGTTGTTGGAGAATTGGGCTTTGGGCTATACGTATCTTAGGATTAGGTGCCTCTGTGGTTTTCTCCAGTGTTCCCCCAGCTGCCTGGAACCTGGGAACGCTGCCACTAATCTCCCCAAGCCTTCACGAAGTCCTGCCCTTAACTAGCTGTGGAGCAAACTTGTACTGATACGCCGTGGGCATGCCTTCTCCGGAGTTGTCAAGTGACAAAAGAATGTTTCTGACTATTGTTCTTGATATTTTTCCCTGCTGCCACTTTGTGTGTTTCTCGCAGTGCCCTCTTGTTTCGAGAGAGGTTGTTGCCTTGTACCCAATCGTGAGGTCAGCCTTGGGTGTTAAAAAGATAAGGTACCCACGATCAATGTTCATCAGCCCCTTAAAGGCAGGGTAAGGATTCAACTTGCCAAAAGGCAACCATTCTTCTGTTTTGGTAGCAAGACATAAGATGGAAGATAGAGAAAACTGCTGCTGCCATTACCTCTTGAGCTCAAATGACACCGGAAACCATGCGGATTACACAAGCAGATTTCATCAGGTGGTGGTCCGGATTGCGGCACGCTCGGTGGGCGTACGGAAACTGGGCTTGCCTCCACCCCACGTCTGGGGCGAAGGCTTGGCATGAGCTTGGTACTCCACACGAGATCGAGGGGAAGCGGTTTTACAAGTCTCCAGCACCCACACAGCCTGGGCCGTCGTCGAACCTCTCGCCGACCACGCTGAAGACCACAGGACAGTTTTCGAGCCATCTTGTCATACACAGCCACAGAAATAAAAGAAGATGAAGACAATATTATTAGTTGAATGCTGATCCAGAAGTCATGCTCTAATCCCCGTTCGAATAATCTGCTTGCATCTTGGAAGCGGAAAGTGAGCTTCCAGAGCGATGCCCTGGCCCAAACGTCCATACATGCTCGCCTCGGGTGACCATAGTGTGGTAAGGATTCTCTCATGCTCTTGGGCTAAGAGTCTTTCTTTGCCGGCTTGTGGTTAGTCGGCGGTCGTAGTGCAGCAGAAGACCGCGACCTTCGGATTGGAGAAATCTTCTCTTGCAAAGCCGCCCATGCTCCCGTCCTTCCCCTTATGCCCGTTTAACCGGGCCTTGACACCACAGCCAGTATACAGCATGCGACTTGCAGACCGAGGGGAGGAGGGGTGGTGCGAGATAGGGCAGAGCGGCCAAGCCGGCATCAGGCCAGGAATCAAAGATGTCAGACGCACCTCATACTCTACCTCCCTACTCGCCAATGCATTCCCGGATACTTGTGCCAACTTCCAAATGGAATTCAAGGTAAAGGCCCCGATAGTCGCACGTGTTGCAAAACGAATAAAGTCCCTTTGCACTTTGCTCCCTTGCCTCCAGAGTGCCGTCGTCCCCATGTTAACCAAGCCAACATACGGTTCACATAGGGTTCCGGTTGCTCGGAACTCCACAGCGGGGTAGGCACCACCCCGCCAGAAAAAAAAACTCGAGTGCCCCTCATCAGCTCTGAGAAATGGGGTATGTTGCGTACGATGTTCAACGCCAATAAGCCAGCCCAAGTCTTCATGTCCCTACCTACCAATGTTGATCATAAATTGGCCATCGTAATTTTCATTTTTCATGTGCTTAAGCATACGTCAAGCAAAACAAAACGGAACGAATGCTTTTCTCCAACGAAAACCATGGATCATTACGTAAAAATTTTCAAAACATTTGACCCGCACCCGATTTGAACGGATAACCTTTTGATTGCACACCCCTCACCTCACGGAGGCTGACGAGGGACTGGAGTCAAACGCGCTACCGTTGCGCCAGCGGGCCATTTGCGATAGGCACGGTCAAAGAACAAGAAATATTTACCATGATTTGACGTTGGCCCCTGTGGAGAGTTGGTAGTCCACCGAAGTCTCCCCATGAGCCCGACGGGGAGGAGGATGTATGATTTATTGCAGAAAGGTAGCTGCGTATAGGAGGTTGAGTTTAGAATATGCAGATCAATTCATATTCAAATCAACATCCTCAAGGACAGAAGGAGGTGAGAATTGACCCAGGAAGACCCTGGGGAGGAATTTCACTTTATAAAGGTCATTTTTTTACACTTCAACATCCCCTTGCATTACTTTGGCCGTGGGACTAATGTCAACAAGCTCCCCTCTGCAACCGAGACAAGCAGGGGGAAATGGCGGATAATATTAGATCTCGAGATGCGCCACAACCAGGGACACTATCTGTCTTATCTTACAGCAGTGACATAAGGTGCTGCAGTGCGACGACATGGCCAAATTGTGACGGATGGAATGTTTGCTGCATGCGGATACTGAAATGAAAAACACGTGTTCTGGGTTGAGCAATGTTTCGAGTCGTGAAACCAACAACAAGCCGTCTCGCCTCAGGGAAGAAACCAAGTCGGCATCAAATGCAATTGATCTGCATTCGGTGATCAGCAGCCAACGCTGGTCCCAAGACTTTGGGCCTGATCGACCGACACTGCGCGTATATGCATGATCAAGTGAGCTTGAATAAGCCAGGGCCAAAGAACCAACGCTTGTGGTTGAAGATCATACGTATGAAGCAATCCCTGGAAAGTCCGTTGACAGTAGGTATGCAGTACATGTTATCACAGTATAAACGCCACAGTCTTCGAGGACTTTCATCTTCGCGTATGCCATAACTGGACACCTACTCGAAGTATGTGAATAAACTTATGAGTCCTCAATCTCAAACCCTTTCACCCTTTCGCCTTCGCCTTCTTCTCCGTCGCCCTCCTCTTCATCTAGCGGGAGATATCCCTCATCCGCTTCGGCGCTTACTACCTCTTTTGGCATCTCAACAGGCACCTCTTCAGACAGACCCTTCTCCTTCCTGAGCTCAGCGATCTTCGTCTTGGTCATCTCAAACACCCACTGACCCAGATGCTCCACGCCCTCCATGACGACCTCGCCTTCGAGCTTCTTGGTGTCGTCAGTCTCGTCGGCCAGCAGACGTTTCGATGGCCACAGTTCACCTGTCACTAACGCCAACTTATCTGGCCGACGCAACAGCAGGGAAAAGGCGTCGCGCAGCTCGTAACAGGATTCGAAAACGGCGCGCCGACCCAGGATATACAGACCCAGGCGCGCACGAGAGAGGGCGACGGTTAGCCGGCGTAGGTCACGCAGATAGCCAACGCGAGTGGTGCGCGTCAACGAAAGGATGATATCTACGTTGTCCAAGATGGTTAGTGAACTGTATGTGAAGGTTTGTCAAGGAAAAGAAAATGACGGCTTACAGTCGTTCTGCTCGCCCTGGTATTTGTCCACCGTAGTGACGACGCGAGGCAGGCCAAAGATTGGGTTTTTGGCGCACCGGTGCGCCAACACATCTTTGATGAGCGCCTTCTGGCCAGCGTATGTTGCGAGGATGCTGATCTTGGACGCTGGATACCCAAGCAGACGCATGTACTGAAAGATGGCCACAGCGTACTCGGCCTCACCCAAATTCTGGATGAAGTGTGGTGTCGGTTCCGACTCGCCCATGCCTCTGTAGTCTGGAACATTGACGAACTGGTAATCGTACCGGAACCCAGCATTGGCCGTGAGGAACTCGGGCTCGGTCTGGGTGTGCGGCAGGTCTCCAAGTTGCGGGTATCTCCAACGGTAGAGATTGGAGATAGAAGGCCGAGCACGGCCCTGCTGATCGAGGTTGATAGTTGGGACTCCCAGACGCACAAGACGTGAGAAGAGCGACTGCTCCAGATTCGCGTAGTGTCTGAACGCCAGGCCCTGGATAACTGGAGAGTTTTGGTAGTGGTCGCCGCACAAGACAACACGCTGCAATGCCATCTGGCCGTTCTTGGGCTTCTGAAGCGCAAGCGGAATAAAGTTCTCGATCTCGGTAATCTGGGCGGCTTCTTCCATGATAACGTTGTCGTACTGGAAACCCAATGAAGCGATTTCACCACGCTTCATCGCGGCGTGAGTGGATGTCATGGCGATGATCCGAGCCTCGCTGGTAAGCAGGTAATTGGCCTTGTCTTTGTCTCGCCGCAAGATCTCAAAGGGCAGTACATCTGCAAGCTCCTCGAAAATCTTGGAGATGTGCCGGTAGCATCCATTCGCGATTTCCAAAACCGTCTCTCGATCGGCTTCGGGGGGGAACAGGGGTTGGGGCGCATCGGAAAAGTAGGCGTGGAAGGGGAATGCTCGCACAATATCCTCAGGACCAACATCTTCTCGCTGGATAATGTCGTTGAACTTTGCCCATGCTGGCTCTACATAAACCTTGTTGAAATAACCAGCTGTCTCTGCCGAGTTGCCATGGGCCCCTGGAGCACCCATACTGGCGGCCAAGCGGCTAACCTCATAAAGGAAACGTTGCCGGTTGTCAAGGAAGGATTCCACTCGACCATGTTTGCTGAAACTTCCTTCAGTTTCCAATTCTTCCTCGCCATGACCGAGACGGAGGAGGTGGCGTTCGTCGATATCCAACGCAACGATCTTGGCAAAGAGCTGATTGAGAGCCTGGTTGCTGTGAGCAACGAGGAGGGTTTTTTGCTCCGGGAAGTTGTGATATATGTTGCTGATGATCTGTACGGCAACATCTGTCTTGCCAGTTCCCGGAGGACCAACGATGATTGTCAAACCAGGCTGTGTGCCGGAGTAGATGGCGTCAATTTGCGTAGGCGTGAATCGGATTTTATTGAGCTTGGGGGCGTCCACAGGATAAGGTCCGTTGTTTGGGGGCTTGTAAGTTGAGACCTTGAGAGTTTCGACTTTGGACATTAGGGCTGGCTCTACATCGCGCCGCCTTTTTTTAGACGGTTTGGAAGGGTGTTCTTCAACTTGCTTTTCCACACTCTCAAGAACATAGGGAGGTCCGAAGCTGCTGGATACGTCGTCGCTGGGCTCAATGATCTTTCCAGGAAAGCTTTCCACGAGATGCTGCCAGTCAAGAAACGTATCTCGGAAATTAATCTTCTTGAGCCGGTTGGGCAGCTGCTTGAATGTAGCGCCGGCCGGGTCACCATAGCCCAGGAAGACTTCATGTAGCCAGGAGGCGAGGGGAACCTCGGAGAGCGTGAGGTCCTGAATTGATTCGAGTACTGGCTTGAAGTTGTTCTCGCGGCTGCTCCGCCGTACGATAAGGTTGATGTCCTCGTAAACATTTCGGTTGGCTTCCGTGTCCGCTTTATACGAGGTTGCGTCTAAACGCAGTTGAATTTTCCTGATATCGCTGCGCGTGTGGCCATCAAAATATGCCTGTGGATCCCGAATAGCCTTACCCTTGTCATCGAGCACCTGGATTATCTCGGCAGCGCGAACATGGACCAAGCCTAGCCTCTCGGCTTCGGACAGGACGGCTCCTCCGTTTGCGGACTGCTTTTGCCTTGAGGCGTCGACAGCAAGGAGGAAAACCACGTCATCAGGGCGCAGAGATTCCCAGTCTCTGCGGATTTGAGGCGTCAGTCTTCTCAAGTCAATGGTCACCTCGGCCTTGACGCAGGAAGGCTTGTCATCGCCAACCTGGGGTGGCATGACGTCAAGAATGACGGGTTTGGAGATAGGAAGTGCCATTTTGGAGAAACCAGCGAAACCAGTCACCCCACCTCTCCTGACCTCAGGCTTTAGCCTGATCAAGGCATCTTCGAGATCTTGACGAATAGCATAGAACGACTCGCACCGATACAGCACGAAAGACCTCCAGAGAAAGTCCCCGACCGATAAGTACTGTAGATTAAGCTTCGGGAGGGCAAGGGGACGAGATCCGTCGTATTGATCAGTCCTTTTGAGACTAATGTCGAAGAGCGTCTCTTCCGTGGGGAGGACGCTCAAGGCCTGGGCTGCGTCCTGGAACGTCTTTCGGCGTTCAAAAGTAGTAAGCAAAACCTCTACTATGAACTTGCGATCCACAGGTATCCGGGCAGCGTCCGGATAGGATGTGCGAATATTCATGAGATTAGAAAGCTGCACGAGCTCATCATCCGTCAATGCTTGAAGGAGTGGCTCCAGTTCAGATCGCTTGTCAATCGAGCCATAGTTCGACAGTGCCAGCACTGTCAGTTTCTCCTTGAAGTGTTTCATGGCTATCCGCTGTAGCTTCGCCAGAATGGCGCAGTGCCGATCATAGGCCTGCTCCCGGCTCAGCTGAACACCGCTCTGGTCATCCACAGCAAAGTAGGTGTAGTGGGTGAAAAGATTGCACAGTTCTCGCAGCAGCCCGTTTCCCTCATCATTATAGATAGGGGAGAGGCTGAGGGCTGGGAGAACGTGCAGGTCCTGGAGCAGAGTATTGACATACCGCCTTGTCGGAAGCTGACTTTGCAGGTCTGTCAGAAACTCCACAAAGCGTTCGCAGTATAGAACATGTTCTACGAGTGTGTCAGACAAGAGTCGAATAATCTGGAGTTATGCGAGACGGGACTCACCTTGTTTGGCATTGCCAGAGTAGAGCAGGGTCAAGAAGTCCAGGACCAAGCTGTATAGCCAAGCCCTGTCGAAGCGCAATCGCGCTTTTGTGGCATCATCTGCTGATTCAAAGCGTTTTGTGGCAGCCCTCCAGGCCTTCCTTAGATGAGGATTCGAGTCTAACAAGGCCTCCCGCTTCTCCTCGGTCGACAAGTTGTGCCAGATCGAAATGGAGACTAGAGGGGCACACTCCTTCCGGACAATAGCGTAGTCCAGACTCTGGAAAGCGTGAATGATGAAGAGGAGCACATGGGTCCGGATTGTCCAGGAGAGAGAACTATCAAGCGTCATGGATAGCGCGCGGCGGAAGAGATCTGAAAAATCAGCGGGTCGGTCGGCAAATATGTCTGCGAAGAAGCTCAGTTAGAGGCGCCAGACGACGACAGAGGGATAGAGCAAAAATACACATACCCCATGTGCTGACGCGCTCCCGCCTCTTTGCATTAACGATCAAGATGATCAAAAGAACATGGTAGTTTGATGAATCCTCGCCGTAGCCTGGCCACAGGTATCTGTGACATTCGGTCAGTAATTGTCCTACAGAAGAGATCCAATATCAGAGGCCCTTCTTGCCTTTCCAGAATTTGTAACCCTTCCAATATCAATAACGACTTCAATGGAAAGTTTTCTCTCTCCAAAGCGTCCCACAATTCCCTCTTAAGCACATCAGTCTTAACCTTAATCTTGGCGGCTTGTTGAGGGACGTTGAGCCAGTGTTGACGCGCAAGGTTCGTAAACTGGTTTTCTCCTTCCAGATCTTCAAGAGTTGGCCGCCCCGACGCCCCAGCGTTGGGCCGGGAATCCGCGCTGCTTTTGATTCTTTTCGCGGGAGGCATCGTGGATTTCTTGTGGTGAAGCAGCGCGCGGATTGACGTTCCCGGTGTTGCGAGTCGCGCTCCCGCATAAAGTGGACGATCTTTGTTTATCGATACTCAGGTTTGGGCCTGGACGCTCTGGAACTTGAGTCTTAAGCTCCTTCAACAGTGCAGTTTACTAGCTGCACTGTATGCAGGCAGGATGTCCACTCCAGCCCCACAGCCTGCCAGGGATCGTGATGGCAGCGCCCTGGCCAACCTGGTGGACTGTTTGACGCGCCAAGCACATCATCCAGATCCAACAACGGGAAACTGTGTGAACCTCCAATCCACCACCCATCTGCATCTTTCTGACTGGGTCCTGGAACCAGAACTTCTCCCAGTCGTACCAGCACCACCGTTGCCAAATCCGCTATCGCCCGTGATTCCTCGAAGCCCCCGCCAACAAGTCGGTGTGCTTAATTACTCATCTAGCAGTCAATCTGCTTCTGCCGAATCCTAAACAAGATGCCCTCCGCGATTCCCGCGGACCACGGCGTCCCCGGCGTCGGCGCCGCAGCCGCCTTCCTGGACGAACTTCTTAATGATGCTGAGTCTATCAAGAAGACCTCGTCTATTGAGCCGCCGCTCAAAAAGACCGATTTTGAAGATCTTCCCGGTCGATTGAGCCGCACGCTAGGCTGGGACTTGTCCAACGAAGATGCTACTAAGAAGACTCAGCGCTATGCTATCATCGAGACCGCCGTGCGCGATACGTTCAAGTCTCTTATTGTCGGTCTACTCCCCAATTTACGCTTTTTTTTTGAAGATTATTGACTCTAGTATAGGCAACAACACCCATCGAGGCGCCCGAATTTGTCCGTGTCTGGAACCTGCTGGACATTTTATCTTTCCTTTCCGATAGTGAGCTATGCGATCCGGCCCTGCTTTTTTGGATTGTAGAAGAGCTCCTCGATAGCCAGACTATTGCTGGCTGCCGCAAGGTTTTCGACTTCCTCGAATCGCGCCGTGAGCGCATCACGGCCAAGCATCTGAAGCAGAAGCAACTGGTCATCCTCCGTACCTGTAATGAGCTATTGCGGCGTTTGTCCAGGGCGCTTGATCCCGCATTTTGCGGGAGAGTCTTCATTTTCATGTTTCAGACCTTCCCTCTTGGCGACAAGAGCTCGGTCAATCTGCGAGGCGAGTACCACCTGGAAAATGTCACCACTTGGGATCGTGATATCCCTGCGCAGGATGGCGACAAGATGGACGTGGATAGCGAGGCAAAACCGCAGCTGGATGTTAAGGCATTGGATCCTGACGCTTTGTACCCCATCTTCTGGGCCTTGCAAGAAAGTTTCAACCAGCCCAAAAGGTTGTTTGAACCGAGCAACCTTGCTGCCTTCAAGGCTGGCCTTGAAGCTACCATGGCGACATTCAAGAGTATCAAGCCTGAACAGCCGTCACGGGCTCGAGAAAGGCCAGAAAAGCCACCTGAGGAGATCAAGCACTCCCTCAAGAAAAAACGCGATGATCTCGATGAGGAACTCGCCAGCGGGTTCAACCCTAAATATCTAACCAGTCGTGACCTTTTCAAGCTTGAAGTATGTATTGCATCACCTTCTGTTGTCAACACGCTGTACCGCTAACAGTCCACAGATCAGTGACCTGGCATTTCGTAGGAACATCCTGGTCCAGGCGCTCATCATCATGGAGTTTTTGCTCTCCCTGTCGCCAAAAGCGAAGGAGAAGCTCACAAGTGTCAAGCAACCCAATAAGTCTGTAATGTACCTAGATTATCAACTTAGCGAAGAGGACACAAAATGGGTGCTTGACATGAAAGAGCGCATTGTCGACTACCTCAAACAGGGCCCTGAAGGCCCCTATTTCAATCGCATGGTGGAAACTGTCCTTTCGCGCGACAAGAACTGGGTGCGCTGGAAGATCGAAAATTGCCCACCTATCGAGCTGCCACCACTGTCTCCGGTCATTTTCGATGAGGCACGTTCCACCATCAGCAAACTTGCCACAACGAAGCGTCCACGATCTGCTCCGCTCGGGTCACTGTCCCTCGACTTCCTCAACGACGATGAAGAGGATGATGATAGCGGGGCTCGGGCCATGCAAAAGCTCAAGGATCCCACCCGCTACCGGCTACCCGAGCTGAGCACACTCAAGCGCGGCATTGAGGAAGACGATCTCGAGATTGACATGCCCATGAGCGAGGAGTCCAAAGCACGCGCCATCGAGGGGAAGGCAAGCAAGACATGGCGTGCGCTCCGGATAGCTGCCAAGTCAAAGCTAGCAGTCTTTGATCGTATCGACGATGACGAGAAGATTGATATCGTTTTCCAGGAGATGTCTATCCAGCAGCAGGATGGAGCTGATCGGGAGGAGATGGAGGATGGTTCGAATGGTGAGGCCATATGGCCCGATGACCGCCGTGCGATCATCATCGTTGACACCACAGGCGGTGAGAGCGATGTGGTGAAAAATTTCCTCGCGAAACACTGCAAGGTGTTTGTACGAGTGGTGCAGCACACAACACGTAAGCCGCGCGAGGGCGAGATCAACGGGAAAGATTTCCATTTTGTGGACAAACAGACTTTTGGTATGATGCGCGATGGGGACCAGTTTCTGGAGTATAGTGAACCAGAGGAAGGGCAAGAAGGAGAGTGTCGTGGCACAAGTAAGAAACTGGTGGACAGTATTATGGACAATGATCGGGTGCCAGTAATGGAGCTGAATCAGGCGGTATGTGAACGGCCCTGGTTAGGAAAGGGTATTATCTTGATTCTCCGTTGTCAACATGCTTGCTGACAATTCATCAACAGGGTGCACAGCAGGTAAAGGACAATGGGTTCGATGCTCGGTTTATCCTTGTGAAAGACCCATTACAGGATGCCGAAAATGGTGAGTTATTTGAGACAGTTGTCGAGAACAAGTTGGAAGCTTTAGAAGCAGCCATATTTGGCTCGACCAACACAGCCGTAGATGCTACAGCAGCGGGCTTGGGGGACGGCGATGGTGATGTGACTATGGCAGATGGGATTGAGGCATGACGCAGGCAGTGCTGGATATACGGCTGGTTCTTTGGCTCACACAGTTGGTTCAGGGATACAGACATTGGTGGTTGGGCTGTGGGCTGAGAGAGGCCTATCCTGACCTGATTTATCTTATTTTACTTGTATACTATGATACCCCACGAAGAGAGCATGCTACTTGGGAATTAACACAACATAATGCTAAGTTCCTGGTTGCCATAAGAATCCAAACTCAGTGTTTTTATAAGAAATTCTCTTCCATTCCTTTATGCAAGGTCAGTGCCGGTTGCGAGAAGCGTGAGCGAGCTTCTCTGCTGCCTCAGACACTTTCCTAGCCTTCTGCCTGAGGGCCTCACAAAAGTCGACAACAGCCAGGCCCAGACCAGCACCATGCCTGGGTTGCTAACCACCATGTTGATCATCTCAGAGCGGCTGACTACATCTTCAAGAAGCCCCTGGATTTGCTCGGTTTTGGGTTGCTTTGATACGTGCGTCATGAGTTTTCGTTTGTTTTTCACAACATTTTCTCTGTTGAAGGAACATAGGAGAATGCCGCTTCTTGATGACTGAAGCTCGGAACAAGGATGTGTACCTGTCTACTTACCCCTTGGCACATACCCCTGAATCTGTTCCAAGCCCTGAACCGGCCAGCCAGCCTCAATATTCCTCAGCTCATGAGAGGATTGTACCTTGTGTGCATGGCGAAGTCCCAGATGTGGTGAAGAGTCGGTTGCCGATCTGGTGGCTGCATGCGCAGGTCGCTGACAACGGCATGGGCGAAGTTGCCCAACTTCTCTTCCAGCTCCGCGCGGAAAAATACCGCGGGAAGGATGCTCTTGTTGGTGGTGGCATGGGACATTTGTGAGGAACAGGGACTGGCGAGGGCTAGAGGAATGTAGGCTGGGCAGTACAACCCGCCCTGTGTGATTGGGACAAGTCGGGTTCTGGGTGTTGATGTTGGTTGGTGCAGTAAAGAGTCTGAAGCAGGCGACCGATGGGGTTGAAATCTCAATTAAAGAAGCTGCAAAAGCTGTGCATCGTCCCCGCATTCGGGCCACAGCTGGATCTGGATGTATGTCTCCTGGCTAGCCACGTTCTGAGAGCGGCATTCCGTTTGCACCAGGAAGCAATATCATCAAGGATGGAACACGTATCCTGCACGTTATCTGTTTCCCGCAGGATGGACAAACAGGAGGCATCTGGCATTTCCGTCTCAACTGTGACATTATTTCTGCAAGATATGTAAACGACAGGTAGCTAAGCAATTCAGTCTGATACCTGGTAACTTCAAATAGACCCAGCTCAACATGTGTTAAGGCAATGTCTTGGGCACCACCATGTCTGGCGAAGTCACTTTCGCCACTAGTCGGCCCCAAAGCCGCACCCTTGACATGGGATCTGACGTCCTCGCCTCTATATACTCAGCAACTTCAGTTCTTGTTTTACCTAGCCGTCATCCTACGGACCAGTGCCGTATTTGCTGGTAGTTTTCTCTCCAACAGCGATGCCAGAGCCAACTCCCTCAAGATTTGCCATTGATGCCGACAATGAACACTCTGTCGATCTGAGAAACCCAAATATGATCAAACTATGGATTCATCTAGCACTGAACCCGTTCCATGGAAGTCATGGCTTTCCAAGTCACGCCCTAGATGGGGCGATATATCAGCAATCGCATTTGAATTTCCTGGGAAAGCAAGTCCTAAAGTCCGGGTTATCAGCTTCCCATTTGTCCCGGTGACTTGCAGTTCTCAAATTATGGGGATGTTACTTGCCAGCAGCAATCATCACGAAAGGGCAACGTGACCGGAACCCCACAAATTGTTCCAAGCCCCTTCCTCAGCACTCCAATATGGGCTCCTCTGCCTGCCTAGCGTGTGTTAACTTGTTGCTCGCCTCTCCAATCGTCCGGTCCTTGAAAACACTGAAGTCTGACAGCCCAGACCTCGATCCTTTCCTCTCACAAACCTCCTTTTTCCTATGGTAGCACTTCCTCACTACCACGAAGAGCCCTAGAGAATCCATCAATCTTGTCCGCCCCTAGAACTCGTGCCAGCTCCTATGTCTTCCAAACTCTTTTTCCTCTGGAACAATCCTATTCTGTATCGCCATCGAGGCATGCCTACTTAGAACGCACCCTATCGTTATCCCAACCGCGAAACTTCATCCCACAGCGAATTGCCACAATTTTCCCACTTGCTCATGTCGTTTAAGCCACCCATCTACCGAATTCCTGCGCTGGAGGAGGTTGACGGTCTTTGGCCAGGCTGGGCCTCGAGCCTGAATCACTCTCTTCGCCAATTCATCCGTCTGCTCCAATGTCCCGTCTGCTCGAATCTGATCCAGGATGCGCGAGCCCTGCCGTGCGGCTGGGCTGTCTGCGACGCCTGTGTCCCGCCGTCGTACATGAGACAGGACGCCTCGTGGCCCAGGAACAGATTGCTCTCCTTTCGCTGCCCAATCCTAGCCTGTCGCCAGACGCACGCAACAGCTGATAGTAGCACCGATTTTGTCCTGAGAGCTGTTGTGGATGCAGCAAAGAACATCTTAGATACGGCACACGATTCGGTGAAGGGCACTCGCGAAACATACTATCAGCTCTACTTGTTGAGCGTTGCCGTCGTCAAACCCAACGTTCACATCGACTCCAGCCTCAAAGCTCTGGGCCACCCACAGCCTGTCAAAGTCCCAGGGCCTGCCGGGAAGCTCGTCGAACTGCATTCACTGGTCAAGCAACGCAGGCTTCCGTATGGTACTGAAGTGGAGATTCAAGGCACACCCCAAGAAACTCCTAATGCTCAAGCCAGTGAAGATCTCTGTGTCCAAAAACTGGACGACGAGCTCCTAGAAGCCATCAAAAAGGCAGTTCGAGACCACTTGGAGTGCCGCATCTGCCTGCTTACCTTTTTTGATCCCATCACGACGTCCTGCGGCCATACTTTCTGCCGTCCCTGCCTTGAGTACCTTTCGGATGCCGAGCTTCAGGGTACATTGTTGATGTGCGCTTTATGCCGCAGTAAACTCTCCATGCGGCCCCAGATTCTCGCTGCGAATTTGGCCTTGACCAGATTTGTCAATTTCTTCTGGCCAGGCTCTGTTCCAGAGCGCCTGGAGAACGCAGAAGCTTCCCGCAACTCCTGGAGGGAAAAGCACCAGAACATTCCCTTTATTGTCAGCCCTGTCGTCTTTCCCAGGTCCACAGCACGAATCATCGTTTCCGACCCCAAATTTATACCCGTTGTGCGTCGCGTATGTCAGGGAGACCGCTTTCTCGGCTTAGTGTTCAGCATTAGGGATGCATTGGCACCCTATGGCACACTCGTCAAAGCTGTTAGTCATACAGAGCCTTCCTCGGATCTGTTAATTGTTGACGTAATCGGCATCATGAGAATGTTTATCCTCGAATGTCACAAGATTGAAGAACATGGCTGCTATGGAGGTAGATGGCTGCCTCTCTTCGATGCTAATATTCCATGTCAGCAGGCACTCGAGGTAGGGGAGCTGACGGCCGCTGGTTCGCTCAGTTACGTTAGCTGGTCTCCCCATGTCCCCAGGATCCCTCGCTCAATGCGTCAGATCAACGCGACACCAACCGCATCCCTGATCAAGCTGTGTTACGACTTTGTCAACCGTGAAAGTAAGAAGATGACAGACTATGAGCGACAGCGCATCACTATGGTGGCCGGACCTGTGCCTGAGGATGAGGCACTGTTCCCATTTTGGTTCGCCCGCGTGCTGCCGCTCAAGGAAGACGCACGGCTCTATATGCTCTCCAAGCAGACAGTCAGGGAAAGGTATAAATTGTGTTGGCAGTGGATTATTCTTTGGGAGAGCGGGGACTAGGAGTAAGTCTTTGCTCCACCTACTACCTATGCGATGGAGGAGGCACTAACTAAGAACAGAATCCCCTTCTGCACAGTACAGTAGACGATCCTTGGCTGCTTTCTCGGAGTCTATTTGGAAGTAGTTAGTTTAACAGTGGACAGACGTATGTCGCGGTATCATAGCGCAGTTTAAAGTTCCAGCAGCGTGCTCAGCGACCGCATCTCCTCCCAGGCGTTTTTTTTTCCTGCGTCCGGTAAGAAACATGACGTCCGGACGTCGGTTTGGGGAGCGCATCCAAGGCAATTGTCACATTACTTGGGCCGCAGGACTGCCATCATATATCAGGCAGGACAATCAGCAGGTTGAAAACGCGGATGGTAGCAGTGGCAGCAATGACACTACCCTTGTTTGCCAAGTCAACTTCATCAGTAAGGTTGAAGAGATTGGGTGGGAAGCATTCTGGTAGCGTTGTCTTTTTATATTTTTGTTACTCAACTATTATGGGATGGAGTAGCGTTCTATTTGTACAGAGCAGCGCTCTTGATCGAATGCGATTCAATTCCCACATTCCCTTTCAGGTCTTGTGGTTGATCACGAATGGTCCCGATCACCATACCTTGGGGCTGGAAATCACTTCATTTGATATGAGGCATCTATCATGGTTTTCATCGTTGGGATTCATCGACCGATATAACGAGTCCACAACCGGACGCAGACCAAGCACCACCTCTGGAGCAATTGTTCCTATGAAACAAGGCTAGAGAGCCCAGGGTGATAAATAGATGGATGGCCAAACAGGTATCGGGTTATTGAACTGTAGGCCACGAGGTACATGGTTGTCTATTAACTTAAAAAAAGGAAGAGGTTCGCTTGTATAGAGGGGCTAGTGACTTGGAAGGTGTGGAGTGCTTGGCTTGGAAAGACAGACGGCTGAACAACAGGGCACGATGATTAGAGACCAAGTATCGAGGCAGTGATTGTTGAGACTTTTGCCTTTTATGACTCGATCAGCCAGAGCTTATCAGTTGTCTCTACCTCAGGTATGGATCCGCATCTGCTTTCGCTTCTCGATGTATCATTGAAAATAGGATAAACGGGGACATGAGAGAGACCAGACAACCCTGTTCACACAATGAGCCAAAGCCTATCGCACCCACAAGTTCGCACAAGCGATCAGTCAGTTTCTCCATCGAACCTTGTCTCTGTTCATCTCATGGAAAGAAAAATTCAAGCAAAGCAAAACGACGCTCGTCAATACAATGAAGAGACGTTCCACTCTGCCCTTTTCAACCTTCACAGTATTCTTATTGGATAAAATACACAGCGAGCTCCTGCCATTGAACTCAACCATCATTTTGTACTACACGAAAAGCACTACAGTATGGGTAAAGAGGTGCCTTCAGCATTACCGCACACCACCCCACCTTCCCCGGCTAGCAGCAGACGAGTTCAGCGCCAATCTGCGGCCAATGTTGCCAAAGCACACACAGCTGCAGAACAGCACTGAAAGCATCCAGATGCTGGCCTCGACGCTCTCCTGGCTCCATCCCCATTCGCCCCACACTAATGCTGTCCTTTCCCCGCCATTCACATCATTGGCACCAGACACATTACCTTGCAATGCCATATGCTGCTGCTGCTCTGTCGGAATAGACGATGCTAGGGGTGACGTCCTGCCATGCATAATCGGCACGGGCATCATCCCCGGGTCAAGACCCATCAGCTTCAGCACAGCACTGCCCGCAAGGCCGACAGCGGCCGAGAAGAAAAAGCCCGGCTTTGAGCGGTCGATTAAGTACCACAGGAAGGGGTTCGCCAGGGCAAGTGTCAGTGACACTTGCATGGTTGAAGTCCATGGCAGCTTGCGGATGGCAAAGACGATGCCGACGAAGGCGCCGATGCCACGCATGATAAGCGGCCAGTCTGCTTGCGAGGCGGCAGCGCGCGAGCCGGCTGAGGTAGCTTCAGAATTGGCAGTGTTGTTGGTGACGGACGAAGGGACATTCGGGAGTTCCTGCATGCCGAGTGCGGAGGCGCGACGTTGACGCTGTCTCTGCTGGCGAGTCTGGCGCTTGGTGGGCTTCTCGTTCCCGGCGTTCCGGACCCGGGTTGCGATAGTCTCTTCCCAGATGCGATCGAACCATGGGAGGAAACTGCCCAGTGCGACGCCTGCGATTCCCCAAATCATGAGGTACCACCACCCCCCTGCAACCTTACTGCTGCAGCCATTTGCCGTGGCACCCTGAATCTCCTCCTTAAGGCCTTCCTCCACGACTTGCAGTAACTGTAATTTCCGTGCTGGGTCGCCCGGCAACCTCGTTACCAGCACGCCGTAACCCACGCCAAGGGCGAAGAGCAGCATCGCGCGGACAGTGAGCGCGAGCGCTACTTGTCTTTTGCTCATCGGCTGTGGGATTGCATTTGCTGCCGCCGCCGTCGCATCGATTCTACCGCTTAGCGATGGGGCAGCTGGGGAGTTCTGATCCTGCTCGTCCTCGTTATCATCATCATCATCATCATCATCATCGTCGTCGTCGTCGTCGTCGTCGTCGTCATCGATCGCTTCCTCATAATCCTCCCCCGGATCCCTACTGAAGGGGTCTGTTGTTGTGGGCGAGTAGATGCCATACAGGGTAGGCGATGTGAGATTGAAGTAAGATGATGTATGAGTAAGCTGGCCTGGGGTGCTGGGTGTGCTGGCATCCGGGCTCCGGGCACTGCTGTCGCCCCAATTGAGGATGTTCTTGAAGCTGGAATTGTTGTGGGCGGCTAGGAAACGCAGATCATTGGCAGTGATGGTGGGTCGCGGGGAAGGAGCCTCGTCTTGGTCGTCCTCATCACTAGGAGGGGTTGGGTTGGAGAAGCGATTGCTCAGGTTGAGGTTGAACGGCCGGCGAGGGATTGGACGAATGATTTCGGGCCCCGTGCTAAACCCAGTGCCGCCGCTGTCTTCAGGTTCCCCTGGACTGGCGTGGTTGCTCATTGTTCCGTTGTGATGGCGAAGTACAAATTGGTGTTGTGTAGGCGTGGATGTGTGGGTGTGAATGTGAGTGTATAAGTGCTGTCTGTTGCCTCACACGCTGGATAGTGTACCCGAGAGTCGATGATGAATCCGTTCGCTTGACACGTAAGAAAGGCAAAAAGTCCACGGATATATAAGAAGCTGGGTTTGGAAGAGAAGAGGGAGCAGACAAAGGAACAAGTTGGGCAAATAAGAGTCTGGTCCGCGGCCTGCAGTTGTGCCAATGGATGAGGAGAGCAAGACTGAGTGGACAGGAAACAGCCAGGTTTTGCTAGAACCCACCACGCTCATACATGCGCTCACGCCTGCACTGCACAAGCACCCGCAGCCAGATGCACCAAGCGTCGGAGCCTAAGAACGCACTGCCGTTGCAGACCGGACCCAATGCAGATTGGCTCGAGATTGGCGCACTATCGGGACAGAGCTGGCTGAGAGTGGCGGCTGGGAAAGCGTATGTCGACGTGGGCAGCGATGGATCAGGCGATGGGGTGGGATGCCGCCGAATGTGTCTGCCACGGGCTGGGTCTGGCTGATAAAATGCTGTTTGATGGCTGGTGGACGCTGGTGGTGCTAGCTGGTGACTGTTGCGTGCGGAATGATGCTATAGTGCAGATGTTGTTGACTTGTGGCTGTTTGTCAGGTTTTATTTCGCCGGTGCGCAGGGACCCTTTTCCAGGTAGCTTAGGGTCATTGCAAAGGGACCCAGGGGGCCCGGGGATGTGGATGGCGGAATTGCTTGGAAATTACAAGTTTAAAAACAGCCCAGGTAGGGAGCCTGGATTCTATGCCAGTGCGCTTCAACCAGACAGTTAGGGGGTCTCGAAGAGCTGCGATCGACAGAAACACTGCGTGTTCGTGCCCAAATCGCAGGGGGATAACTCGAGGAAGACGGTTTGCTATGTACAAGATGTCTTAAAAGCGTGACGGTCCCTGGCCTTCCGATTTTCCAAGAGGCAGAAATTCAAATTGCCCATGTTCCATTTCAATGCTAAAAATCTCTGTGCTGTGAGTGGACAGAGTCGATGCAACGCTGCTGGGCTTGCTGTTTCCCGAGCTGCCCGTCCGAGCATGGCCCCTGGTAACAGGGGTCTTGGACCCAGAACCAGCCAAACAGTCAAGCGTCTGCCTCCAAAACTGCTTCAGCTGCTGCAGCCAGCTCCCGGTGCAGCCTGCTCGCAGAAAGCCTGCGGGGGTGGAGCCAATGCCGCTTGCAGCACCTGCGGGCCACCGGTTGCCGGGCTGGCAGGCCTGGCAGAACTGACAACCCGCAACGCTCGTAACGCATGTGATCTGCCTGAGATCTGGTCCGGTGGTCGCCTGACTGCTGTGCTTCACCGACCCCACTCTCAGCGCCATGAGCCCCTCCTCTTTGCCTACAGCAAAAAGAGCGAGACGCGCTGATGAGGATAAGCCAAGATCTTTTGATAATAGGATTCGATAATCGGCAGGCAGACTCAAGAGATACGACGGTTTTTTCTCCGCTGCCTCTGAGTAGAAATAGTTAGGTTTGAATAGGCGACAGATACGACAGAAGGACGATAATAAACTAAGGGTCCTAGATCGTCAGCTTGACACACGACATCAGCTGACCTGCAGCCCAGCATTCCTGGTCCTTGCTTTTCTCACCTTTCAAATCCAAATCGTTGTGCTCAACAACTGTCAACCGAGTCCTACAGGGAAAAGAGGCTACGGAGCAATACAGCTCATTGGCAGTGTAGAGCCGCAAGGCCAAACCGCCAAGGGAATCAGTTTAATTATGTGCATCATAGACACTTTGTATCATTAGTCCAGCACGTATACCCATATTCGCAGTCAACAAAACATTCAGATTCATAAGCCCCTGATAACACTTATTCATCATCACTCTCCTCGTCCTCGCTTTCCTCGCTGCCAAACTCATATTCACTCTCCTCAACGCCTGCCGGCCGTGGTAGGAAGATGAAAGCGCCCATGCACGTAATCCGATTTTGCGTTTCATATGTGCCGAGCAGTGTGCCGACCTGCTTGCCCTTCTTATCGTCTTCAATGCCCTCCAGGATCTCCTTAACAGCCACCCGCCAAAACCGCACCTTCCCATCGCTACTCCCAGTGACGATGAAGAAAACCTTCTCCTCCGTCTTCTCATCCTCTACAGGGAGGATAACGAAGTCTTTAATCCTTCCAACAACCCCGACGTCCTTTCCACCCATCTGAGCGGCCAGCTTGGCCACGGGCAGATTCTTTCCGTCCGCAGGCTTCTCCAGCCTGTCCTGTGCCGTCGAGCAGAATAGGATACGCCCATCTTCGGCAGCGACAACCAGTACTGTCTCCTCCCTTTCCTCATCCACCGTGACATACTTGAACTCTTGCACCTTGGGCGCCCTCCAGCTGCCCGCCGGTGAGGGCATCACGCGGCATCGGATGCGGCAGTCCATCCCATATACCAGCACGTCGCGATCAAAGCCGACGGCAAATTCATCCTCCCCACCGGTCGAGCTGCCCCAGACAATGCGCCTGGCCTCACCGGTCGACCACTTCCCGCCCTCTCCAATCTCAATCAATGCCTCTTTCTCAAAGTTCAGCACCCTGCTCTTTTTACCCGTCTCCAAATTCCACAACCGCATGCATCTCTCCCCCTTGCTGACGCTAATCATGATCTTATTACTCGGGTGTACCGCAAAATCATTCACCCCGCTCGGCACGGTACCACGCGCAGCTGTGTCGCCGTATGGCCGGCCCTGTGGCTTCGGAATAGGGCACTTGAACGTATGTAGTGGTGTCCAGTCGCGCACGCGCGTGACCGCGATGGTCGAGTCCTCCGACGCAGACAGCAGCTTCGAACGGTTGGGAAAGACGAGCCGTGTGATGTTTGAAGAGTGGTGCAGCAGTGTGCCGAGCTCGCGGTTCTTGGGGTTCTCGAGGATCGGTCGCGGCGCAAGAGACGAGAGCAGCTTAGCGTCGGGGTGCTCGGTCGCGCTCGTAGATGGTGGGTGCGCTGACAAGTTGTAGATATTGATGCGCTCGTCGGTGCTACCAGTGGCGAGCAGAACCTTCTGGGTCTGCCCAGGCGCCGGATTAGACGGTGGCGAAAGGGCCAGGCAGCGGATTGCTGAATTGTGTGCGTTGAAGAGGAATGTGTCGGCGAACTCGACCTCGTGTTTTGGCTGTATGCGGTCTTCTGACTTCTTGGGCTTGGACTTCGAGTCCTGCTTCGGCTCCTCTTCGTCAAGCAGAGGCGGCCTGACCGTTGCGATAATGCCATGCAAAACTCGGTCATAAGAACCGGCCACGATTTGGATCTTGACAGGGCCGCTGACCTTCTTGAAGGTCGGCTGGATCGATTTCTGCTTCTGGCTAGGTGCCTTCGCCTTTTTGGCTGAGCTTTGTGAGCCAGCAGGCTCACTTTCCGCTTTTCTCTTGCCCATTATGTATGCTGTTTGTTGACCAATGTCTCTGTCCTGGTTAGTGACGCTGATTTCGCTGATGGTCGATGCGTTCTTGCGACTTTAAGTTCGAGATTTTGTCAAAAATAAGTGGAGCCGTCGTGTTATCTTATCATCAAAGTTTCTTGGCACAAACATGTTGACATGTTGTCCCCGCGGATAAGAGCAAACGTGAAAGTGACCTCGACCTCACATATGAATTTGCTGAAATGGAGCACTTCTACTCATACCGTCCCCAATGCAATGGCTTTCCTGAAAAATATACACTGATCATTTGTGTGACCAATCGTTAAAAGAATATCTACACTAAAGTATCATCACACTCTCGCTTCACGAGAGATCCTTCTTGTCCCAGCCCAGGGACAAACTGATAGTCAAGCCAATCCGCCAATCAACCCAGCCCTTCATCCGACCCGACTTCCAAGCCAGTAATAGTGATATCCTGTTATTACAGCATTGCTCCATAGAACAGACCTGTCAACATTACGCATACAGGCGACCTCACTTCGTAGCAGGAGTCGCGCTCCCGCTTGGTTGCCGCTGATGTTGCGCGGCTTGTTGCTGTGCTGCTGCTGCTTGCTGAGCCGCCACGACTTGCTGTGCTGTCGCAACCTGTTGAGCCGCAGCAACCTGTTGAGCCGCAGCAACTTGTTGAGCAGCAGCTACCTGTTGTGCTGCGACCTGCTGAGCAGCAGCTTGCTGAGCGGCCGCCTGTTGGGCTTGTGCTTGCGCTTGTGCCTGAGCTTGAGCCTGCTGCGCTCGCAAAAGCGATGCATATTGATGTGGACTGTTCATCGGTTGCTGGGCCACAGCACCTGCCGCAACATTCATGGCAGCTTGCTGTTGGCTTTGCACAATTAGCCTTCCCAAATGCTCTGTTGCAAGCTGCCGAATGGTCTCGGGCGGAAGCTGTGGATTCTTGGTACGGTAATGGTTCTCCAGGTCAGCAAGTCGCTGCTGGATCTGCTGGCTGAGGAAGCCGCCCGGCGCCCTTCCTGCCAGGTGTGGCATACTCAATCCTGCACCAGGGGACCCGACCAACCCAGGGGCGCTGGCAGCATTGAATTGTGCCATCATCGCCTGGGCATTTGTCAAAAACGCTCCTTGATTGATTCCGGCCATAACACTCCGGAGAGGCGCCGCAGCCGCTTGTAAGCCAGCGGCTTGAGCGAGCTGCTGTACTTGCTGAGTCTGTTGCGGTGGCTGCTGAGGTGCCTGGGTAACTGCTGGCTGCTGTTGGCCCTGCTGGGTTTGCTGAGCGCTGGCCTGCTGGGCTTGGGCTTGCTGTTGGGCAGCTTGCTGAGCGGCCTGTTGCTGTTGTTGTAGCTGAATTGCCGCCCGTTGTTGGTTCTGGATTGAGCGGGCCTGAAGCATGAGGTTGATATCGGGTTGTGGCGATACCATGGGCACCCGATGTTGAGCAGCAGCGGCAGCGGCCTGCATAGCTTGGAGCTGAGCTTGAGGGAGACCAGCCATCTGGATAGGTGGAACAAGTCCGCCAGCTGCGAGTCGAGCTTGCATGACAGCAGCAGGGACTGCCCCCGGAGGTGTCTGCAGGGGAACACGTGCAGCCGTGCGGTTTTGCCCAGCAGCCATCGCAAGCTGTGCCGGTACGTTGAGACGCGCAGCAGTATTGAGAGAATTGGCAGCCGCAAGTTGAGCTGCGCCCTGCGGAACAGGGATCGCACCAGGAGTGCCGGGAATTGGTACGCCATGACCCTGTTTCTGCTTCCGTGTAAGCAGAGTTTCCGCAAATGCTTCAAGTGTGGACGCAAAACTTACCAGCCTTCTTGCAGCTTCGGCATGCCTTGCGGCATACGCAGCCATCCTCTCAGCAAGTGCTTGATCACGCTCCCACCTCATAAGACTATAGTCACGAGGGGTCTTGTTAATAATTTGTTGCTTGGGCACCTCATTGGCCTTGCGCATAGCAGCCAGATTGGCTGCATGCTGGGCCTTTTGAGCTGCCGTCTCACGCTTCTTGGCCAGCTTCCTCATGGCATCAATAAGAGCCAGATGCTTTTGATTGCGGCGACGCTCAACACGAATGCTTGTGGTCAGTCTTCTCTTGATGAGCGGAGCCGCAGAGCCACTAGAACCAGCCTGCTGTTGCTGCCCTTGTTGCTGTGGTTGCTGTCCTTGCTGCTGCTGCTGCTGCTGCTGCTGCTGCTGTTGAGCAGCTTGGTTCTGTTGGACGATATTCCGCTGAGCGGCCTCGATACGCGCCTGGTACATCTTGAAGTATGGGGTTCTTGCCATGTCATTGGGAAGACCCTCTAAGCTTCCAAGACTGATCCACCGCTCAAAACATTCCCATGGCGTGCGTCGCTCAGCCCCAGAAACGAAACGTGATGGACTAGATATCAGAGTTGAGATGAGCGACCAGTTGTACGAGCACTCGCGGACCAGAGTTTTTAGTTGTTCGTCCTCTGCCAAGGTCCACTGAGAAGCCACCCGGCATTCATAGAAGCTCTGGGGAGGCATCGGATGCTCGGTAGGTGGCCGAAACTGGTGAGCAGCATGCAGGCGATCCCGGATGGGCTTCATTTCAGGAGAGAATAGCGCCACAGAGGTAATTTCTGGCTGCAGCATAGCGCCGTCGTCCGGCTTGGGCCCAAAAGTGACCTCCTCCTCATCGTCATCTTCTTCCGCGAGATAGTCGTAACGACGACGCTTTCGGGGAGGGCCTTTGTTCGCCAGAACCATCTCGCCTTCAACGTATTTGCTGAGAGGAACGGCAGGTCGCTTCCACTTGGCATCAGGGTCATAATCTGATCCCGTAATATCAAACTTGGGGATTTGGAGAGGGGAGCTATGCAGGGGCAGGTTTTCCAGGAGAAGATCTGCCGCCTTAGAAGGCTGCAGAGCAAAGACACACTCGTCTTCTGATAATGCAAACAGGGCAGTAGGAGCCACTGTTTCCACCAAAGTCTCCAAATGCTCGTCATCAACATCCATGGGCGAATCCGAATGCACCAGATCGGGAACGGGCTCATCAACGCTATCAGATTGACTGGCAGAGTCCCTATGTGATGAACGCGGTGGGATGGCTGCGTTCACCTGGAGCGCCAGTCGTTCCTCAGGACTGGAATGAACCCATTCGGCGCAGGCGTATGCGAGATTCCGAGCAACTGCTCGCTTCCATTTCCGCTCTTCACGAAAATCAGTTCGCATCCACTTCATTTCCTGAAGCAGGACGTCCCAGTGAGATGCCTGCCTAACGGGCTCTGGACATCGTACTGGTTGCCGCAGAGACCATTTGTCGTGTTGTTGCAAGTGATAGACACGACGAAGAATTTTGCAGGCTTGATGGTCAAGTATTGAGATGTATTGATCAGAGGTGGATATGGTCTTGTGTGCTTGGTTAAGTAATTTTTCGAGAGGCTTCATCCACGTCGACTGACGAGTAAAGCCTTCGATGAAGAGAGGTGTGAAGTAATCGTCAGTGGGAATATGTCCCGGCCGCTGCCTGTTAGCGACCGCAGAGTCCTTGTTTTCTGTGGACTTTCTCCTGTTCTGTGGTTTTCCAAATATGACGGTAGGGATGCTCTTGCGGCGCTTCGCTTGAGCCTTGTTGGCAAGAAGCTTGAGCTGAGAAGCCGAAGCAGTTTGAGATGCAGTAATCTCCTTGCCGACATCTCCTGTTACCTGATGTCCGTCCTCTGAAGCTGTCGGTGACTGTTTGCCAGCATCAGGATTCCCTAGGGGTTTGGCTGAAGAGTCACTAGCGATGGGTTTCGCAGGAGGTAACAGGCTGGGCAATGAAGGCTGTTCCTGCTTGCTCGTGGCCTCCGTTGGCACCTCTCGTGCAACACTTTGATTAATAGCTCCATCTGCAGACTTAGAATCGGGTCCGTTCACTCCAGCAGTTTCTGGCTGGTCAATGTCCATGAATTGCGATGCATCTCCAACCTCCTTGGGTTGTGACTCTACATCAGGGCCACTCGAAGCAATAGGTTTGTCTGCTCCGGAACCAACTTGGATATCAGCACTATGAGTCGAGGTGTCTGCAGCCGTAGGTCCAGTGCTTGGAGGCTTGGGATGAAACGCCTTTTGAGTTCCATCTTGAGGTGCTAAAACACTGGCAGCCGCGGACTCTTGAAGGAGTTGCGCTTCCGCACTGCTAGTTGGCGATAGGGTTCCCGTGTCTGATTGCGACGGTGCTGTTGATGGAACTACCCGTGTCACATGGTTTTCCTTCTCGCCGTTGACCAAGCCGTTGGCTAGCGGTTGATCTGCCGTAGGCGCTTCGTCCGTCTTCTCTGGTTCGTGTGGGCATTCATGGTCGGGGCTGGTATTCGCCGACACATCGTGAACCGCAGGTGTCAACGACTGAGCAGTAGAACCAGGGGAGGACAAAGTGTCGGCCTGGATATCACGGAAACTAGTGCTCGCATCACGCCCCGCCGGTTGCGAATCTTCCTGTTGTTTGCTCAATGATCCGTGGTCTAAGGTGGCCTTCTCGACATGGTCATTTGTACGGCCGAAGTTTAATGCCTGGATAGATCCATTCGAGGCCTGTAACTTGCCCACGTTCCCTTGAGTGTTGGTAACAGAACCGGGTGCCGTACCATGTTCGGCGGCAAGGTCTTTTGGGGCTGGCTGTGACGGCACAAGCAAGTCGACTTCATCTTTCAGTGAGCTATCATCGAGGGGTCTCTCTGGGATTCCTTCGGGTATCGTATCCGAAGCGGAAGAGGGAGGGAGAGTAAAGAGGCGCTTTCGCAGGGCAGGAATGTTCAGGTCGTTGAGCCTTCGACCCCTGCGTGTTTATCGCATTAGAAGGACGATGTGACGCGACGCGATCACGTCGTAGAAAAGGGTTAAAAGTGTATCTAGGGTTCAGCAGCAACATACTTGAGGATATCACAATCATTCAAAAACTTTGCTTCGTCGGGCCGGGTAGGTGGTGCGTCGGGGTCGCTAAAGTCATGGTTTGGGAGAGCATTCTCATCGGTCGCAACAGCGTAAAGCTCTCGTAGTTTGCGTTTCCGCGTCTGCACGATTGAGCTGCACACTGTTAACATCGACTATTGCACATAAAAATGACAAGAAAAATGAGCTCTATGCAATGGTATACCTCTTACCTTGATTCAGCCCGTTTTAACTGCAGCAGCTTCAGGCGATCGGTGAGCCCGAGCTCAGACATGTCATCAGCGACCGCGACATCCGTTTTCAATCAAACGGATGTCGATTTCAATTTGAGCAGGGCAAAATGAAACGAGAACTGCAATTTTGGGAGATGCAGAGGGCTGGCGTTGCGACTTTTTTGACACCAGATGGATCGACTGACGTGTCGCGAGTAGAGGGTAAATCTCTGTCGAGCCGCTATGAGGGGGGTTAGGTCGAGAGGTTGGGGCCGATGCACACCAGTACGGGGGTCGAAAAATGTTAAAGACGGGGACCGTATCAGCAGCCGAACAAGGTGCAGAGGGCGAATGCAGAGGGCGAAAAAGGTGGTGCTGACGACAGGCTGGGGCCGTGTTCAGAAGGAAAGAGGCCTAAAGTCCCACTGAAGAGGGCCTCAGCGCGCCGCGGTCAGCCGGTCTGGCGGACAGTGCAAGTGCAGTGACCTTATTTTTATTCGCACGGACTGATTGATGTGGGCGCCTGTGCCGCTTGACAAGAGGACTTGTCCCCGAGGATCACCCGCTCCCAGCAGGCCTGTGATCGAAGCTATGGAAGTAAAAGGAGAAAGTTGACGAGGAAACAAAAGAGCGATACCTCTGGGAGACTCGGAAGGAGATGCTCAGGATTCCTTCTTGCGACCCCTGCGCTTGCGCGAAAGTTGGAGACTTCTCCAGCGATTCGGCGCGAGCGGGCCATTGTTTGCCTCGTCCAAGTCCGAAGAGGGCAGGGGAAGTGGCCCGGTGTAGGATCCCGAGCTGAAAGGGCGATAATGAGAGCGCGCGATGCTTTGAGAGGCAGAGAGAAGCGAGAAGATGTAAGGATCACATGGTTCCGATTGAAGAGCAGGTTGAAAGTGAAAAAGCGAGCATTCTCGCGGGGGGCGTCAGTGGAGAGACAGTCTGTATGAGATTGAATGCAGGTGTCTCTGGCTTATGGATACGGGGCGGTTAAAGTCGTGCCTGAGGCCACGCATGCGGGACGCCCCACTCCGAGGAGCCAGGAGCCAAAGGAACCTCAGATAACACAAATGTAATTTACGTACGGTATACCGGTCAACAATCGTGGACTTGAAGGGGAGCTTCTGGGAAATCTGTTAGCTCCTTCGCTGTTGAGCCTTTCGTATGAAATATTGTTGTCCTCTTGCTTTTATCAACTGGGACATCAATCCAACAGCTACTGAGGAAACTGGGCCAGGTAACCATCATCACCAGTAGCACCTGGAAGGTGTCAAGTGAGTGGTGTATCCGTAATTTAACGCGGCACTCTTACCTGCGTCAGCTCTGGGCGGCCGAGTCCTGACGCGCGCCACTTTGCGTTTGCATGACCCCAGCCATGCCTTTAACATCGAGTACCACCATCTCTGTGCGTGCATTATTTAGCTTTATCAATTTCTGCAACAACAACAATAACAACAATGTCAGATCACGATACAAAATCTTCAAGAATAAACATCCAACTCGGGAAGTCTTCCAGGTCCTCGCTGGACATAAAGAAACGCTCTCGTCCTGTTTATGGAAAGCAATACCGAGCGCATGCGCTGCACGACGAATCTGAATCCGACGACGGTGATTTTGAGCAGGAATATGGGCGCGCTGAAGCAATCACATCATACGATATCTACGATACAAAGTCAGACGGCGGAGACCGGCGAAGAGCCCGGGACCGTTCTTCAAGCAGCGACCGTGATAGATCACGGACTCGCAACGGAGACACAGCGTCCGATAGAAGGGATAAGGCCAGGCGTGACGATGAAGACCGGTCGAGGAGTCGCAATAGCAACGGAGTTGAGGATAATGAAACCGAAAAAAATCCGATCAAGTATGGATTGACAATCAAGACGAAGAGCAGAGAGGACATAGGCGAACGAACTTCGCGAGACAGTCGCTCTCAATCCGAAGACTTCGGGAAAGAAGGAAAAGGTTCGAAGACCCTCGAAGAGGAAGCCCTAGAAGCCCTCATGGGATCTGGAGTGCCGAAACGCAAACAGCCCGTATTCGACGAGCCTGACAGAGAGCCACAGCTTGAGGATTACAAGGCCGTCCCTGTTGACGACTTTGGTGAAAACCTTCTTCGCAGCTTTGGGTGGGATGGCAAGATGCGCGGTAAGGTTAAAGAGGTAAAGCGTTACGCAAATCTCGCTGGCCTTGGTGCCAGAAACGTTAAAGAGGCCGAAGATCTCGGTGCGTGGGATCCGAAGGCAGGCAAAAGTTCCTCCTCCCGGCCGGTACGACTAGACGACTACCGAAGAGAAGAGGAGCGAAAACGCCGGCGTCTGGAGGACAAGTACGGAGATAGCTACAAAAGAGAACGCGAAAGAGAACGGGAGCGGGAACGGGAGCGTGGGAGTGACAGGTAGACACAGCACTACTCAGACATCTGCAACTGCCAGATTATGCCCAAGGCTCTGGCTTGGGTCAACAACCTAGTGGTCAGGTTTTGATAATAGCGGATGGATTTCTGAACTCCGATCTAGTGTCAGCTTCCCCAGGCGTGCTCAGAAACAAGGCTTTTCTGAACAATGACTTAATTCTGGTTCATTGACTCCGAAGATCTCATGTAAGTTGGCATTCAACACAAGGCATTCGTGTGCGGACTGTCTAAGTATTTAAGGGGCAGCAAAAACGCAAAGTACGTGGGACTGAGTGCATGAATAGACGCATAGATAGACAGATACCTCAAATCAAGACGAGAAGATACCCCAGATACATAGTGTCCCAGATCAACGATGTGCGAGATACAGCCTGCCTTCCCAAGGCCTCAATATAATTTTCCTCCCGCTTACAGTTGTTTCCATATCTTCAGCATCCTCGTAGCTTCCAACAGTGAAGACCAGCTCATCATATCCAGGAGTATCAGGCAGCTGGACTTCCTGCTCCTCCCCGGAAAAATTCAGCGCTACCATTGCAACCTTCTTTCCATCTTGTGTTTTCTTTCCGAATACAAAAGTCTTCTCATCATCCATCCCAAATCCTTCAAACGACCCATGCACAAGTACATCGCGATGCTGCTTCCGGAACCGTATCATCTGTTTCCAGAAACCCAGCACTGATGTCTCTCCCTGAGCCAGCTGTTTGGCGACATTGATCTCCCTCCAGGCATCATGCACACGCATCCACGGGCCCTTCTCGCAGTCCGTGAAGCCAGCATGCACGCCAGTATCCCACTGCATCGGAAGTCGTGCGTTATCGCGTCCCAAAATCTGCAGGCTGCGCATAACGTACGCCAACTCTGCTGGGTCGTTGTTGGTCTTAGCAGCCACAGCGTGGTAGAAGTTGACTGACTCGATATCTTTGTATGAGGTGATGGGCCAGGTGTGTGGGATGTTGATCATTCCAATCTCTTGACCTTGGTAGAGGAAGAGTGTTCCAGTGAGAGAAGTGAGCATCAATGCGAGAAGCTTGGCCGAAGCAACGCGGTGCTCCGGGGCGTCGGAGGCGAAGCGTGAGACGGAACGTCCTTGGTCTGTTGCCATAGTTAGAAGTTGTCGCGCATCATAGGCATCGAATGAGACACATACCATGATTTTCACAGAACACTGTCGTCCAGCCGTCGGTGCCCTCAATGAACTGTTGCCACTTGGCCACAATGCCCTTGAACTCTGGCAGTTTCCAGTCCTGATAATAGTACCTGTACTCTTTGCCTTGTCCGATGTCCACTATATCGAACTGGAACACCATGCTCAGCTGCTTCTCGCTGGCACGAACATATCTGAGTACTTCCTGAGGGTCTCGGGTGTGAGGTAGCTCTCCCACTGTCACGGGATCGTAATGGCTCAAGACTTGCTCATGCATCTCCCGAAGAAACTCATGAATCCGAGGACCATTAGCATAGTAACACCATGCCGGCTGCTCATAGAATTTGGGATCGACAATGGGGGCGTCCTTGTAGTCGGGCTCCTTGGAGTACCTGTTGATGTGTCCATCAGCCTACTGAGCTGTACAGGCGATGATAAGGCTTAATGTTTTGCTCACATATTGACGCAATCAATACGGAAGCCATCTACTCCCTTATCCAACCAGAAGCGCATGATCGTGTCGTAAATTGCCTTTCTGACCTCCGGGTTTTCCCAGTTGAGGTCAGGCATCTCCTTCGCAAATAGGTGAAGATAGTATTCCCCTGTTTGCTCATCATACTCCCACGCAGGACCTGAGAAATAGCTTCTCCAGTTGGTGGGTGGTAGTCGAGTTCCATCCTCAGCATATCTTGGCGGCTTCCAGATGTACCTAAACCGTTGAATTAGCCATGTTGTTTGAGTTCCAAAAGGAGTGTCACGATGCCACTACCAATCGCGCTTCGAGCTGTCCCTTGAGGATCCCGACTCCTTGAACCAAGCGTGCTGGTCTGAGGTATGGTTGACGACAAGATCCAAGATCAGCTTCATACCCCTGATCGGAGGTTAGCTGAGTCTCAAAAAATTAAGCTGATGGGACATCACCTTTTGTGGCAGCCCTCAATGAGATCTTCCATGTCTTTCAAAGTTCCGTAAGGAGGGTACACTTTTTGGTAGTCCGAGATATCATAACCCATATCAACCTTCAGTTTGTCAGTTTCAAGGCAGGATTTTCACTCCGGGTACAGCACAGGATGCAAAACCCGCGTGTTAGAGAGCAATGCTGGGCAAAGACTATGGCTGACCTGAGGACTGTCAAATCTGTGGACATATACATTCAGTAAGTTACGTTTACATACCCCAGGGAACGTAACCTGAGTGAAGACGTACATTGGCGAGACCCAGATGAGGTCGACTCCCAGGTCCTTCAGATAGTCGAGTTTGCTCAGAATACCGGGAATATCACCAAGGCCATCACCGTTGGAGTCCTTGAAGGAGGCTGGGTATATTTGGTAGCAGACAGCATCTTTCCACCATGGGGTCTCTGGCGCGGAGGGCATGATGGTATATTGAACTTCAAAGATAAAGCCAAAAAATGCAAAATCAATGGGATCTTTCAGCATGTAAAATCGAAAGAGGGGTGGAAGGCTCCGGTTCACTCAACCACCCTGAACAGCAAGACACTTAGGTTCAGTGATGAGGTGACAAGAGGCAAGCCCTCTTTGAAACTAGCATTCAAGGACCAAAGGTAGCCGACACAGAAGAAGCAATCCCCTACGTGTTCTTCACATCCAGTCGGAGCACTCCCCAGAGAGGGGTGGCAGCCAATGATCTATGGTACGTACTCAGGTCAAAGATGGGCAGAGATAGGGATGCACATCCCCGCATATGCTGCCCAATATTAGTGTGCATTGGCTTACGACAGTTAACAGGTGGGAGGTTCAGCTGCAGCAGCCATGACACTTGTCCTGGGCGGCTCAACGGAAAATTTTCTCAGCCTATGTCAGGAACCGCTTACTCAGGATTGACTTGACAGAACTAGAAGGCTCCGTCTACATTCTGAGGAAGGCATATGGCTAAGCAACTCTGTTTGAATGCAAATTTTCAAAGGTACCGCGCCCTATAATTTGGGTTCTACACATGTAATTATACCTCCAACGAGCTGGAGATTTGTCTGCAATGAGGGGTCAGGACTGATAGTTAACATGCTCTTTTTAGAGGGCATCATCAACTCTTGAGGACATAGATCTACTTCGTTCAAGTTCAACAGTGCCCATAGCCTGAAAAGCTGACCACAGACCAAACCTTCTTTGTGCATGAGCATATTTGCTTCATCTCCATGACGGAGATCCAGATATTGGATAGGTGTCTTCCCTGCATGCTGGCAGTATCCCAACAACAGCGTGCTGGGCACCAATACGGAAGATCCTCAAAAAGGACAGAAGGCTCTGGGACAGGGAAGTGTCAATCTCATCCATGGAGCGTGCCTGGCAGGACATATTTTTGTGAAGGTCCGGCAGACAATTGTTTATGGATGTCATGAGCTGAAGAAGAAAAGAGGGAAAAGTTTCTGATTTGTGGCGCAACCGTTGCATGTTTAAATCGTTGCACATGCTAGCAGCCTTCTCTGGGCCACGTACAACCCTTGTGCACACCTTCTCGGCGCCAAGGCCACTGGACCCCTGGAATCCACCTGATCCCCTGCGAACAACGTTCTGACTGGCTGGCCAACCTTACCCAACCCAAGTTTGCCCGGCAGCGACTGCCGAAAATGAGCTGTCTCCTGAAAAAAGTGGACGTGTGTAGGTCAGAGTGGACAGCTTCCAGTGTCCGCACCAAGCTCTGGGAACCACCTATCAACATCACAGGTGTTACATCGACCACTTCCTTCCTTCCTCTCCCCTCCCTCTCTTCCCCGTCACTCGTCATCTCTTCCTGCCCACCAAACAGTCCGCTGCGTGGGCTGTCGCAGTAGCAGTCAAGATGTCTAAGGCACAGAGTGTCAACGGCAGTGAGTCCGAGTTTGAGTTTATCGAAACTCCCAAAGCTCCCACGCCCAAGTTCGAAAAGTTCGAGGACTGCGGTGTGCGGACCACATCGGTAAGTTTGCTACTCATTGCGACAGATCGACGGACTATTTGGTCAATTGGCCTTTTCTGACTTCCATTTACAGGTCCCGACCATCAAGAACGGTCCTCTTCCCGCTGACGGTGCTGGCAGCGACACCTTCTCAAACCTCCTGCTCTTTGCTATCCTGAGCGGTGTGCCGTCGTACCTGTCATGGAAAGTTGGCGGTGGCTTCAAGACCACGCTCTTCTTTGCTCTTTTTACCACCATCCCTCTTCTTGCCGCATTTTGGATCATTGCGTCGAGCATCTCGCCCCGCAAGAATGAGAAAGCCAAGCTTCCTGGACGCCCAGTCGAGCACTATCTTACCTTCAAGAAGCCCGCGGACCAAGCACGGTATCACGGCCGGAACAAGATTCCCATGGAGACATTCCACGAAATGTACTTTGACGGTGACGTCGACTTCAATGGAGATGCTCTCGAGGTGCTAGAGTACCGCCACGACTGGGCCAACTTCCGCTTCACCTTTGGCCTCATCAAGTTTTTCCTGACTGGCATGATGCCTGAGGTCATTATGCACACCCGATCTCAGGGTAAGTCTTTATTTCTCTTAAGCCGTCTGCCCCAATTGGCCTTGCTAATGAAGCTCTTGTGCAGACGAGGAGCAAGTGCGCGATCACTACGACCGCGGTGATGACTTCTATGCCTGGTTTCTTGGCCCGCGTATGATTTACACTAGTGGCATCATCAGCGACATCAACAAGGAAGAGACTCTGGAGGAGCTCCAGGATAACAAGCTTGCTGTTGTCTGCGAGAAGATCCAGCTCAAGGAGGGTGAGCGCCTGCTTGATATCGGCTGTGGTTGGGGGACCCTTGCCCGTTTTGCCAGTGTGAACTACGGTGCCAAGGTGACCGGCATCACTCTCGGTCGCAACCAGACTGCCTGGGGCAACAATGCTCTCCGCAAGGCCGGCATCCCTGAGGAGCAGAGCAAGATCCTTTGCATGGACTACCGCGACATTCCTGTTCCTGAGGGTGGCTACCACAAAATTACTTGCCTGGAGATGGCCGAGCACGTTGGTGTTCGCCACTTCTCGTCTTTCCTCAAGCAGGTCTATGACATGCTGGATGACGATGGTATCTTCTTCCTTCAGATTGCCGGTCTGCGTAAGAGCTGGCAGTATGAGGATCTTGTCTGGGGTCTCTTCATGAACAAATACATCTTTCCTGGCGCCGATGCCTCTACCCCTCTTGGCTGGTTCATCGACAAGCTGGAAGGTGCTGGCTTTGAGGTCAAGGCTGTGGATACTATTGGCGTTCACTACTCGGCCACTCTCTGGAGGTGGTATCGTAACTGGATTGCGAACCGTGAGAAGATCGAGGCCAAGTATGGCAAGCGCTGGTACCGCGTAAGTTGCTCCACAATATTACTAGCCAGCTTGGGCAGATGCTCACCAACACCCTTAGATTTGGGAGTTCTTCCTTGCCTACTCCACCATCATTGCCCGTCAAGGTAGCGCCACCTGCTACCAGATTGTCTTGCACAAGAACCTCAACTCGTTCCATCGGATTGAGGGTGTTCCCTCTCAGCATGCCATCCACGGTGCCAAACAGGCTGCCGTTTCTACTAAGGTCGACCTGGCTGCCTGGGCGAAGGCCGAAGCTGCCAACTTCCCCAGTGTTCCGGCTCACTAAAGCGTGCCGTGCTGATATGACGTTGGCGATGACGGTATTATAGAAACGTTCCGCTTTGAAAACATTGTCGCGTAGCATAGCATGCGAGTTCTATTAAAAGGACCAGCAAACTGGTGTTGGTGATAGATGATACGCAATAGGCCGGGCTCCATCTTAAGACGTCTGTAGGAGTATTGCAGGTGGAGAGAATAAAGAGAAATATGTAATGTATGATCTGGAATTACAGGGTGGTTTTGGGATGATAACACCGATCCTGAGTGTAGGTTCTGTAAGCATCTTGGTCTGGTCCCGTTGCCTCTAGAGTGCACGGGCTTAAGAGGTGCTAGTCTGGTTTGTTCGTCTGGTTGCCCTCTGATAGACGGTGTCGTGTCACCCGGATATACTTCATCCAGCGTATGTGTTCCCAGAGCTGTTGAGTATTTTTGCAATTTGGGCTCTAAATCACAGATAAATACTCTACGTTTTATCCACTCCATCGGTAGTCTTTCATTCCAAACACCCATGCATATGCCGCTTCTTAATAGTACAATGCTAACATTTACAAAATAAAGTTTTATTTGATAATATGGCGCCCGTGGGACTTTCCATCAGGATGCCCCTCGTAGTCTTCCTTAGTATTATCCTTTTTATATGACCTGGCTTACCCCTTATTACACTCCTTCTTCCCTCCAGCTGCGGCCGATGACGACGAGGAAAACACCACACCAATACCATCCTTCCAACCGATCGGGATCAGGGCAGCCGCCACATCGTTCACCCCGCGCTCTGTCGCGAGCATGTTGTACTGCGAAGCAGCGTTGCGTGTGTCTAGCACGTCGACGCGGATACCCAGCGCACTGATGGCCTGCCGCGTGGCAGGGCTCAGCGGGCGAATCTCTGGACCGACGCCAACGATCAAGAGGTCTGTTGGCACATATCAGTATGTGCTATGTCCTTACCAGCCGTAGGGTAACTTAAAACCTACCCGGCTTTGGCCAGATAACCCCCAAAACCCCCCACACCTCACTCGGCACCTCCCACTGGCCCTTCTCATTCACCAGCTTCTTACTGCCCTTCGCTTCCCACGGCCGCCAGGTAAACGCCTCGCCACCGACAAGCAGCACCCCGGAGCCACCGCGGACCTGCACCCCTGAGTTGAGCACGAACCCGTCCGCGTGACAGACGTCGATGGACGTGGACGGCACGGGAATGTCGCCGAGCATGTCCATGCGCCCGAAGTCAGTTGTGGGCGGCTCTGAGGGCGGGCGCTCGTCGGGCCGGTTGGTGGTGGCTGTTAGGCGCTGGGGTAAGCGAACGCGGTGGGCGGCGGGTGTGGTGTGGAGGGGGCGTATCCTTGGGGTGGTTGAGGAGGAAGTTATGATGTGGGAGGGCGATCTTTGCTGGGAGGTGAGGAGGGCAGTGCTTTTGCTAGCCGGCCTGAGACGGGGAGCTTGTGAGGAGAGCCATTCTGAACGCGCTTGTACTTGCGGCTGAGAAGGAAGGCATCCTAATGTTTGAAAAGGGACAAATGGGACAGCTTCAGTTCTTAAAAGTTTGCTGATAGGCCTGGAAAAGGTTGACATGATGAACGTGTGTCCAGACCGGACTGTGTAGTTGTGTCCTGTACGTGTGGTCTCGAGCAGCGTTGTCTCAAAGGTGATGAGTGAAGTTTTGGGGATTGCCTAGCTCTATTGGATGGGGAATTTTGGCGTGGGCTCGACGTCATTGCAGGGGTCCTAACGGCCCGAGACCACCGAGAAGAGCCGGCAATTTGTGCTACAACGATCGAAGTTCGATCGGCCCGAGTCCAAAACTTACATATCATATTTCTTGGGGGCAAGTCGACCATGGGGGCTGCAACATGATTCAGATCACCAGGTGCATGGCCTTGAAATGGTGCATGATATTACAACGCGGAAGACTGGATAAGCGGGTATCTCACAGCAGTGACCCCCAAAACACCGGCATGACTGACTCCAAGATCGACACGGCGGGACTGTTGCTTGATTGCTGCTGCTCATGATCGTAATTGGTCGTCATTCGGCGCCCGAATTCCTCCGCTGTACATCTCACAGCCTTCCCGGGCCCCCTTACAGAGCACGGCCTGAAGTCCATTTCCATTTCAAAACCTCATCCCGCAGTGAAATGCAGCCCTAAGAACAGAGACAGCCAATCCCGGCTGTGTGTGCGGGTGTATGGCATGCCGCCCGTTTCCCAAGTGAACATCGAACCCATGAGACCGTCAACCCAGCAAATCAGCCCCGCCTGAGACCAATACCAAGAAGAAAAGCATTTATTTATTTCTTAGAAGCCTTCTTCTCGGCCTGGCTCTGCTCCTTCAGCACCTTCTTGACAATCTTCTGCTCCTCAATGAGGAAAGCCCGGATAATGCGGTCGCGGACGCAGTTACCGCACCTCGAGCCACCGTATGCGCGCTGGACGGTCTTCTTAGGCTTAGAGATGGTGGCGTACTCGCGCGGACGAAGAGCAGGGATCTGCAGAAAGAAGAGCCAGTCAGCACATCGCAGTCCAACGCTTGCTTCCTTTCATGTGGGACGGCAGGTGACAAGTTCGGGACCAAGCTGAGGAGAGGTTTGTCGGATGAGTCGACTACCGACATGCCGCTACGTTGTCGCGTCGCAATATCGTCGTAGCGTGATGGAACTGTCGCGGCTATTGTTCGTCTCCCATTCTCGAATTTGTCATATTTTGTCATCCGGCGCAACCTGGGGTATGAATTTTGGGTTCGTCGAGACGCAAGTTGTGGCGAATTGTGTGCTTTTGGAGTGTCGCTCATTCGGCATCCTTGCTAATCCCCAGAAAAACTTCCCTCTCCAGCCTGGTCCCTTCTCCCGTCTCCTCCTTCGTGATTGAGAAGTAGATTAACTTACACCCGGGAGCTTGATGCCACAGTCGCCGCACTTGGGGGCAGTGCCGCGCTTCTTGATGTGCAGAACACGCAGCTGGCCGCCAGGAGTCTTGATCACACGCGTCCGGTTGGACGTGGTGTTATAGCTGCAAGGAAATCTGCGTTAGTCGCTCTGTCCGTCTCTCAGTGTTTCTTTTGCCTGCCCAATCCCAAGGAAAAACTTGACAGAGTCGAAATTGAAGAAAACTCACGGGTTCCGGCGACGGTAGGTGACTCGTGTGGGGGCCATTTCTGCGGTGTTGTCGTCCCTGACGTGATGGTTTCCGTCGACTCGATCACGATGTGCGAGATGGATGAATTTTGAGGTCTCGATAGGAAATTTCTGTGTGGGCGCACAATCCAAGCCCCACCCTTCCCGATTGGAAAGGGTTGGTTGGCACTTGGCGGGGAAAGAGGGACCAGCTGGCAAGCCGGCAACGGCTAGATTCGCTTATGTAAGCATAGTTCCCTGGCTGTGGCTGACGGGGAACTTTTGCTTGAAAAGGCAGAATCGCACCCATGACGGTGATCATCGAACGTCCCGAGTATGTTCGGGCTTTGAACAGCAATCCTCATAAGTAATCGATGTCCTCACGGTAACGAGAACATATGTTTTCTCGGTCTTTGCATTCAGTTTTATTAAGCAGATCACAAAGGACTAACACTATGGCGAATAAGCCGGCCGTTTACGATCCGGGAAACCAGTCCGTCGGCCTATCGTGGGATAACGATGCTCTCTCCCTTAAACGCCAGAACGCCAGCTAACCCTTAAGAACCCGAGACCGGAAGAAACACCCAGAAAATCCGTAAGAAACTCCGCAAGATTCGAATCACTGATCAACTCGCCGGCGCTTTCGATTCATGTCGGCCCAGTCGGGGTGTTCACTCGCTCGCCAGCTCTTGATGCCTTTCGGGTTCGTCGCTTGACTCTGGTTTGCTCGAGCGAAGGTGCCATTTGCCTTTTCCAACGATTCTACGAAGCCGGCGATTTCCTTTCGGCAGTTCTCGACAGCTTGCGCGTATGCGGCAAATGCGGCCTCACCTATGGTCACAGGGTTCTGTGAGTTGAAGGTTGCTAGCCCAGTGGATCTTGACAGCACGACTTACGGGAGCGAGGCTTGGTTTTCATTGCTCCTAGCATCCGTAGGAGTGCTGAACGAAGGCTCATCAACTGCGTGACAAAAAGGTCAGAGTGATAAGCGCTTCTCCACTGTAGTCCAGGTTTCGTTAGCCGTACTTACCTGAAGATGCAGCTGGTCCAGCTCGTAGAGTGAATCCTCGAGCTGGTCCTCCTGTTGTAGACCGCCCCCAAAGCCATTATCCGCAACCGGCATCGGCGCAGCTGGAGCTGCTACTGTCGCTGTTGTCTGCTTGTTGGGCGGCATGGTGTTGGAGGCGGTGGACATGTTGGCCGTCCGGGCCAGGGGCTGATCGAGATGAGCAGAAACAAACGGAGATCAATCAAGCTGGATGGATTATGTAAGCCGTAGACGTGCAGCAGTTGTTCCCGAGATCAGAGCCAGGGCGAGCGATCAATGGCAGCCGGCCAACGAGTGGATGGCGGTTTACGCCTGTTGCCCATTTCACAGCGCTACACCGCGGCCTTGTATCATCGGATGAAGGTGGTATGTGAGCGCGTCGCGCGGTTGGCCCCACTGAGCCGGAGCGGCGGGCGCTGCGGGCTGGCAGCAGCCCGCCGCGGGCAGGACCAGCCAAGGCCACGCAAAGACCAAGGCCCGGGGTGGGTTTAGGGTGGGGCCAGAGGCTCAGCGGAAAATTGCCCAGTGGGGCCGTGGCCCACCAGAAGAAGCCAGTTGTGGCTGATGCTCTGTTCGATCGGGTGACCAGCGACTGCAGTGGCAGCACCAGCATCAGCGGCGACCTCCAGGCCGAGCGATCACTGCCCACCCAGACAGCCCAGAACCACAGCGGGCACAGCTGGGCAAGGAGCTTGGGCCAGCTGCTTGATCTGGGAGTTCTCCTTTCTGCTTTCACCTCGGGCAAGAAGCACGACCGGCAACCAGCGTCCAGCGTCCGACAGGCAAACAGCACCCAGCACCTGCCCGCAGGCGCACAGCTTCGAGCGAAAAAGAAATTGCCATTGCAGGCAGCCAAGGCCCAGGCCGAGCAGCTGGAGCAGCAACACAGTCTTTTTTTCGATTTTTTCGCTCGCTTGCAGATTCTATCGAGACAATCCACCAACCAAAGGTCTTAGTGACCCCTACTGAGTCCAACGCCCCCCCGGTGACCCTGGACGCGACAGCGAACAGGGCCGCGAATGCGAATATTCCATTGCGCTGCCATACCATACACTACCACTGCCCTCTTGCACCCGAATTCCAGTTGTTCGAGTCTCGTGTCGGGCCACTTTAGGTTGAGAAGGGCGCAGAGATTCGGCTTCTCGTTTTTTACTTTGCGGTCCGCAGTCTGTCATCCTTCCCAATTCCAAAAATTTCCGGGCACATCGCGAGCGCGCTTTTCGATCGGCCGCACGCGACTCTTGTTCTTCTGCCCTCCGGGGCCCAGGTCAGGCTCCGGACTCTCTGCCACTTCCTCCCTATTGTTTTCAGCAACAATAGCAGCAATAGGGCGTCGTGCGATCTCGCGCACTCTTGTTCGCACTGGACGCGCGCTGTGGTCGCCTGACTTGACCTTCCCGCTTTTCATTACGGATACAAGTACGAGGTACAACCTGGAGCCTGCATCTTACACCTTCCAGGCCGTCACGTATACTCCCTCCCTCCTGCCCTTTCTCCAGCGCTTCTTTTACCTCCCTTTACCGTTTGCCCCCTTCTGCACCTGGCCGCCTGTGCTGCCGTCCAGCCAGCTGCTGCCAGTCTCCAGCCTCCATTCAGGTTCTGCGTTTGCCCTCTCCATTCTCGTTTCTCCATCCATTTGCAGGTCCTGTCTCCGCTCTTCATCCAAGCGCTGCACAGCGGCATTGATTCGAAATCGCACTGGATCACAGCACAGTGTTTCCCACTGGGCCTGTGCCGTGTCACTCCGACATTCTTCACTGTCCAACCCACCCTCCATCCACAGCAGCAGCAGCAGCAGCAGCAGCAGCAGGAGCAGCAGTAGCAGCAGCGTCCCTGCCTGCCCAGCTATCTGTTACCTACTGACTTGACTTGACCTGCGACCAACAATCAAGCACCTATACCCAGCATAGGTAGCATCCGCTTTTACCGCTTACCTGTTAGGTACCTTACGCATTAACTGCCCAGCGCCGTGCGCTGCGCGACCTTCCAGGTTACCGTCGGTCGCGCATTACTTTCCTAGCCCGCTGCCTTGCCTATCTGCGGATCGCCGGATAGCTGCCACCTGCTACCAGCCAGCCGTGCCAGCCGTCGGCGGCATCGCCCTCACACACAGCAGCTTCACAGCATCGCAGTTTCGCAGCGCGCATCGCCTCGCCTCGCTTCGCCTCACCTCACATCGCATCACATCGCATCGCCAATTCCCATCTGACCTGAGGCTGTTGTCATGGACGCCGCAGGTGCAGCCGCTTCCTCTCAGGCCCAGGCGCGCCCTCGCAAGCGCCCTCGCACGACGCGCGTTTCGGAAGCCGGAAATACTGCTGCCACGGCTCCAGGCCCGCTTGGCCCCGTCGCACAAGCCGCACAGGGCTGGGGTCCCGCCACCGTCGCGACCAGTCATCATGGCCAGGCCGTGCGCGCTTCGGTCGACACCGTGCATCCTCACGCACCTCAACAGCCTACCTTCTCGCAGCAGCTCGATGCTCGATCCCACCAGGTTGCCGAGCCCGACTCATTGATGAACGGCTACAGCGCCCCGCAGCATACCCAGTACCCGGACTCGCAATCCACGCTTGCCCAAGCCTCGCAGCCCGACACCTCGGGCTTGACCAGTTTGAGCGCCCTTGCCGGCGACCACCATCAACAACACCAGCACGCCGGCCACGGTCCGCCGCACCATCAGGTCCAGCATCAACAACCAACACATCCACACCAACAGCACCAGCAACAGCAACGCGCCGCCGCTGCCTCAGCTGCCAGTAAGCAAGACTCCCGAGTCCTGTTCCAGCAACAGCAGCAGTACGGCGCGGCCCATCCCTCCGAGGCGTCTTCCGCCGCCGCCGTGGCGAGCTCCTCATCTGCGGCCGGCTACAACCTGTCGGCCTGGACCGTGAATACGACCACGTCGAGTCCCGCTCCCCCACAGCCCGCGCCCGCGCCAGCTCCGGCGCCATCCTCTATGCCTCCTCAGTCGCCCGCCCTGGGCTCGACCACCACTACAACGGCGGGCCTGGCGCCGCCCCCCGAGGGTATTTACCGCTCGTTCGAGGACCTGCTTGCCTCTGTTCAGCGCACAGCGAAGGAGCAAGGTTATGGCATCGTGAAGCTTCGTGCTAGCAACTATCGTGACGGCAAGCCGACGCGTTATGACCTGGTTTGTGACCGTGGTGGTGTCAAGTACAGCAGCACGGCGAAGAAACGGAACCCGAGTACGCGCAAAGTCGACTGCCCGTGGCGCGCAAAAGCTGTGTGTGAAGTTAGTCTTGGACACCAGTGGCGTTTTGCGGTGCAGGAAGCCCGCCATAATCACGAGGCCCGTATCCCCGCCGCCGTACCCGGTCAAGAAAACACGCCTGTTGCCCAGAGCATCCGGAGTCTTACTAACAAAGTGGACCGTATGGCTCATGAGGTTCAGCAAGGCTTCACTCGGATCGAGCAAATGCTCGTGGCGCGTCTGGAAAACATCGAGAAGCGTCTTGAGGCTCTTGAGAGCGGTCGCTCTGCCGCTGCTGCTGCGGCCGGCATGCTCGGCGGTCCCGGTAATGCAGTTCCCCAGATGGGCGGTCCTCCCAGCATGCCGCCCGCCAATATGGGCGGTGCCAGCAGCTTAGGCAACGGCTCCCTCGCCAATGGCGGCATGCAGCCGCTTGTTGATAGTCGTCTGAGCGGCGTTGAAAGCCGTCTGTCGCAGATGGAGCCCCGCAGCCTGGACGGTTTGCAGATGATGGATGACGACGCCGGCCGGCTGTCGATGATGGTTAACTCTTAGAAGGGTTTGCCGGGTAATATGGCAGAGGATGGGGCTGTTGGCCAGTTGGCTCCGGAAAACGGATAATGAAGGGCTGCTTGCTCCTTTGGAGCAAAGTTAATCGGTCAACCACCGGTTGCTTGAGCACACACCTATTAGTCTCAGCTGCCTGAGTTGAGAGACATCGTACACAGTTGTCCGTCGGCCTCAACTTAATCGGCAACAGCTTGACACTTGTCAACATCCCCACTAACCCTTCTGCAACGTCAGCCTTAGTCTGCGCCGGCAGGTCAGCCAGCTATTTTGGTCAAGCTAATTAATAGCACCATCACCCGCATGGAGGGTTCATCTGGGGGCGCTCGTCGCATGGTTGCGATAGTGATTGCTAGTACTATTTACAACATTGGGAATCGGAACTGGGGATACAGAATTGAAAGCTGACAGGTTCAGACTTTTTTTATAACTGCCTTGTTATTGATGAACCTGTACAAGCTGGATCTGTTGGACAATGCCGGTATCGTCGTTATCAGCCCTCATATGCCTTTCTTACTGGTCGGTTTTCTTCGGGATTGGGAGATTCAGTCACTCCCAAGGAAATTAACGAGAGCTAATTCTACCAACTGTATATCTTAACTACTTTACTAGGTTACTTTTTCCTTTTCTACCTGATTCTCTTCCCTTTCCTGGTTTGGTTCGTTCTGTTTTTTTTTTTTCATTAACGGCGTTAAGGATTGGGATAACCGTGTGTTAACTTGGTTTTTAGCTCTGAATGTGTGTCTATGTGTGTGTGTATGTGTGTATGTGTATGTGTGTGTGTGTGTGTGTGTGCGTGTGTGTGTTATGTAATTCAAATCTCTTTTCTTACCTCCTCTCAGTTTTGCTTTCTGGTTGGGGCTTTCTGAATTTGATACTGGTCTGCCTGGGTGGTGGCTTTTTTTAAAAAAAAGTACCGATATATATATATATATATATATAGCATCAGTGTTGTCCTCCATTCTTTGTCCCGTCTATCAGACATTCTCCTGCTCTATTGTCCTTCTCAGTCACTTTAACGGACCAGGGGGAAGAGAACGTGAGGAAGTTGGAACAAATGGATTAGAACATAAGACATGGGGTGACAAAAGGTTCTTGCCATCTGTCTTTCACCACTTCGGTACTTGCTCTAATATTCTTCTCTAGGTGGGATAGAGTGCAGTCTCAGCCAGCTAGTAGCCTCATCTCGCCAGCTCTTACAATGCTGTCTTTCACTTCGTATTACAAAGACCTACTCTACCTGCCTTAACCCGACTTTTCCCTCTTAGTACTTGTAGATGACACCGCCCGAACAGTGGGAAAGGACATAGAAAGAATCACTGGCTAAATTTTGGGAAACTGGCTCTATGCACGTGTGTGATAACCGGTGGCGTACTGATATCGACTCCTCTCCCCGAACTCTCCTAGAGTTTTAGCACTCTTGGAAGTTCGTGTGCTGGAGATTGAGTCACTTATGTTCTGGACAACCAAAGGAATAGCCCTACATCCCCCGGAATTATAGATCGAAAAATTGAATATTTTGAGAACCGTAGCCCGAGATGATATGTATTATACCACAGAAACGCCACAGCTCCGTGCCTCTTGACTCTTCTTTAATGATGCATCCAGAAAGTCCAACTAAAATGTGCGGGGAGATAATCAGAACAAAAAGCTGATAAAACGGTGGGCAGTGGATGGGTGTTGGGCCATGTTAGTAACGCTCCTGTGCTTCAACTCCCGTTGTTTTCACTGGTGTTGTATCGTGCCGTGTCCAGAGGCAAGATCAGGTAGGTATCGCAATCATATATATGAAGAAGATAGGTGGTTCCGATCCAACCGCCGTTTCCGTCCCTCATTACTTCGTAAAAAAAAAAAAATAGCTTAAAACATAACAAGCAAACCGAGCTCAACCTTGACTGCCTGCTGTCGGCCGAGTTGGGGTATCTAAAAAGGGAAACGAATGAAGGTTGATGTGTTGATGTTGGAGTTGTGGTTGGGAACCGTCTCACCGGTGAAACAGCTCATAGTTCTTGGATCCAGATCTATTATCTTGTTAACAAGGCCAATTCCTGTCACAAGATGAGTGACAAAAGTACTCACCTCCAGTTTGCCTGTATCAGACCTATTTCTTCGCGCTTCCTTCTTAACGCTGTCCATCACCATATCCAAATCATCCTGGTCGCCCATGGTGATCATCTCACCCTCCGGATTGTCCTCATCCTTGACCTTAATCTTGAACTTCCTTCGGAGCTGGAACTTCTCCTGGATCTTCTGTACCAGGTCTGGGAATGCGATTGCCGGACCAACGACAACGTACCGCACATCTCCAGCATGGACCTTGACACGCACGGTTCGCATGGTTTGCCGTGATGACCCTCTCCTCGAGCTACCCGATGTCACTGATGGCGGGGCTGCCGGTCTGCGGTTCGTCACCATCTCGAACTCACCCTCATCGATCGATGCGTCATCGTAATCGCTGGCGTCATCCTCTTCCTCTTCGATGTACCTGTTGGTCTGCGCACGGCTACCAACACTCCGCTGTGAACGGCTGTTGCGAGACCCGCTGCCGCCTTGGTACATGTCGTACAGGTCGTCGGCCACGTAGGCATCCTCTTCTTCGTCACGCCTCCTCCTCGGCGGGGGAGCCTCACTGCGCTGGGAGAAGCTGCGGGAGGGGGCTGCCGAGGCAGAACGGGCTACGCGCGGACGGGGTACATCGTCGGGGGACGAACGCTCGTAACGGTCGTTGGAGCGCACCTTTTCGAGATTGAGGCGACCAGGTACTGGCTTAGGTCCGTTGCGAACTGAGGCACCACGGCTGATCTGGGAGGCCTTGTCGCTTTCGGGAGGGGGGTTGGGGGGAAGACGTTGCGGTTGTTTGGTGGTTCCGATTGCTGTCTTCTGCTTGAGAGACCAGGTTTGACGAGATTGCTGGCAGCGAATGAAAGAGACTCTTTGGGCCTGTCATCCTTGGCGGTGCCGTTTCCGAGCTGGTTACAGGTCAGAGAAAGGAATTTCGAACGGGAATCATGACAAATGAAATGAGTTGACTCACGACGGGACTCACCCCCTTAGCCAGTTCTGCGCCCGCAAAGCCGGTAAAGGCATTGGCACGGTCAGAGGCGGCAACCAGGCGGGCCTTGCCCAGGTAGTCCTTCTGTTGAAGGTTTCTGACCTTGGCTTCATTGGGTCTGTAGACAACACCGACGGGGATCGAGAAGACCGTGTAGCCCTGGCATACTGTTAGCTGAATTCTGCAACACCAGTCCGGCTCTCAACGCACCTTGGCCTCATCCCGGATTGCGTCATCGATCACATTATGATCCTCAACCACCTTCTCCTTAGCAGCATATTGCAAATCTTGCATACCAGCATCCATCTGCTCGAGATATATGTAGCAGAGACCACGGTTAAACAGGACCTCGCATGAATAGAGCTTGAACAGCAGACCCAGCTGCGAGTAGTCGATCAAGGTGTTGCCACGGAGGTATAGCAGAGTGTCGTTGAAGTTGGCCAAGGCTTCCTCGAAGTCACCGAGCAGGAAGTTGGAAACGCCCTCCTGGAAATAGGCGACGGCTAGGTATTGATCGAGCTTGATGGCGCGCTGATAGCATTCGACCTACGACAGTCATCAGTATTGGGAACCTTAGTGCAGTGCGGGGCAACTGTTGTTGGTGCCTACAGCTTTTTCATGCTCGCCCAGCGTCGCGTGGATTACGCCCATGTTGAACCAGATCTTGGACGTGTCCGCGATCTTCTCAAATGTCTTGAGCGCCTCGTCGAACTCATTGTTGTCGTAGTACTTGAGAGCCTCGACCCATGTTTCGATTTCCTATGTGCCATCAAAGTCTTGTGTAAGCCATCAGAATTGTCGATCTTTGCCTGTCTCCGCCACATCCACATCCATCCACTTGGACAGTGGGGGTCGGTCCTTCACTCACCTGTTTTAGCGACATTTTGCTGGCTGTGTCTCCTCAAGGGCGGCTGCTGCAAAAGTCTGTCAACGAAGCCAGTCTCTTGCGGCCCAAGAAGGACTGGTTACGATGTTTGGACAAAGTCGCGATGCTCCTGGTGGCAACGAGCAGCCAAAAGGCGTGGGTCGTAGTGCAGATTGTGCGTCAGACGCCCCAGGATGTGCGTACAGAGAGGGGTCGAATGGCCTTTTAAGAGGCTGCGACAGGGGTTCAACGTGAGCTGTGCTGGGTGGGCGGCAAGCGCAGCAGGGGGGCTGGCACAGAGTGATGGAGCCAGCGGGTGCCCTGGACGTGACGGGTGGCAGCCAGCCAGCAATCAGTGGGTGGTGCCAGTGGATGCCCAGTGGACGTGCGGGTGATGGAAGGTGTGGATGGAAAACGGTTCGATTTCCCCGCTCCCCTCTAGTTGCCAGGTCTCCTCGTGGCACACACACAATCCAATTGCCTTCGTCTGCAGCTCTCCGCAGCTTTCCGACTCCGTTAGCACAAACCTAAAATAAATCTGGCCAAGACAGCCGTGAAAATGAATGGGCGAAGGGCGGCAGCAAAGGCCGAGGGATGGCAAGCTCTTGGAACTAGCGGCGACTTGGCACCAACGTCCAGCCACTACTACCGTTGCTCTCCGTCCGGTGATGTCCAGTGACCTGCAGCTGGAGTCGCCGATGACGAGTACCCGCCTTCGTTTTCGGGATCAGTCACGTCGCTTCGGTCTCTTTCGCTCTGTTCCTGGCGGTTGTTTCCAGCAGCACCATGCACCAGTACGGCACGGGTTGATTCCGGCTCTCTGGGTTGCCCTTGTCTGCCCACGATCGTTGATGAAGTCCAATTATTAGATTAAGAACGTGGAGACTTAATATTTACGGTAGATATGTGATACCGTGCTCTTGAACTCGTTCGTGATCTCTCGACTGGCTGAAAGGAGCGGCCAATGTTGGTTCTCGAGGGAGTGAGTAAGAGCTCGAGAGAATAGGAAAGGAAAAGAGTGACCGGGATCAATGACTGAGGCACGAGAAAGGACAATAACAACGAAAACAGACAAAGCGGGATTAGATCCTTTTACTCGAGCTGAGATCTCGGAGGCTCGCGACGTAAACAGGCAAGCAACCTCCTCTGGTCTTGTTCAGGACGGCCAGAATTGGGGAGCTGATCATGCAGGTCCACAAGGGAGGAACACTTGCTGTTACCTGGCTGGCTAGGTTTGACTGGGACAGCTGGCACAGTTCACCTCGTCCGTTCTTGAACGTGTTTCTAGACAGGGACTTTGTTACACATTGACAGGGGCACACCCTCGTCAACATAAAACGATGGCAGCAGTGCGGGATCAAAAGCATTAGGCCGTAAATTGTACGAAAAAAAAAGAAACGAGACAGAAAAGAAAGAAACCCGAGACGTTTTAGCATGTAAACAGGACTATATGATACCCAGGCGCCTGTCAGTGTTCAGGGAGACGGGGGGATCTGGTTTGTCTGGTTTAGGTCAGGTATCAGGTATCTAGGACAGCCGCTCTCCAAGCCTCTACAATCTTGAGGTTCGACAGACAGCTGCCAAAGAAACACAGCGACGGCTCGTAAGCCTTCAATCGAATGTTTTCCGAGCCGGTGTCGAACCATCGGGATAAGCCATGCATATTCTTCTGTGAAGATAGCACAGACACACCCGCAGAGGTCTGGGCAAGAATCAACCTCTCCCAAACATGAGCGATTGCAGTGAACCCCCCTGTCCACCGCTGCCGGATCAATGCGAGACGGATGGTACAGCGCCCGCTCCTCATCTAGCTCTAAGGATTGAAAGCCATGTGCTTGTTAGCCGAAGTTGTAACAGCGAGTATTACATCACCGCTTCTACAATTAACATACCACCATCCCCTCTTGTGAGAAACGATACTACGTACGTACTTGCGTCCTGGTCGCTGGGGTTTGCTTAGCCATATCTTGCCCCACCTTCCAAACTACAGCCGTCCTTCTTGCACTAAATCGCTAGGTTTTGTCTGCCTTAACGAGCCATGAGCTATCCCCTATACGCATAACACACGGCTCAACAAAATCGAATCCGCCGAAGACGGAGCGATCCTGGACTCCGTGGAACCCATCAGCCAAAGACTCAAAGGCTGGCCATAAGACTTGGCCGTGAAAAGGGGTCAATGCAAAAGTGATCGACTGTCACAGAAAGCGCAAAAACTGCTGTCTCCCGCGAATCAAGTTCGTTTTTCTCATGCGCCAAGAGTCTCCAAGACTGAATGCTTGATCCCTGATTGGGCTACTATGCCTGGGTGGGCCGGTGCGGCAACCGCCGGTGCGTTGCAGGGCGGTTAAAAGTTACAAGATAGGCTGGTAACTGTGTCACGGTTGTACCTTTCAACTTCGTGCCCGAGATTATGGCCGGTGACAGAGAAAATATGTCGGGTATTGATAACGTAGGGCTATATTACCTACAGTCAAGACATCGTATGCAAGAGATTTGTGTCTACAGTGAATGATTTTTTGCAGAGTACTTAAGAAACAACGAAAACATATGATTTCTAGCCCAGCTCAGGCGCCAAAACAGTTATTTTTCAAGTCCCCACATCATCCTCTGAGCAACCTCGCAGCTCCCACATACCCGCCGAGATCATCTCAACTTCAGCAACGCTGCAGACGCTAATTATACGAAATCCGAACTCCGTGTCCATTCAGGGTTGGAAAGGTATAACTTTAGTATGTGAATGTGATAGTGACAGCGTCCAACAACATCAGGCCATCACAGATTTATTTCTGGACATTGATTTCTCTTGGCTCAACCCCAGGGTTAGAGAGGGTGATAGCTGGTGGCCCAGGAGGCTCAAACGGGCCCATACCATGCCCTCGGCAGTCACTTAACCACACCATGTGTACAGATGCGCCTTTGGGTTACAGTCGGAGTTGACTGCTAGCCCGTGGGGTGTATCACTATTCATCCGAAGCTGGCATGGCTCTAGAAGAGAGCTTGGAAGGTACATACTCCAACATCACGACCATGCATCCTCAGCTGAGAGGTCTTAGCCGCAGTATCTTAACTGTACCTGAGCTATTGTCTCTAACTTGAGGGCTTGGGAAAAAACAATCCACCCAAAACAACTGTCACTGCAAGTTTTCGAGACATGTGCAAATGTTGATTTTTCACGTGTAACTCGGCAATCTCCCAATCCACTTTGCCATCGTTTCTCATGCTTGAGCCTAGCAGAAGTCTACCCAAGCTCAATTCAAGGTCTAGACCCATGCGAAGGGGAACAAAGATTGGGCTTTGCCAAGAGACCGGGATCGCTTCTGTACGAGGACTGATACAGGAGCGGCCCGGTCTCAACTAGTGTAGCAGGCCGGGGGGTGTTTGCCGGGGGATAGGGTCATGCCCAGGTCGCAACCTCACATGTCTTCAACGCCCAGGTGTAGTTTCTGATCCAAGTCAGCGTAAACACACATGTTTGATTAGATTCAACAAGATCTGCAGGACGAGATTAGTTCATCAACTTTTCCTCAATGCCATTAACGACCGGAAAGTTGAGAGTGAAGCTCCAAAAACTACGGGAAGAAACAGCACAATGAGCACTCGTCCGAGTTACACGGCTTCATGCGAAATTTTCCTAGGTCACAATGTTAGAGCTTGGTGTCCCGTCGTTTTCCCTACCCGTAGTCTCGTCTCAACTTTTCGTCCTCTCCCCCTTGGCTGCCACCTTGTTGTGCAATGGCTTCCCAAGGGCATGGCCGGAGTGGAGCCATAGGGCTCGAAGCTGACCCCTGAGCTGGGATTGTTGCTCCATGATGAAAATCACTGCACTAAACTTCGAACAAGCTTCTTTTTGTCTATTCCGTCCAGGTGCATGAAAAAATTTCCTACGATCGAGATCGTAGATTGACTGTTCCCCAGTTTCAGGCTGATGGCCCTCAGGCCGTCGAGGCCCCCATCTCATGGTTGCCCTGACACCTGACAAACCCAATCTGTTTTGATTTAGCATCTGATCCCATGAACCTGGACACCCAGAGTAAGCTTATCACGTAGGTAGCATGCACGTATGAACAAGCAATCGCCGCAATTGCCATATGGCTGCAGCTGTCTTGATCATCCCAAACGAAACAGCACACCTTCCCTATATCCTTCTCTTAATGATGCCACCATCACCACTCTTTCCGTCTTTCACAGCATCCCCTTCTTGACCTCATCCCTCCTCTCCTCCCACAGAGTCTTGCCCGTGCATGAGCACACTGTCTTGTCGTTATCCCACACACCCGCGCTACGTGCGATGACACCAACAACGGTATCCTCCGAATTCTGCAACCCCTCCTGACCATGCTCTTCCTGCCGTGATACCACCAACGCCCGGCCAATCACCTCCCACACCTGGAACGGCTTGTTCAAGAACACGGTGCCGTACCCGTTCGGGCCAACCTCCACGGTACCTAGGAAGCCGCGCGGGGTGCTCTGCTTTTGGCTGTCACCGTTCGTGACTTCCTGATCTGGCGCAAGTGATGACCACACCGGTCCCGTGGACGTCACTCCGTCCGTGAGGTTGCCAGTCTGCCGAATTGTGGCCCGGTAGGTGCCTGGAGGGACACCGCGGACGGTCAAGTCGACCAGGGTCTCTGTTGGGCTGACCTGGACCATGCGTGCCAGGCCCCGGACCAGGCGCTTGTTTACCCAGATGCCGTTGGGGGTGAGCTCGGCCCCGGCTGAGGAGTCTGCTTGTTCATCTGCGCCGTGATGGTAGGTCTCTAGTATGCTTACTGCGGCACCTGGAATAGGGGGTTAGGGGAAGAACTGATATGAGCGGACATGTCCATGCCGGAGACTAATGGCAGGATGGTGGATAGGGCTCGGATCAGGACTAATTCCGCTGCTTCGTGGATTGTGATCATTTGTGGTTTGGGAGAAGAAATAAGGGGGTTTAAGACAAGGCCAAGTCCAAAGCACTTACTGTTTGAGGTCCCCGAGCCTCGTAAGATGGCATCCCTCCCGGTATCTTGGATCGCCTTCACGATAGCCGAGGGCGCAGCTGCATGTCATCAAAGTTTGTTATCAGTACCACACCCCATTCATATGGTAAGTGGAAGGATAGGTGATGTACCTGTTCCCTCGATAGAAACCAACTGATCCTTCACGTTGGTTTCGACCTTGAGGATACCAGGAAGCTTGTACAAGGCGTTTGTGATGTCTTTGGCACACCCATCGCAGGTCATAGGCACTGCGAAAAGGGTCTGTTTCAGGTTTTGTGAGCCTTCCTGGTTCCCGAGTCTTTGCTTGAATATGCCAAGAATGAACGGACAAGAAGTGGGATGAGCATGAAACAACAAGGGGAGGATTCTCGCCAGAGAGAGACATAAGGACGATAATATCATCTGCATTCTGACTGATTTCATCAGGAGAAACAGATGGGTGACTGACCTGGAAAGGAGTTGTGGTAGCCATGTTGTTGGAGTTGGTTCGTGGCAGCGGTTGGTGATGTACTTGGAAGAGACTTCGCTTCTGATACCAAGCGTATGAACCGGCAGATGCAATGAGAGCCAAGCCCGAGATATTGAATATGGAGCGTGAGGTGAATCTCAAGTTTAGATGCATCAATGGACTGGTCCCTGAGTGAACAAGAAACAAAAGAAAACTCAAAGACAGGAAAATCAGAAACAAGCCGGCTGTCTCCGAGATATTATCTTAAAAAGACACCAATACACTCAGGTGGTTCCAAGGGATAAAAAAACAGACGATTGGCTTTGCGATGCTGCAGTTTGCTTTGAAATCCAATGGATCAACACTTTGAGATCCTGCTCCGCTGCTCGGCTCCCATCGCGGGGTCTTGACGGTCGATGCGGGGCAGATGAGATGCCAAGAATCCAGGGTCCTCTGGCGGGTTCACCCAAGCTCCCGGCTGGACGAAGACTCCTGCAGCACACATGTGGCGCATTAACAGTGGCGCAACGGCCGATTTTTCCACGATGAGGCTTGGCTCCATCGAACATCGCGACATCTTGATACCGACCCTCAGCAGCTTGCGCCGGCCAATCCATAACCTTCGGGGTTCTCTGCCGTTATCCGCAGAAGCCTTACCATATACGAACATCCTTCAACCTCCGAGAGCCTTCATTGGAGGTCGCGCATCGCTCGGTCTGTCGTTTTGCGGTCATTGAGGGACTAGTCCCCATCGGGCCCTGCTCATCAGAGCCGTCGAATCCTCCATACTTTCTCTCCTAAACCACCAATATGTCACAGACCGTCGGCGCTGTACGCATCCCGGCACCGCTGCCATGCTGCTGAATTACCCTGCTAACACAACACCTTCTCTCAACTAGACCAGACTAGCCTACTCGCGAGTGTGGCACCACATCTCTGCGGCTGCCCCGCACCCTGAGCTCAGCACCAAGAAAGCCCCCAACGAAATCACTCCGCCGTCTCTGGGCCGGCTCGCGTCGCGCATTGCAACCCTGCTGATGGGAAAGCACAAGCCGATGTGGGATCCATCAACCGACTGCGGCGACTACGTGGTGGTGACCAATTGCGCGGCGTTGTACACGACGGGCATGAAGAAGTGGCGCAAGGTGTACTACCGGCACAATACGCGCCCGGGCTCGCTCAAGAAGATTACCATGGACGAGCTGATGGAGAAGCACGGCGGTGCCGAGGTGCTGCGCCGCGCCGTTAGCGGCATGCTGCCCAAGAACAGGCTGCGCGACAAGCGCCTGGCTCGGCTCAAGTGCTTTGAGGGCGATGCGCATCCGTATAAGAAGAACCTGATTCAGTTTGGTGGGAAGCCGGTTGGAACACCTGGGTGGGAGGAGATGGCTAAGACGATTCGGGAGGCTGAGTTGCGCGCGAGGATAGGTGCTCCGGGTGAGTAAGGGGAGTTTTATGTGGGTTGAGGTGGACACGGTATGTGTGATGGCTTAGGAGTCGGCATGATAAAGTGGCATGTACAACATCACTTTGTTGTTTCATAGAAGTTCGTGTGTATTAACAATCGGATGACTGTATTTTATGGATCTTGGCCTAGGTTTGCAAGTTTTGGTACCAACCTTATATCCTTCGGCATGGTAAGAATGCCCCCAGCCGCTTGCTCAATGAAGTAGAATTCGCATGAAACTCAGGAAAACACTCCAAAACTATTTGAGCCTCATAAAAGGAAGGGCTTGCAATTCAATCAGGTTGCAACGACCTGATCATTTGGTAGTCGTCGCAATCTTACACCGCAAACAAGCTTAAGGGTTGCAAGGGGGAAAAAAAATGCCTAAATTTGCTCCCTAAATCGAAAGGTCTGATCACTTCCATCGCTATCATAACATATTTAACCCTTAAACCAAACTATAATACCGATTTCATTCCAGTGAAACCACCCAGAGGGCGACTACGAAAGCTAATTTCAAAGTCACTTCCACAACTGCAAACTCAGACAAACCTGAAAACAGCTAACGCAAAGCTATGATTTAAGTTATCATGTATTCAAGCCTTGGAACGCCTAACCATTGCTAACCCAAGTATGTACAGGAACTGCTATTAAAAACACAAGTTCTGGACTCTGTGTGCTCACTGCAAGCTGCATAAATAACGGATGAGCTTAAAACGATTAAAGAGGACTTAAGAACGAGAGACCTCGCACTTAATCAGGCCGTTGGGGCCAGGGAAAGGCATATAAACCTCGGCATCTTTGCCGGTGTTCTTGATACCCTTGTGCCAGCTGAGGTCTGTTGTAAAGAGTTAGCAATCACTCCTGAGCGTCTCTCTGGTTAAGGAGAACTCACCAATCTCGAAGTAGTGCTTATTCGGCAGAGAGAAGGCGACCTTGTCAACCTCCGGAGCCGCCTCAAGGATCTGCTCGCACATCCTATACATGGTGGCCTGAACCGAAGCACTGTCGTCAATGGCAAAGACCTTAAAAACAATGTTGCGGGCAGTTTCATAGGTCTTGTTGAATCGCTCTACACCCTCCTCAACCTCAGCGAGGTTGTTGAACTTCTTCCAGGTCCAGGTGCTGTCAACATCGGTCGACATAATGCGGTCCCAGACCTCGGGAAGAGTGGTGAACTCGTCACGGACGAAGCCGTGGAAAGCCGAGCCGGTGCTCTTGAGCACGGTCAGATCCCTAATACCGCTGCGAATGGTGATGCCCTCGCGGGAAATATCGGCCGAGACGTTACGGGTCTCCTCGCCGTCGCGCCAGAAGCTGTGTGGGTGCGGCTCGCCATCGATGACCATGCGGGTCCAACGGTGCACCTTGATGTCGATATGGGCCACAGAGAGGTGAGCGTACTTGTCCAGGAAGTGCTGGCCGAGCTTGGCGGCAAAGAGTTCAGGAGGGTTGACCGGGAACTCCTTAGCCTTGATGTAAATGGTGTTCTTGATAGAATCGGTAGCAACGACGACCGAGTTGTCGGCCTTAGTGTAACTGCGGCGTCGAGTGTTAGCGAGAATGTTGCCACTTTGGGAAACTTTGGTCTGGCTTACGAGGTCTCAATGTCGCCCTCAACAAGAGCGCAGACAGTCATCTCAGTGACGGTGTGGACGCCGGTCTTCTCGTCCCGGTGGACCTTGTAGACGCGGACATTGTCCTTGCCGTAGCGAGCAGCAGAGAGGGAAGGCATGGTGGCAGTTGTTGGTTGGAGATGTGTGTAAAAGTGTTTTAAGTGGTTAAGAGAGCTTTAATGGTGGAGTGTTGCCTAAGAGGCGATGTATTTAAGTGATGATGCAGAAGCTGTGTTGAGGACTGGTTTTCTGTATGACTCTGGGACGTTTAGAGGGGTTCACCAGAGCTTTATATAGAATCGACGTAGAATCGACGTAACAAAGCGATGATATCGCTGCCCTGCATCTCGCGTCGATCCGGACGGCACCTGGCGTTGGCGCAACGCTCCGTCGAACAGCATGGCCGCCGGCGGAAGGAGAAGTGGACCGCCGGAGTCCGCCGACAGCCTGGCAGTGGGGTAGATCGATGCTCTCCATGCCACCGGGACGCCCTGAATCGGCCGGGGCAGGGATCTGCGAGGGAGCGGAGTCAAAGACGGGTTTTACTTGGTTCTAGACATGGTCAGCGCCAGCAATGCTGTTTCAATTTCCCCTAGGGTCTACGTAGTTTTATTGTCTTTCTTTATACATAAGAGGCTGCTGTTTCAGTGAAAGAATAACAATTGAGCTCCCATACAGCTCTAAAGCTCAATGGCAACAACCAGTATCGAGTTGACAGGCCACAAGCTACGGACACTGAGTGTAGAAGTTAACAGCATGACAGGGCCGATGCTTCCCGCCGCCATTTGGCTCCGGCATAGCGGGGTGCTGCAAGTCCTTGCTATTCTGCAAGCCAAGATCCAAGGTCCGGGCAGGGCCGAAGGTGGGGGGAGGTCAGAACGACTCTGCCCCCCGCAGACGCAACGACGGGAGCTGGCGAGATCGTACGACAGCCAAGCTGTCCTGCTGTGTTTGTTCAGTTGATGGCAGGAGCAAACTGTGATTCCCTTCTGTCACATCTTGTGCAACGCAGCAGAGCGTTTACGTTAGCTTCCATCTCTGCAAGATAGGAAGCCAAGCATCAATTCGTCTTCGGGATCAAGCGGAAGAGCCGATAATGATAATGAAACTGAGGGACCCGAAAGGTCAAAGCCGTCTTCATATTTTTCATAGCTCGCCATTTCCCGAGTCCTCTTTTTAACAGGAGTAAGACCGTCAAGGAAATTGTAAAGGACTCCTGAGATAAGGGAGTGATATGCCCTTAGTGCTATGTCCTTATAATATCTACCTAGGCTGATGCTGAAGTCCCCATGTTTACACGCTTTTATCTTCTTTCAGCCAGCGGGAACTTATATCCGCACCTATGAACTAAAGCAGCCTTTGCAGACTCTCTGTTTGCATAGTTCTCTTCAGAAACCAGAGCTGGTGTGTGTTTATGAGTTAAGTTTTTGTAAGCCTGAGATAAGCGAAAAATCCCAAGCAGAGAGTTGCTGCTTTCACTTGTAGAAAGAAACCAGCGAGGGCTATTGAGTACCTTGAAGACTGGGTTAGATAGTTAAATGGACCACAGCTTCGGGATCATCTTGAGCGAAACTCAGGATTCAATCTTCCTGCCCTGTCTTGTCGCCCAGGGCAAGAACTGGAGGTGGGGCAACGGCTGCAGGGCTCGTGCACGGGCCACTACCACTACCTTCCCCTATAATGATTGGTGGTGGATTGGCTGGCCGAGACTGAAAACGCCCCATCCTATTGCAATGCTGAAGTGGGACCTGGAACTTCAGTTGGTGAGCCTCCACTGGCAGTCTGGCATCGCACTGGGACGCCATCACTACTGGGTCTGGGAACTGGGACCCGTTTCCAAAACCCAAGCAACACGCGACAGTCCGCGACCGCGCATTGGGCGATGAAGGCAACTTAACACCGCGACTGACAGGCAAATAGGGGGAAAGAAAGCTTAGCGCTGAATATAGTCGTCGGCAAGCCGGATGCGCACACGAAGACAGCCTACCCCGTCGAGAGCGTCGTCGAGAGCGTCTAGCGTGGAGGAGCCCAAGCCTGACGAGGGCAAATGGCCGGGCCATCCACCACCACCATGCTGAGCGCCTCGGCGAACCCCAGTCAGAAACAACAGGCCCAGACGACCTCAACGTCATCGCAGCAGCCGCAACCACCAAGCGGGCGACCCAGCCTCGACCGAGGAGATGGCCTACAACCCCCTGCTCCCAACGCGGGAGGTCGCAACCTTTCTGCATCGGCAGTGAGCTTTGTTTCTCGTGGTCCTTCGTTGAACCCGTCCCCCGCTGCTCCCGGCAGCTTCAGCTCCGATCTTCGAAGCCTAAATGTTTCCCGAGCAGGCGTTCGTCCTCCAGACATGTTCCCTCCAGATAAGTTTGGAGACGACGACAGCCTGACCGCCCATGAGCGGACGATCGCATACCTGCGCGAGGCCTTGAGCCGTGAGCTCAAAATCAAAGAGGGTAGTGAGAATATGTTGGAGGCTTTAAACAGTAAGAAGGCAAAGCAGACGAAAGAACAGCGGCAGAGGGTCGAAGCCGAGCTCGCATCCTCCAACCAGCGGATCAAGGAGTTGCGCCAGCGCCTTACCGAGGCTCAACGGTCAAGAGCTGCTCCAACCACACCGACTAGATCTAGGACAGATGGTGGGCTGTTTCCAGGATCTGGAGGGTTTCGGTCTCCTCCCAGCGCTTCTCGCAGCGGTGCTGGGTCTGATGCTGACGAACCTTTTGAGTCGCCCACGTACGCGCTTACCGAACTTCTTCAAGCACTCGAAGTTGGTGGAATGACTTCGGACTACTATGTTTCGCGCGCAAACAGTTTGGTCGACCTGTTCAAGCGCCATCCAGCACTCAAATACGACCTGGTCTGGCCCATCTTTGGTCGCCGCATGCAGTCCTTACTGCTTAGTGAAAGCCGCGAAGTGGTCGCCGCGGCTTATCGAATGATGCGATATGCTATCACAGACATCAACTCACTCCGAGTTATGCGATCTTTGAACACGGATTATTTGGTCACATGGTAGGTTCTCCCCCATCCTTCGGCCTTGGCCGCCTGTGAGAGTGTGAGCGCTGAGCCTGGGACAGGTCTCTGATCAAGGACCGGAAAGCCGATGTCGAGAGAGAGCAAGCGCTCAAGTTTGTGCGCGCATTTCTCGATGTCAAGGATGGCGTTCGCGAAATCTCCAGAGCGGTCGTCAGGGCCATTGCAGCCGTTGCCGAAGAGCCGGACGAGAGGCTAAGACCTATCTGCCTAGAGACCCTGGCTGAGATATTGGTTCACGACCCGCAGCTAGTGATTGCATCAGGAGGATTAGCGCCGTTGAAAGACGCGCTCGCCGATGGCTCTTACAAGGCTTTGGAGAGCTTGACCGCGGCCTTCCTGTACCTCCTGGACTCTCCCCATCGGCGCAAGTTCCTGCGCCCAGGGAATGAACTCGAGGTGCTCTTCACCGCCTTCACCGACGAGTTAGTGTCCAATGAGCGCTTCTTGAAGCAGAGCGCCAAATGTATCGCGTCAGCGCTCAAGACTTGGCCGGGTCTGATGACCCTGTCGATGTACAACTTCCGTGCCATCAAGTCCATGATCTCCAGCATGGTTGCCCAGACCGGCCCTATCCGCGAAACCATCCTAGACCTGATCTTTTCACTCCTCCGCATCAAGCCCCCCGCCTGGGCAAATTCATTCCTGGCTGGTCGTCGACTGACGACTTATGGCCGGGTCGCAAACCTTAGAGCCACGACAGTCACCAAACCTTCTTCCAATGCTAACGACCTTGATGATGAGGAGGGAGGTGATGAACAAAACTTCGTTGAGCACTATACCGCTCTCTTGCTCGCTGTTTTCATCAAGTGTGGACTGGTCCCTGCGTTGCTCAAACTGACACAAGACAATGACAACCAGCCCCTGAGACGTAAATCAACCCTGCTGATAGGCGAGGTGTTGAGATTGGCCAGCCGTCTACTCCCTCCATCGTGGAACAGCGAATTGCATCTACTTCCGGAACTGTTTATCGCCGCAGCAAAGCTTAGGGACGAGGCGCACTTCATCGCTACAGGAGTCATCTACCAGATTAGCAGCGTCAACAAGACTCTCTACAGAACAACACCGTTGTCATCTCTTCCGTCAAGCCATCATGCATTGGACATCGGCTCCCTGGACGATCATCCTAAGAGTAACGTTGCCGTCAACACCGATGAGGGTACTTTCCGCCAGCTCATCATTGAGTCGAACGTGCTCAACAGTTCCAATTACAATAAGTGGAACTGGGAGGTTATCCAAAGGATCATCGAAGGCCCATTGACCAACGGCAAGCGCCTCGAAGAAGCCATCAAGGCGTCCAAGTTTATGAAACGGATCATGAGCTTTTACAGACCTTTCAAGTATAAGTTCTCTGAGGTCAAGAGCTCACGAAACTCGCAAAAATACGTCCGGGCCGGATGCTCGTTGATGCATGCTCTCCTGCAGAGTAATGAGGGAGTCAAGTACCTGTCCGACAACAAGCTGTTACGCCAGATCGCCGAGTGTATTGCACAGTGTGATCCCACGAGCGGACTTACGGCACAGGACCCCATGTTCTCCAAAGATCGTCTCGCCGACACGCTGTGTGGCGGCTACTTCCCCATGTTGGGAGTCCTTAGTGGAGATGTCAAGGGAATGCAGATGCTGGACAGATGGCGCATCTTCAACATGCTTTACCGGATCCTGGATCTTAAGCAGCGTCCGGACCTCATCAAGCTAATGCTGTCCAATTTTGACTATTCACTTCAGGGTCATCCGCGCGTGCTCCTGTCCAAGGCCCTCACAGCTGGGACGAAGGAGATTAGGATTTACGCGACTAACGTTCTGCGTAAATATGCGACTCGTCCTGCGGTGAGTATCCCGGGCCAGGAACCCAACGACTCCAAATGGGCGATTCAGCTTCTTGTGACGCAGCTCTACGATCCCGAGATCGAAGTGTGTGCGACGGCCGTCAAGATACTCGAGAAGGCCTGCAATACCAAGAATAACCTCGAATACATTGTCGAGTGCCGGCCAGCGCTAGACCATCTGGGCGAGATAGGAGCTCCCCTGCTGCTGCGCTTCCTCTCGACGTCAATAGGCTACCACTACCTTGATGGTCTGGACTACATTAGCAATGAGATGGACGATTGGTTCTTGGGCCGAAACGACACGTATGTCAGCGTTGTCGAGGCGAGTCTGGCGCGTGCTTTCCTCGAGCCGCCGCAGCAGGAAGATCATGCCAACCGCCTCAGCGTGTTTGAAGATGACCAGGAAATGGAGGTAGACGCTCACGTGCCGCCACATTTCTACCGAGAGCTGACTCGAACGGAAGAGGGCTGCAAGCTCCTGAGCGAGAAGGGTCACTTTGACGAGTTTGCTGCGACGATCCGCGAGTATGGCATGCAGTCGGAGGATCCGGAGCTGATCGTCAAGGTTAAAGGCTGTCTTTGGGCGGTGGGCAATGTCGGATCGATGGAGCTCGGCGCTCCCTTCCTGGAGTCATGCGATGTAGTCGAGCAGATCATCAAGATTGCCCAGAGCCATCCTGTTATGAGTCTCCGCGGCACTGCGTTTTTCGTTCTAGGTCTCATCTCTCGCTCTATCCATGGCCTCGAGATCCTCGCCGAGAATGGCTGGGACTCGAACACCAACATTCTCGGCCACTCGCTCGGCCTATGCATCCCCACCGACCTGTCACAGTTTTTCTCCCTCGAACCCTGGCAACACATCCCCGTCACTGCTATCGACCTGCCCGACAGTCAGAAGACCGAAAAAGGCGACCTGTGGATCTCGCCGCCGCCTCTGCCAGGGCATTCACGTCCCTCAATCTCGTCCCGATCCCGCTCACAGTCACTTTTGCAGTCTGTGCAGGAAGAGGACCCCAACATGGACAACGAGACGATCACCTCAGACGGTTTCCCCCCGCACGCCGTCTTCGACCCGGACCCGACCAATCAGCGCATCCTGGAGCTCATTGTCGATATGTCTAACCTGGTGTTGTACCGCCGGGCGCGCGCTGAGTTGCTGCAGATCAAGGCGCAGCAGTCATCGCAGAGCAAGAAGGGTATGAGGAGCTGTGTTGGAGGGGCTGGGGGCAACGCGCCGAACAGCTTCTCGCAGCCGGGCTTGTTCCGGAAGGTGCTCATGCTCCTGGAGTGCCGGTATTATAGGCTGGCGGATCGAAATATGATTGTTGGGTTGTTTGATAAGAGCGTGTTGAGGACGGTTGTGTATGAGGAGGATCGGACGGGGGCTGGAGGTGCCGGTCGTGGGAGCATGCTGAGCTCTAATGAAGAGGAGAGTGAGATGGATGAGGTTTCGAGGAATGGCGGGGACCAAGAGGCTGGTGCTACAAGGCCGAAAGCTCCAGTCGATGCACCTGGGGGAGCAAAAAATGAAGGCAATGAAGCAGGAAGTGATGATGATGATGAACAAAGCAATGTCAATGATAATGACCAAGACAGGGAGACACGGGAACAAAAAGAGGATGAGCAGAACGGAGAGCAAAACGAGCATGAAGACGATGAAGACGAAGATGGGCAAGGGGTAGATGGCTCGGGTGACAATGAGCAACGGGCCGAACGACAGAGGAGTGTTAGTGACCCTTCAGCTGCGTTCAAGCGGCGTGGTATGTTTGGTCGTTGATTGGTTGCTGGCATGCAGTCACTTGGGCATGGTCTGCCCCATTGACAACCAGATGGAGGATGGGAGTTGGCTGCTTCATTACAGGGGAAATGATTCTCAGTGGATTACATTGCATACAAAGGGGTTGGTTCTTGTTTTGCTGGACAAATGGATGAAACGATGATTTGAAAGAGATAAGGTGGTTGGGTGGTTGGTGCTTTTTGTTTGGGCAGGTTGGCTGGCGTTCTACAGTAGGCCAAAGAGAGGGATTTCTTCACGGATGGTTGAAATGAATTGCAGGACTATGGGCAGCATGCGTGATCTTTTGCTTGTTTGTGGGTTGTCGTGACTTTGAAATCTGCGTGTACACAGTAGTGCCTTGCTTGTTGCCTGCATAGGTCTAGCACAATGAGAAATATGTGAATGTGGTGTTTAGTCCTCAGGGAACTTCTCAGTTGCGATTCCTTTGTGTGGATGTTATGTCAAGAGTAAAGTATCTCTGACATGCATCCTGGATGGCACACAGGTAGTCAGCATTACCATGCCGAACGGTTGTGTGCCCGACAGCAGTCCTTGACAGTTCCCAGGAGATGCTCCATTTCCTTGCTGTCTGGGGTATAAAATCTTGGGTGCAACCCCACAATTCAGCCCCGCTTATAACCGGTTAATGAGATAGGGAAGCAATACTTCAGGTCATGCTCTCTTTTGCCGTTGACCAGACTGTTCGGCAAGATCTTTGACACTTAGCTTGGCTTTTGGTTACTCTGAAGTCATCTATCACATAATGGCACCCCCTAGAGTCTTGGTAATTGCTGGTTCAGACAGCTCAGGTGGAGCGTATGTTTTCACTGCTTAAGCCCCCGTTTGATCTTAAGTCTCCAACTTAGCCCAAAAGTTGTGTCGACTCAATTGAAGACTAGAGCTAATATTAAATGATCCCGTAGTGGTCTTGAAGCTGACCAAAAGGTCATAGCAGCCCATGGCTGCTATGCCATGACGGCCACTACTGCACTCACAGCACAAAATACAAAAGGCGTTTATGCCATTTACCAAGTCCCCCCTGAGTTTCTCAGAAAACAGATTGATGCTGTTATTGAGGATGTTGGTGTTGATGTTGTCAAGACGGGTAAGTCTTAGTGGCCCCTTATCGCACTGACACTCCTCTTTGGCAAGGTTATTGAGATATCTTTTCTGTTCTATAAAAGCAAAAACTGTACTAACATGACGGTTTGTCTTAAATCAACAGGTATGCTTGCCTCTGCTGCGTCCATCGAGACCATTACGCAGGCAATAGAATACCACAAGGTCTCAACTATTGTTGTCGATCCTGTAGGTTTCTTCCTGATATCATCCCTCATTTTCTGGTAACTCATAACAACAGGTCATGATCGCAACAACAGGAGCCTGCCTGCTCCCAATAGAAGCACTCAACGCCCTACGTACCAGGCTTCTTCCCCACGCCACAATCGTCACCCCTAATGTCCCTGAGGCTTTGAAGCTGTTGTCCGGGTTACCTTCCTCCTCTGCTACCGATGAACCTACCATCCCTCAGGCAGTGCAGAGCGTCGCCGACCTGGAGATCCTTGCGCGAATAATTGCTCGCCGTCTCGGGCCACAGTGGGTTCTTGTCAAGGGAGGACATTGCCCTTTCCGGAAGGATGGTACTGTGGCCAAAGAAGAGGAAGAGAGGGAGTTGGTGGTTGACGTGCTGGTTGGCCGCAAGCAGAGGAACGAAGATGACGGAGAACTGGTAATGATGAAAGTTGAGACAGAATACTGCCGGACGAAGGATACCCACGGGACGGGTTGCTCTTTGGCTTGTGGGATTCCCTTGTTACCCTTGGATTATGAGAGCGGCTGCCTAACTGACTTTTTCAGCGGCTATCGCATCGAACCTAGCGAATGGAATGGATGTCCCTGCTGCGGTACGGGCTGCCTGTCGTTACGTTGCTGCCGGTATCAGGACAGCTCCTGGGCTGGGCAACGGCAACGGACCATTGAATCACTTCCATTCTGTTTACACTCTACCGTTTGCCCCGTATGGACATCTCTTCCAGTATTTAGTCCTTTTTTGCGAGTCGTGGCTGACCATCCCTCCTCAGGGGTCACTTCATTGAATGGCTTTTGGAACGGCCAGACATCGCGCCTGTATGGGACAAGTTCGTCAATCATCCGTTTGTCTTAGCTCTGGGTAATGGGACGCTCCCCCTGGAGTCGTTCAAAGGGTACCTGATCCAGGACTATCTCTTCCTTGTACGAGATCCCCGTTTCCTAGAACGACAAATTGCAGCTGACTCGAGTGCAGATACAATTCGCGCGCGCAAACTCGTTGAGTGCATACAAGGCGAGAGTAACTCAAGACATTGCTACGGTAAATGACCCTACCGAGTGTGTGGCTCTGGACTGTTGGGAGACTGACTCTAAGTTACTCAATGCAGTCTGCTTCTATTGTCACCCACATCTTCAATGAGATGGAACTGCATATCAAATATTGCAAGGACTTTGGCATTTCCCGAGAAGAAATGGAGAGCGCCGAGGAGAATAAGGGTGAGTGATTAGCCTTCTTGACAGTCCAGAGGATTCAGTTGCTGATAGAAGACACCCATAGCATGCACCGCCTACACAAGGTATGTTGTACGTGACTGCAACTCATACTGGCGGTTGTTTTTGACACAACTTTCCCAGATATGTTCTCGACATCGGGCAGTCCCAAGACTGGCTCGCCCTCCAGGTCGCCATGGCGCCCTGTATGCTTGGATATGCAGCAATTGCAAAGCAGCTGTATGCCGACTCAAGGTCTAAAAGAGAAGGCAATATCTACTGGTCCTGGGTTGAGAACTACATTGGCGAAGACTACTCTGCAGCCGTGAAGGCGGGATCTGGTAAGTCCAACAAAATCTAGAGTGTCAATGAAGTTAGGATCCTGCCTCTATGAACAGCGCTGACAAACGGTGCTCAAAGAACTTCTCGAGAAACATGCAATCTTGCAGAGCCCGTCGCGGATTGAAGAGTTAGTGAAAGTCTTTATTCATGCCACGAAGGTCTGATTAGTCCCGACCGTTTATATCAATTAACTCTGACGCTGACAAGCAATGCTAAACAGATGGAGATTGGCTTCTGGGAGATGTACAGCTGGAGTTGAGTCGTTATGGGGTGGCAGACTCCAAGAGGGCCGAGAGGGAGCAAGGATAGAAGATAGACTCAATATTTCACACTTGAATACGGATGCTGCTACCAAAAGAATCACTCACCGCCTTGATTTGCCCGGCAGAATCACTTCGTTAAGAGCCCTCACCCTCAAAGGGTTAGCTCGCTAGCGTTGCCGGTAGAGGACACTTAACATTTCTACTGTTAGAGCCTTAATCCGCTGTGGTTTCCGTAACCTTGTTCGAACGGCAACGAAGGCGGTGAGCAGTCTTTTACGGTAGCGACATCCGTATGGACCTGATGCTTGTATAACATCGTTTTCATATGACCGCGGTATTTATCTCTCCAAATGGCGCAGGGTCCTCAGCAATTAGAAATCACATGAAGGAGAGAATTGCCTTTTAGGCAGTTGCGTCAATATCCTGTGATGCACAACCAGTTTCGATAGCACAGTGCGGCATCATCTGTCAAAGCTTTGAGCGTGACCCCGGCCCAGTGGATTACTGCCTTAGGCAGAGACGGTTGGCTTGGGTGTCTTATCTGCTTATCGCTCTCCTCCAGACCCCCAACGAGGCAAGGTACCTGCCTGCAGGGAGAAAAAAAGTTTGAGCAGAAGCACCCGCTATAGCAAGGGCCCAGAAAAAAAAATTCCCGGGAGGCGATTCTTGAGAGGACCCTCCCTTCTCTCTTCTTCCCTTCCTCAAAAACATTGCCGCCTCGCCCGAAACTTTTCAATCCAACTTTTCCCATCCCACTGCGAAGCGTTGTGCTCATCGCATAGGTGCAATCTCGTTCATTCATTTTGTTTCGGCGCGACGGCCATTTTCCGAGACGTCGATCAGAAGCTTTTCCAAGCCGCGACGTGCACGTTCTGGTCGGCCTTTGGCGTGTCGCTTTTGTTTGCTGAACACACGCCGCTCTTCTCACTTCTCACTTGTCATTCTCCAAGCCCAACGCGCCAACGCCGGTCTCCCGACCAACTCAGCCAACCCGCGCGCTTTTTCTAGCGGCTTTTCAGCTGGAAAGACTCGGTCGCAACCCAGCGTTTCCCGACTTCTCGACCGCAACATCATCATCCTCGCACCCATCCCAACTTTTCCAGCATACTAATCGCAAGCATGTCTTCCTACGGCGGCGGTTACTCTGGCGGTGGCGGTGGTTATTCCAACAACTACGACCGCAACGGCGGTTACTCCAACGGTTATTCGTATGTTTTGGGACCTCTTGTGCTCATGCATCGCTCGTCGCGTCTCGCGATAAGCTTTGTTTCTAGATTTGAACAGGTGCTGATGCGTGATTTGATACAGCGGCTCTAATGGCTATTCCGGCGGCGGTGGTGGCTATGGCAGCCACGGCAGCCGCAGTTACGGCGGTGGTGGTTACGGTGGTGGTTATGGCGGTGGTGATCGCGGTGGTGATCGCATGGCCGGCCTTGGCTCCGGTTTGCAGAAGCCGAACTGGGATCTTGCGACTCTCCCTAAGTTTGAGAAGTCTTTCTACAAGGAGCACCCGAACGTCACTGCCCGTTCCATGGCCGAGGTCGAGAAGTTCCGTCGCGATCACAACATCACTGTCTCTGGCCGCGACGTGCCAAAGCCCGTTGAAACCTTCGATGAGGCGGGTTTCCCCCGATATGTGATGGATGAGGTTAAGGCTCAGGGCTTTCCCGCCCCCACGGCTATTCAGGCGCAGGGTTGGCCCATGGCTCTCTCTGGTCGCGACGTTGTCGGTATTGCCGAGACTGGTTCGGGAAAGACTTTGACCTACTGCCTCCCCGCTATTGTGCACATCAACGCCCAGCCTCTCCTTGCGCCCGGAGACGGGCCAATCGTCCTGGTTCTCGCTCCCACGCGTGAACTGGCGGTTCAGATCCAGCAGGAGATTAACAAGTTTGGCAAGTCCTCCAGGATTCGCAACACCTGCATCTACGGCGGTGTTCCCAAGGGCCCCCAGATTCGCGATCTACAGCGCGGCGTTGAGGTGTGCATTGCCACGCCTGGCCGTCTGATCGATATGCTCGAGTCTGGCAAGACCAACCTTCGCCGTGTTACTTACCTGGTCCTCGACGAGGCTGATCGCATGCTTGACATGGGTTTCGAGCCTCAGATTCGCAAAATCATCAGCCAGATTCGTCCCGACCGTCAGACCTTGATGTGGTCTGCTACGTGGCCCAAGGAGGTCCGCAACCTTGCCGCTGACTTCCTCACGGACTTCATTCAGGTTAACATTGGCTCTTTGGATTTGGCTGCCAATCACCGCATTACCCAAATTGTGGAGGTCATCTCTGAGAGCGAGAAGCGCGACCGTCTGATCAAGCATCTCGAAAAGATCATGGACAGCAGGGATACCCAGAACAAGTGCCTGATCTTCGTTGGCACCAAGCGTGTTGCCGACGACATCACCCGTTTCCTGCGCCAAGACGGCTGGCCTGCGCTTTGTATGTTTTGCCCTTGCCCGGCTCAAACTTTTAAGCACTTTTAGCTAACCATTTTCGCAGCCATCCACGGCGATAAGCAGCAGAATGAGCGTGACTGGGTCCTCGACCAGTTCAAGACGGGCAAGAGCCCCATCATGGTTGCCACCGACGTCGCTTCGCGTGGTATCGGTATGTGTTCCCCGATCCCCCCAAAACTCCCACCCTGCGAGCGGTTATCCTCCGTGGGCACTCGTCCAGCATCAACGTGTGCTGTGCTTTACTCTATGTCTAGGGGCTTCTCGATTGCGCGAACTTGCCTGACCCCGTGTCCACAATGGTCTTGCCTGAGCGGCCCCTCGGATTTTGGGTGACGTGGCAGAGACTGTCTCTCTCAGTGCTGCGCCCGTGATTCTTCTCTTGTACCTCCGTATGTGTCTTTAAGGGTACAAGCGTGGAGTAGGCATCGACTTGACTTTGATCAAGCTTGTGTCTCCCAAGATCCCCAAGGCCCAAGGACCTGGAGCTTTGGACCTCCCCGGCATTTACCGCAACGGACAGCCCATCTGCCAAGGAGGAGAGTACAGCCGAGCAGGATCACGAAACATACTTAAGACATCCCGTGTCCTCCATCACCCGTTGCTTGCTGGATTGTTGCTCTACATGCACGTCCAAGCTTGGTGTTGTCGTTGCTAACCTGTTCAATTAAGATGTGCGCAACATTACTCATGTGATCAACTATGACTATCCCAATAACTCGGAGGACTACATCCACCGTATTGGTAGAACTGGCCGTGCTGGTGCTAAGGGCACAGCCATCACTTTTTTTACCACTGAGAGTGAGTTGCCCTCTCGAATCTTTTGTTCTCTGACGAAGTCTGCTAACTTTCCAAACAGACGCCAAGCAGGCCCGTGATCTGGTAAGTGTGCTGCAGGAGGCCAAGCAGCACGTTGATCCACGGCTCCTTGAGATGGCCCGGTACAGTGGCGGTGGTGGAAGCAGCCGCTATGGTGGCTACCGTGGCCGCGGCGGTGGAGGATACCGCGGCGGTAAGTGGGTTTTCCGGTTCTCACACAAAAGACACCAGCTGACCGTGTAACAGGCCATCGTTCCGCCGCTCATAGTGGCGCTAATGCCGTCCCTGTCGCCAATCGCCGTTGGTAAGCAGTGAAAATGCCAACGCGTAGGCGACGTACAAGACTTGTCTCATCGCCGTAAGAGTGCGAAAACTCCTCTACCCGGGTCCTTTTCCGTGACTACTGGGTTCAACATCCCGCGGCATTCCCGACATTTCTCGGCATTACGGCGTTTCTTGTAGATGGGGTTCGGTTAGAGATCGGTTCTTTCATTTGAGGCGACGACCATGCCAGTAGTACATGCCCTGCACTCTGCTGGTTTCTTTTTTTGTTGCCTGACATGTCGGTTTACATGTGGGCTGGGCTAAGAACGGCTATGGCTCCTTTTTTTTATTTAATTAGCTGCCCTGGGTTGTTTCCCTTTATCAAGTCCGTGGAGAAGGGGAAAAAAAGGGTGTCATGACGAAAGTGCCTTTTCTTCTCTTTTGCCGGGAAACTTGGGAATACACATGAAATGAGGCTCATGGAGATACAGGGTCTCTCACTCAACTTAGTGCCTTCAGCTATCGTCGTTTCGGACGGTTGATTGTCGTCGAGTATTTTCTGATGACGAATCGTTCTTACCTGGAGGTCGGATTGATCTAGGTTCAGTCTGGACGGGGTTGGTTGTACGGGAAAGATCTGGGGGATTACCATCATGAAGAACTAAACTCAGTCTCTTAGCATAGTTTATTACATGTCTAGTACCCACTTTGGGCGGTGCTCTCTCTTTGGTCTCTGGGTGATGTTGATGAGCTCTAGTGAAGCGAGAATGATGATGGTATTGCTCACCTGGTCCTTGACATGTGAAAAAGCCGAGGGCAATGACTGCATCTTGAGTTTATACCTAATGCTCTTGTTAATGTGTTGAGCTGCATGGCTATGACTATGTTCCACTGAACCCAAGACAAACTAACTATCTTACGCTCTCGAAGAGCTCATGCTTTCCGACATGGCTGGTAGACTAGACCCGGAAGGAAAGAATGCGCAATATATATGGAAGTCTTGGACGGGATAGGTCAGTCGTGTTTCCGGTGTTGCACTGATACTCTCATTTCCGGTTTACTTGAGTTGTGCTGGCGCGGTTAGATTGCCACCGTGAACAAACTTTAGCACAAATCATTCCCTGAGATATCATCAAACCAACCTTTTCATCATTACAATCTTGATCACAAGTGATCAAATGTTGCCAATTTTCTTGTTCTCCTCACTGACTGTCTTCAGGAGGTCAGGTGGGATTCAGCTTTTCTCAGAGATACATGCTTAGTTGCCCTTTACATTGATATTAGGGAAGCTCAGTTTGAGAACCCTCGGAGATACCACCAAACTTTATGACCATGAAAGCGCCTGCTATGAGTTGAGCCTAAAAGACAGGTTGAGGTTGCCCAGCAATACAGAGGACTTCAACCATCGTCCTGTCCTAAGTTTATCATCCTCTTTACGGGCTACCTAACTCTTTGAAACTAACAATTGTTTGTCCCTAGTTTTCAGGGTTGAAGTCTTTCGGACAGCTTCTACGGAGCTGACCCGAGCTCACCATCGAACCTCTTGTCGGGCTTTGCTTCCTCCTCGACCGAAGGCTAAGGAAGTCGGGAAAACACACCCCGAAGACCTTGATGACCTCAAAGGCCGAGGCACCCTTCCAGTTCCCACTTCACCTCCTCATGACATTCAGATACTTCACTGCTCCTCAGCCACATTTTCCCAACCCACCGGAGCCGTTAAATAACCTTTAACATACAAACATGTTGATCGAATTTTTTTTCTATTTTTGCTAGCCGTAGAGGACTCCAAAATCTGCCTTAACCCTCTTGTGAATCAAAACACACTTTTGCTACACATTAAAACACACCACAGAAATACTGCAGCTGACTACCTGATTATCTCATCCCGCTTTGCCATGACGACTCAAGCACTGTATCAGGGACTACCCTGGCGGGGGCGGCCGCAGTACGGGTGTTATCGGTAGGAGTGGAGATGTTGGGCTGTCCTTGCTCGGGAGTGGATTCCATGGTTGGCTTTTAGATTATTGGATATTCTCTGCGTCTTGTCTTTTGCGGAGTTTTGTCGCAAACTTGCTCGTTCATAGTGAGAGCGGGAAGAGAAGATATCGTGGGACCGAGGGATTTGGTCAAGCGTTATCGTCGAGGTGGGGGCCGATATAAAAGTTCGAGATATGTAAGATTCGTTAAGTGTTGGGGGTTTTGACAATGAAACTCTTAATTTTGAACAGGAGTTGATCTTCATAAGTCAACCTTTTGAATACCTACCAGGACCTAGCAGCTGTGAACTGCCGGCGTTGGCATCTCCGGAAGATGCCGCGTAGTATAACGTGTTCCCAGGATGGGTGTGTTTGAAGGACCTGGCAAGCTGCCGGGTCTTGAACCCGGACCTCGGAAGGACTTTCCGTGATGGTGGGCACGATGATGCTCTGCATCTGAGTTTCAAGAGTTGAGGTGGTGGAATGGTGGAATCCGGATGTTGGCGGTGAATCGTCTAGTCCGTTATCGGCTATTTACTTTTTCTTTTGTCTTCCTCTCTACTTGGATTGTTCAGAAGTAATCAAAGTGATTCGGCTTTGCAAAATCAAGCAAGCCGATGAACCCTATGTTTGTTATCAATTGCCCGTCCTGTAATCGTGCCAGGTGAGCTGGATCAGGGCGTTCACCGCCCTCAAGCATAGCCTCTATCTAGGTATCCGTTGGGCGTCTAGAACATGTATCATAGCGCGCCGAGGCGTCACGATAGCCCTATGGAGTGGCTATGGAGACAGCACTGACACTTGTTTCTAGAAAATTGGGTAGGGGCGATGCGTATCCGCTTTGTGAAGATCCGAACTCTTCTGAACATGTCAAATAGGGAGCCACCCTGCTCGGAGAGGAAGGCAACCCTATTTTCGACGACCTTTTGTGTATGAGATCGAGTCGAGTCCTTAGACTAGACTTTGTTCCATATCCTGGGCACCTGAGATGCCGAGGGCCAATGCTCTTTCATATCTTCCAAATCAGTTGATACGGGCTCGACACTCCAGATCAGCTCACATTCGCCTCTAGGTACCTGGATGCCAGGGAACAGCTTGTACCATATAGTGAGGGTTCCGGGAAGCATGGTCCGGACAGACTCTTGGGTCAACAGACCCCGAGATCCATTGTTGTCATGCCAGATGTCAATCAATCACGTTGATTGCTTGTTTCCAATGTGCAAGTCGTTTGAAGACATGGCCGCCGACGATCCGGCGCCGTTACAAACGCCTGGCTGGTTCAGAAAAGCTCCCGTGGTGTCAGCTGTGTAACGGAGCCGGCCGAATAGCCCAGTCCAATCTGTGCTGAAGGGACTCAGAAGGAGGGCAGATGCAATTCGGAATCATCGGCAGCAGGCGACAAAAGGGTACATACAGCTGTCAGTGTGATTCAATGTCCTCGGCTCGTGCCAGCCCTCCTGAGAACTAGTGCCGAACTGTGACTCAGGACCTACTCACTCCCTCCTCAGCTTGTGATCACTGAGGATTTGGGCAGAAGTACCGATGATGATAGGACGGACTTATGGAATGCAATCAAAACATATGTTTCTGCCCCTCATTTCCCTCTCGACAACAGAAAAACGGCAGACATCACGGGGACTGTTTCCCTAATCCCGATCCCCGCTGCCCGAAAGCTGAAGCCCAGCAGTCTTGGCTCGAACCATATCCTTCTGTGGGTCTTGACTGGCTACCCCCTTGTTACGGAGACGCGGATTTGCTTATTCTTGATCCAATGCAAGCATGCTGCTGTGACTCCTGTACGTTGGCAGATTGGCAGGTGAATTCCTGTCGTTTCTCAATGACAAATCAACGGCTGATACACTACAACCAACATGTAGTGTACAAGTATAGAGGTAATTTGTTGACAGTATCTACGTACCGAGGCTAGGTCCATGTAGCGCTAGCAGGTGGGCGACAGGCTTGAGTGTTGAAGATCAAAACGCAAGGCTGAAAACTCTGTGCTGATCGTTTCTCACCTAACCCAGCTCACCTAGGTCAAACGTGCCCTTATAGTCTTCTTTAAAGACACAGACATATCATCATAGGTCGGTCGGTAGATATTGTTGAACAAACCTATACCAGAACTAGTCCCTAGATGGTCTTATCGCCTACCTATCCACATAGGTAGATGTACCTATCATATGTAGTGGGCGGGAAACTAGTTGCCTCAACGTTGTGCAGTTGCCACGCCGTGATGCCTACCTAGTGTAGTAACGGGATTGCGCACCAGAGGAGGTGTTCATGCGAGTGATCAAATGCCTCGGCCTTTTTGCCGCGAAGTCTTGACAAATGATTTTACAGCGGCAGCCGGGGCTAAAGCAAAGGACTGGCAGAACTGCGCCCAGCAGACGTGCATTGTTACCAGAACGACACGCTGCCGTGGGGCTTTTCGAGTGTTTGGGACCCGCCTAGGAGTTGGCACACACACAGTGGTGCCAAGCAGCGAATGACAAGGTGGAAAGGCCCAGATATTGATGTCCTTGCCTTTTCCAGCCCAGCTCGAGAAGAACCCCCCGGTCCGCAGCGCATGGAGTTTTGGAAACCCATGAGGCAATCGTCTCCACTAGAGGCGGTGTGGCGAAGTAACAGAGGAGCCCAACAGGGAGGGATTGATGATGATGATTTGCAAAGACCGGCACCGTCGCTAATCGGACAAGTTTCTATATCGTGGATCGTAGCCGACGACGATGCCAGAAGGAACGTTCCCAGGGCTTGGGCTTCTGAGGCTCGACGAGACGGTTTCACCAACACAGGCTAGGACTAAGATCTCGCGCTATCCATGGCCACACGTGGGAGCCCGATCGAAACCTGCCGAGCTAGTTGGCGGCTTGCATGCAAAGGATGCCAGCGGTGGCTTGTCGATTCAGCGCGCGTTGGTGATGACCTCCGATCCATCGCCCGGCAGTCTTCCGCATCCGACGCCGGGATATCTCCGCACACACACCGGTTCCCCTGCCGAGAGCGGTCTGCGCGCATGAAGAAAGCCGATATTTGACGTGTTGGTCGTGTTTGAATCAGCTACTCATCGG